AAGCTATTCATTGTTATACAGTTTATAATACTATTTCAGCCCTTCTAAATTAAAAAAATAATCTTTATATATAAAGTACGCATTCCAAGTGCATTTCACTTACAGTGATTTTGTCTAATTTAGTGTTCTTAGAGAAGTTAATCAAATCTATTAATAATATTTATTCGTTTACTTAATAATTAGATATATAGCAAATTATTTTGATTTGATTTCTTCGTTATCATAACTCGTTCAACTCAGTTGTAAAAAAGATAATATGTAAATAGAGTTTAATGCACTGGTAAAACTTCGAAGATCTTTCAAAAAAAAAAAAAAAAAAAAGAAGAACGTTTAGAAGATACAAACGCGTTGATGCTTAAAAAAAAAAAAAAAAAGAAGAACGTTTAGAAGAACAAACGCGTGATGCTTGAAGCTCTCAATCACTAGTTAAAGCAATGATAAATTTAACAGTTCGAGCTTACATGATCCTACAATTACCAGACGTTATCAGTTATGAACGCTGATCATAATTATTGAAGCAGAAAAATATATTAAGTGTGAATACAACAATAATTAAGCTTTAGTTCTACGCTAGCATGATCGATTATATGAATTATTTATTTCTAATACTTTTATTAAATTAATATTAGTACAAAGAAAAGTAAGTCCGAAATTTTTTTTAATACTTTTTGTACAAAAGAAATTTTTAAAAGAGAATTTTAAAATCATTTGACATAATAATAAATAAACCAAAGTATATACAATAGACAATAACAACTAATTAGAGTCTGTGAATTCTTATATTCCCATTATATTATCTTCACTAATATCTAAAGATGATACATTGTCACTAATAGACTTGTTTAAAGAGAGAATCTACGCCTAAACAGTGATCAATTTATCCAAATGGGATGCAAATGTCTCTAGAAAAATCACGTAGTTACGGTAGAAGTGAGTGAGTGATATGAAGTTTTGGTATAGAAAAGGAAGTGACAGGCTTTGGGTTTGGGCGGTAGGAAATGGAATAGTAAGTTCACATGAAATCCTAGCATAGCTTGGTACAACGAAGGACCATCAATGATCAAATTGTTTGGTATTAACTAGCACAGAGTAGCTTCCGCTTCTACTTCTACAGTCAAACAAGGAAAAGTTGTATATTTTGTCCGGACTATCTTTAGTCTTTACAGCTCCAAAAAACATGTCTCTTTGATTGGCGATGTGCTGCTCCTCCTTGAATCAAGATTTGGCCCTTTCTTACTTGCCTGCTGTTCGATTAAAACCCTAACTAATAGTTCACTAAACAATACTTAACGTCTAGTTACTGATATTCGAGTGATTTTTCGGATTTGAAAAGTTCTCCGGAAATTTCTTTAAACTGTGGATGTGAGGACGCCACGAACTTGAGATATCACATAAGGATGGCTCCATAACAGTGGCTTATCCATTTCAATGACATCAATAGAAATCAAGTAGTGCCCCATATTAAGATTCGTTTGGTGGTTTTGAAAATAACGAATTAATAAAAAAAAAAAAAAAAGAAAGAAAGAAAAAACTGAAATGAACGAACCACGCTATAATTAGTACGGCATGTGAAAGAAAATTTGATAGGTTGATGAGTTGGGTACAGTACTGATTGCTAAAATTGTCTTTGACCTTTGAAGAGAAAGGCCAAAAAAAGCTTTAGGCTTGTGAGCCTCATACCAAACTTCAATGCATCTACCAAATTATTGAAGACCTACCCCAAAATTTGGCTATGCGCACCTATGTCTTTGCTTGTACTTGCAACTATCTCATTTACCTTTTACCTTGCTTGAATGTCAGGAAAGAAAGAGCAGGCGAACTATTTATAAATTCATTAGTCAACTAAGTCCCCAGAATGAAAAACAAAGTATTGGGTCTAATTGAATCGATTGAGAAAATTGAGGGACTTTTTTGATACCTTCAGTAAAAAAAGAGACCTTTAAAAAGAGTTAGAAAAAGATCTCCATGACCAAACCAGCAGACATAGACAGTTCAATCCTCAACAACTGAGTTTCCATATTTAACTACGCTCCAAATATAGAGACATGCACTGATTGCTTAAACCTTTATGTAAAACCCACCAATCAAAACAACCTTATACCTGAATTCAATTTCTCTTGACTCCTCCTAATTTGAAACCTCTCTTTATTCTCCTTCGTCTCTTCTTTATGGTCCAAACAAAACAAGATACAACAAATTGAAAAATATATTCAAATACATTTATCACTGTACTAAGCTTATATGTGAATCTCATTTAATTATATTTTTCTTCAATTAATTATTGTTGAGCAAGCAGTTATAAATTTACATGGATGTTAACTGATAGCTAACGACGATTGGTAAATAACTTATAGTTATTAACTGATAAATGTTAATTGTTTATATCAAAATCTAAAGTTATAATAAACCTTTTACGAATTATTTGATTAAAATTCTTACTATATATTTTTAGTCTGATAATTTCGTACAAATAAGCTGTCCATCGTCTTATTTATATCTTGTGGTGTTAGTTTAATTGGTCACGCACGTATGATGGATGCATGTGATATAGTCAAAGGAAAAGTCATTTTCGAACTTGGGCCAATAAAGCAGCCTAAACCAAACAAAAAGATTGAACTGATTGAGTGAGAGGAGGAGAGAACAGGTGTCATTTTCTGAAAGGAGGTCTCTCTAGTTATTAATGCCACACACGTGCATGGCCCGAAAGAGCCGTATAGTACAACGTTATCCATGGACGCCTATCCAACGATCGTCCCTATTTTCTCTGTTGCCAATTCCAACACATATAGATATTGCTAGCTAGTACTAGTAGGCGGTGGCCACTCCTTGAACCCAAACCCTAGTTTTGGTGAATTTGCTTTCAAATTCTCTAATTTTCCATTATTTCTTGTGGAGCACAGGATGTCTACACAATACATGTTTCTGAATGATGATTAATGGTTTTCCTGCTCTATCATTTAGTAGAGATTTTTTTTTTTTTTTGAAGAAATGACACTTCAAAGGTTAACCGCTCATGTTAACAATTTCCTCCTGAACCCTCCACCGGGATTGTTATTATGTATTTTGCATCGTAATATGAATATCTCATATTTTAAATTAACAATATTTTTTTAAAGCTTTACTCTCTTTTTTTATCAGAAAATAAAAAGTTAGCCGCTGAAGTATAAAAATTCAATTTCATGTTAAGTTATAAATGCAAACACATAAGTGAAAATTAAATAATACAAACACAAATACAAAAATAGACCGCCAAACATAATAATAACTATAACCTAATAGAAGTTTAAAATAAATGAACCAAAACAAACAAATAATGACATAATTAACACTTCTACCATAGCAAAAATTTGAATTTAAACATATATTTAAATTAAAAATTAAAATGGATTTGAGTATTAAAATTTTAAAAATTAAATAATTAGAATAAACAACTGAAGTAATTTAGCCTTAAGAAATATTTATACGCTTTGTACCATCTAAAAAAAAGGAAGAAGGGAAAAAAAAAAAAAAAGAAAAGAAAACGCAACATGCTTGTAGTTCGAGTAGTTGTATAAGAAGTTATATTGGGGCCACCCATTTGTCCTTCGATTTAACCAATTATTGTGGTACATGTGCTGAGATAGAATCAATAACGAGGATATAATTTTCAAAAATATGTTGTTTTTGTCAATTTTATGCCATAAATGCTATACTCTTACAATTATAAGTTCACATGCCGACTCTATTTTTTCTTTTTGTTTTTTGTTTTTGTTTTTTTTTTTCAACAAGGGAAAAGAATCCAAAGTATGATAGTCCAATTTCATTTCCCCAATTACTTGTTTTCCTCGAGTTCCATTTCACAACATCAATGTTATTTACTATATATATGGAAAGTGTGAAGCATATTTGCAATATTTATCACAAAATCAATATGATCATATCTACTGTATGCAATTTCAAACGCCAAAAGGTGAATAATAGGCTAGTAAGGGACCACGACATTGCTGAGGTGTGAGGTGTGATTTCATTATAGAAGATGTCATTACATTGGAGGAGTGATTTCTCCGCCTCATACCGTGACGAAGGTGTGCCCACAACATTTAAGTCTACATTTATCACCTATAGGTTATAGCTTCCAAGCTTCACCATTCACCGGCTCACCCAAAAAAAAAAAAAAAAAAAAAAAAAAAAACACCTATTAGGTTTATAGCTTCCAAGCTTCACCATTCACCGGCCTCAGCCCAAAAAAAAAAAAAAAAAAAAAAAAAAAAAAAAAAATCATAATAAGTCTTATAAAATTTACATTCAAATTACATAAGAGCGATCAAGTTGCACCAAAACATCCTATTACATGTGTTAGAATATTAATGTACACAAACATTATCATGCCTTTTGTAGAAAAAAAAAAAAAAAAAAAAAAAAAAAAAATCATAATAAGTCTTATAAACTTTACATCAAATTACATAAGAGCGATCAAGTGCACAAAACATCCTATACATGTGTAGAATATTAATGTACACAACATTATCTATGCCTTTTGTAGAGAGACGGTCTATACGACTCGAAGTCATAAATTCCAGATTACAAGGTTACGTTATAACTAAATATTATTTTTAGTTGAAAGAGAACCAAAACCCTCAAGATTTCATTGCACTGCGCTCGGTAGAAACTTAGGAGTGTTAGAATTGTACATGCCTACTAATCATGGAATTCATGGTATTATGCATTGTAGTTTTCAGCCATACTGTACTCCGATGCATGCAATGCAATGAATTTCGACTATGAAAGTGCACGAAAATGGAGTGTTAAGCCCGTCTTATGCACGAAAGAGACTCAATCATTGCTTTCACCACATCAAGCAAGTTTCGAGATGACAAGCCAAAGTGTTTGCTACTGCCATGCAGCTGCAGATAAGGACATAATGGGGCTAGGGGGCATTCATTTTGCTCTCGTAAGTGTAATCATGCAAAACATGATTTAGAGGTCCTGCTCGTCGCAAGGATCAATCTTGTAAGCTAGTCTACAAAAATCTCACTGTTAAGGATTAGCATACATGAATATGACAAACAGACATTAAATCAATCGCTGCCTAACCGTTCGTTCGAGTAACAATTTGCATAGATATACCTATATCCTATGTTTAGGATACAAAATGCTGACAAACATTTAGGAATATGAACACCCTAACAAAAAATTTCAACAAAACAATGCAACTGGTAAATATTTTAATATACATGACCATATGTAAAATGTTAAAAAGGCTTTTACATACTCCTCATATAATAGTTTAGTCAATTAAGAACTTCTTTAGCTGCGAGTTGACCATTGGTTTTCCTGCAAAGGAACAATTCAAATGAGTCTCGTTAAAATTTCTATTACCTATTGATTGAAATAGAAGAATGAGAAAAGCCAATTCAAATATCAATTTAGATTAAACCACAGTAAAATCGACTTTATACTAATATCTTCAAGGCGAACAAATTAAATATTTGCTAAATGGAAAAATCAATTCGAAAGGCATTCGATTGAGGGGGAAACATTAATTGGACTATCTAGATGATTGTGTTAAAATGTTCTGCTTTATGCCAGCAATTACTTGAAATACTCGAACAAGTCTCTTCTATGAAGAAGAGATGCATGCATATGCATCACCATTATTCCTCCAAAACTCTTTTCCAATAAAGTTATAAGACAAAAGACAACATATGGAGCCTGTTAGAGAGGAAAAGATAAAAAAGCAGCTCCAACACATCCAAATTGATAGCAAGATTAAACAAAATTTCAGGGAAAGTAGACAATGAAATCATGTTAAACACCAAAATTATTTCAAGTGGTAAAGAAATAAAGGAATATGACCTGACACCGAAGATGAGCGACAGGTTTCGCACATCTGCACGTGAACTTTTTCCTTATGTATGAACTTTTGCTGACTTGAAATGTTTCTTCCAGGAATATTGCCCTTAGTGATTTCATCGTTTACTGTTATGTTTGATGCCTCAATAGTGGATTGATCATTCTCCCTAATTAATTTCCTCGTGGAGATTTCCATTGTAACCCGTCTAACGTATCCATTAAAATCTAAAATTGGATAACAAAATAAAATGATGATCAATGATGTCAAGCATTAAAAGTAATCATAGACATTGAGCATCATACATAAGACCAAATTATTCATTGTGAATAATCTATACATAAAAAAAAAAAAAAAAAGAAAGGGTATAAGTAAAATGGAAAATGCTCGTTAAGGGGTATGTTTTATCCTAATAACAAAGCCTTAAAAAGGTCCTTAGCACTTGTAGAAATGCTTACTCCATTCCATGGGCCTTGTTAGGAAAGGGATGGATATGGGCCCTATTTAATAAAGAGGAGGAAGCCCAAGCCACCATATGTTTTTCATGTCATATTGGATTTTGACATGGGTACTCGTTGGGTCTCATTCTGGCGTGGATAACAGAAGTTAATTTTTTTTTTTTTTACTAAAATGACTAAATTTAGATTTTGCTTAGATATATTGTCTACATATGTAAGGTTGAGATTTGAGAGTGATCTATAATGAGTCGAATCAATAAAAAAGATTTAAAGAATCCCTACAACTACATAATAGAATTTCAAGATTGCACCAATAAAAACCTCTCTAGCTACAAAAACAAGAAATTTGAAACGCAATTAGTGTAAAGCTAAACAACCTATATAATAACGTGAGGATTATCAATGAGGAAAAGCCAAATGCAAAATAAAAATGCTTCTTTATCCTCAAAAAAAAAAAAAAAAAGAAAAAAAAGAAAAAGCTTCACCTAAAATACCAAAAGCTGTCCATTTATGTTAAAAGTGAGTTCAATAAATATATATTACCTTTAGGTGAAGTAGGATGTCGAGGAACACATAAGTGAGAATATAAGTGCGTGTCAGATTTCAAATACTCCCCAACTTTCTGTATGAAGCTCTTTTTCCTCTGTTTCTTGTTTCCCGTTGTTTCCACTTCTAAAATCCGAAATTAAACCCTTCTATTAACAATTACATGCTAAACGGAAAAAAACCCATTAACAAAAAGCATTGAAATTAGAATAAATTGACAGTGGTATAGCAATTTAACCTGTAGTAGAAGAAGAAGGGACGATTCTTGATGCTAGAAAGTTCGTTAATGGAGGAGAAATCAATGGAGCGAACATGTAAGAATCGGATTTTAGATAGTCAACAACTTTCTTGAGAACTTTTTTCTTGTTTTTCTTCACTGATCTCTTTCTCTTATGAACTCCTAATAACTCTCTCTTATCCATTTCTTTCTTGTTCTTTTTGGCGTCACAATGAAACAGTGAAAACGGAGAACGCAGAACCGAAAACAGAGGAATTGCTTTGACATGAAGGGGGAAAAGTGTAAAAAAGTTCGTGCCGGTTAGGATCATAATGAACACCTGTCGAATTGTAACATCGACAACTTGCTTCTTAACTTGATTGTACTGGATGACGCGTCTAAGAACACCTGTTGCAGCTTATGTTAGAGATTGGAACGGGGACCACTCAACGACACGCCGCGTATAAGTTTATCCTCGTGACGTTTTTAGTTCTGTTCCTCATGGCTCGTAGTCGTTGGCTTAATTTAATATATGTGCTACTATTGGTAATATAACTCAGTAGAATTTGAAAATTTATAAAATTAATTAATGCCAAAGAAAAATAGAATAATTGTTGAATCCGTAATCATATGAGCTTATAAGTAAGTAAGTGTTAGAATTCGATTGTACATAATCAATTGACTTATATTAGATTCACCACTCATTCACTTATAAGTTTTTAACATTTCATTATTAATCAAGGTGAAGTTTAGTTCCCAACAAATTCATCATTAATAGATAAAAGAAATCAATTAATCTTTTGATCTATAAAATGGTAAAAATTGATAAAAAGTGAATTTTCCTCTTCAATATTAGTAAAAAAAAATTGATAAAACTTTTGTTCATTAATGTATAAATCAAATAAAAAAAAGTAGGTATGATGATAATTTCCATGTTGAAATTGCTAACTTAATTAATCATTAAGCCTTCTTTCTTGTTGTACCATGCATAAATTAATTAAGAACAAAAAGAGGCCTTTTATTTTGTTTACAACCACAATTCTTCATTTAACATTGATTGATTTCCTTTTTTCTAATGAGATTTTGATACAGGCTTTAATCCATTCTTCAAAGCAGCATTCCAAACTAGATCAATTCTGTCCACATCTATTGCTCCAACCTCATGGTGAGTCCAACCTTCCAGTAGGTGAACCACTCCACCTGCATGGCATGCATGAACCACTCCTCTGTCCATTGTATACTGCCACAATAATTATCAGACAGTTAGCTATAACTATATTTAATCTCCCCACCCATAATTAGTTATTAATTAAGGCGATGACAGTTATAACACAATAAGTTAGGCATAAGACAGTCTAGTGACGGAGATTGTCTCACTCACCTCACAACTTCCAAGGCCTTGAACATCTTCTGGTAATCTCATGGCTGCAAGATCACCGTATGTACAGTCTCTCCTGAATGACAATATTGGTGGGACAACAAATTGATGGAAGTGGGCTCCTTTTGGTGCCCAGCTTTGCTCTCTTGGTGTAATCCATTTTCCAACAATCCATGTCTGTCATTAGCACCAACATAAATTAATTAATCAACCATAATCAAATCAAAATGTTGATTATTGTTTAGTAATATTTTAATATTGAACCTTGCAATTCTGGGCTGCTTGATACTTGGTCACTTGGACTAGGTAGCTTTGGCAATCCAATGGAGCTTCCTTTTGTATTTTATGAAATCTCTCTGTTGATAGAGTTAACATCTGCAAGTTTTCTCAAACCATATCAGAATAAACATTAAGTAATTCTAACTTCCTTATTAATGACTATGGGACCATGTTCATTATTATTATTGCCGGCTTATATCTGTTGTGTGGAGCAGAAATACTCGACCAAAAGAATTAATAATGAGGCCTAATTCTTTCAAGGTACATATGCATACACATGTTAGTTAATTATGTTTAGAACAACATCAACAATATTAGATTAAAATGTAATTGAAGTGAGAGAAAACTCACAAGTACTCTGACTCTCCTTTGGCAAAGGTAGAGAGCAATGGCTCTTCCAAGTTTAGAAGTAGCTCCTGTTAAAAACACTTCTTTCACATCCTTAGGAATTTCATTCAGAATGACAGCAGCAGTTAAAGTATTTCCATGAACAACCCTAACTCTAAGGTCTGGGTGTTTGTTCACAAATAGTGTTCCACCACCATTGAGAGCTTCATTCTGTAAAATTCAAGAAATATAAAAAACATATAATTTAAGCTTGTGATAGTTTTATCGAGTAAAATAGAGTTTATCTTGAGGGTACATGGGATTAAAGAATGAATAGTAACAGGAAACATGACATCCACAATTTTTCTACGCTGTTTTATAACAGGAAACATATGATTCTAATTAAAATATTTTCTGAAATCTAAAAATTCATAATAAACTAAGTTTATGATTCTAGGACATTTAAATAATTCATTTTATTAAAAAGCTACACAAATTCAACTGTAATTAAATTCGGATCATTGAATTTTCTTTTTCAATTTTGTTTTTAATACAAATATAACTAATTACCTGAACTAGAAATTAGTCTTGGTTTCAGTTTCGTTGCAGAACTTATAAATTTTTGCAAATAAAGAGAAAAGTAAATGTCGTTTTCTACATAGTGATATTTTAGGTGCAGTATATTATACTGTCTTGTATTAATTGATTCCTTAAGTTCAACTACCATGATCAGTGTACACGTCATAACCTTTAATTAAAATTAAAACTATTTTAGATTTGCCCTTAATTACAAAAAACAAGAAAAATAAAATAAAAACTTAATATTTACATTAAGAACTGACCTTGTTTAATGCAGCTAGACTAATGACTTTCACCCCATCTCTATCAGCCCTAAGGATTGCTTCTTCAATGTGGTTATTAATTCCCTCTTGAGCAAATGGCAGAAAATACTGAAAAGCAAATAAATAAAACATTTATGATTTCACTTTTTAAATTTCAATTAAAAAAAATTCAACATTTCTATTCAATGATATTGAAGTCGTTTTTGGAACTGACCTGAAAGCCAAATCTAGGCACAGCCCATGTTTCGTGACGCCGGCCTCTTAAATTATAAAAGGATATTAGAAATGTTTTAGCTTTAGCCCACATGAATAACATCACCGTAAACGCCAACGGCCACAATGGAAGCATAAAGAATCTGGTTGTATAGGGCTGCGAAGCCACCGTCCGGTTAACGAAAGGGGCATGCATTGAAGATGTAACATCTACTACATGTGCTAAGAAGACGAAATCAGGCACAGGTCCTTTTTTACCTGACAAAAATAAAACAATATAACAAGAACGTAACTATCAGGATTTGAAATTTTAATCTTTTATTTTAATTATTCAACTATAATCGGAAATTTAATGAATTTCAAAGCCCTGTCACTGAAGATTTTGTTATCTCATGTAAGATTATTATGGAGTATATGATAAATTAATCTATAAATCATGATTTTAGAAAAGAATTTCAAGATAGTGTCAGATATATAAAGATTACTATATCGATGCTCAGATGAATTAGATTTGAATCAAGTGGTTACAGTGCTTTATCAATAACTATTGAAAACTACCTTGACTCTATTTATTGTGGGATAGTGATGTGTTTCTTATAAACTTACCTGCATTGGAACTGATTTTCTTGTGAAGTTCCCAAGAATCGCGGTTTAGGGTTTTCCATATTGCATCAAACAAAGGCATAAATAAGCAGAAGTTGGTGCCCATCTCTGTGTGGTGGAGACTGTGATATCTGAATGTGACAAGCCAGAAAAAAAAATATTTCAATGCAACACATACACAGCAATTTAATTTCCTTTCTGAATTTTCATTGACATTGACTTTTGGCATTATAGTCGGTTTATGCATTTGGACGTAGCAATTAATTTCCCAACCACAAAAACCTTTTTGTAGTCCGGCAGGAACTGTATCCATTTACCGGTTAATAAATTTTTACAGGTGCATAAGTGGACCTCTTCGTACTTTCTAGTCTTTATTAATGTATATATAACATAAGTTTATCTTAAAGATATTCCTATATACATTTGAACCATTACATCAACACTACCCCCCTCCACTTGCCAAATTGTTTTTTTTATTATTTTCTTAATTTGGCTCTAACTCGAATTTGAACACTTTTAAATATTTAAAAAGGATTTTAATATGATTAGATAATTGTTTTCATTATTTATAATGAAAAAAAAAATAATTTACTTACGATGGTGTATAGAGGAGGTATTTGAAGAATGGGAGAATCTCAAATAATCGATGAGGAATAATTTCGATATTAGAATGTCCCAAGCATGTAAGAAAATCGAATACCAGTAGATAACCATAAATCATATTCCTTGATTCAAATCCCATCATGTAAGCCGCAATTATTGGAATTCCAGTAATTGTAGTTAATATAAGATGCTCCAAAAATGTTGCAGTTGCACCTACTCACGAAGAATGAATAAATAAATTAATAAATGTATAAGGTTATATGATAAACTTTCATCAATAATAGCCAATTGGGGTTTCACCTGTAAAAGGATGGAGAACAGGAGATGAATGGTGAAGTGAATGGTAATGGGTAAAGAGAAAGCTTCCATGGAAGCATCTATGGACCCAATAATATAAAGGCTCTGAAATTCCCACATGAAGAATTAAAATCAAAATCAAGCCTTTGGTATTCCAAAGAGGAATATTTTCAATGAATGGAGGGAAGATATAACAAGCCAAGGATGCAATTAGACCTTGAAGAATTATCAAATTATCCCTGAAAAATTAGTAAAAAAAAAATTAGAAACAGAAAAAATAATTGAAGGAAAAAATTATTGATCAATTAATTAATTAATTAATTAATTACCATTCCCATTCTTTGTCAATCTGCTTGAAATCATAGCCTTGAGGATTTATGCGGCGAGTACTTGTGAGAAAAAGCATATTAACCAAAGAATCATAGAAGAAATAAACTAATGCTCGAAGAATACAAATAACTAGAATCTGAAGACACCAATCATTCTTGAAAACACCTTCATTAATTTGTGAATATATCATTCTTGCAAGAAGAGGTCCAAATAGCAGATACTTCATACAAAAAACATGACCCAAATCAGAAATCAAAATAATAATAATAAAAATAATAAATTAGAAAAAAAAGATTACATTATACCTTGTACAATCCAAAGTTCTGCCATGGCCAATCTCTAAAAGGAGCTGTATTAACCATCTTCCTTTCTTGATTTCCTTGCTTTTCTGTTTCTTGATTTTCTTGCTTGTCCGTTTCTTGATTTTCTTGGGTATTCTTGGGTTTTAAGCTTTATGCATACCTTTGTGCCAGTAGAATAAGCGTTCTTTGTCGTGAAAAGCAAAAAGTAATATTTGTTATAGCAAACTAGACTTGTAGAGAGTTTAAAGATTAAAAGCAACAGCCCTAATATAGTAGATTAGTAATCGAAGAAGCCAAGGGGAAGATGCAAAGTGTTTCAAAAGAGAGAGAGAGAGAGATGTTCAGCTTGTTATATTACTTTTTAGTATTTCTCTTTTCTCTCTCTGTGTTTTGCTCTCCAAGACTCAACTAAAATGAGACTTGTCGAAACCTGTTTATATAGAGAAGAAAGAAAGAGAAATGGACGAATTTAATTTTGTCTCAAATCAATTGTTATCTAACTACATATTTCTATATGCTGTGTAAAATTAATCGGTCAGCTATGGTGACTAAAAAGCTGTAGATTTAGGGAGTTTGGACGCGTTGTGTTGTGAATTCAATTGTTTGGCAAAGGAGCACAGCTGTAGCGATGGCCAAAATCTACTAGAAATTAATGACTGGTATGGTTGGGAGAGTGGAGGATATGGAGAAGGAAGGTCGCGGTTAGGGTTGATTTGGTAAATATATCGAGTCTCGAGGTTGGCTCCAACCTCCGTGTAGGGTTTGTTTAATATTGATGTTGAGGTTTATTTTCATGTCCATTTTTTATTTGTTTAATATTTTTTTTTAGGATGCTCCTTATAAATTGTTTTTGTAGTGTTTAGAATTTAGGAAATCATTGTTTAAAAAAAAAAATGATATCAAAAACCATTAAAAGAGGTTCAATACCTATTTTCAAGAAAGACATAAGAAACTCAGATCGGGCTCCTTTTGTTTCTAAAAAATTAAATATATATTTTTAATTTTTTGATGTTTAAAATGTTCAGAAAAATTAGATACAAAAAATATTTTTTAGTTCAAAAGAAAAGTTTAATCCATTTTAAAACTTGAAAATATTTGTTAGAGAGTGATAAATTTATTATAATTTTCTAAAATGTATTATATTATATGGAAGTGATCGTTATTTCACTAATAACTAAACAATAATTTCAAAGTGATAGAATTTTTATAATTAAAATATATTAAATTTATCCTTGAACTTTAATTCAGTAATATTGAATTAGCCAAAAAAAAAATACTTTTAAAAAAAATCTCCAATCCAAAATATTCAAGATGATACTTTTCTCTTCTGCATCTCCAATGATACCAAACATATCCTAGCTATATAAATATGATGAAAACATAACATAGAAAAGAATTAATTTTTGCATTAATATCCAATTTTTAGGAATATATTATATTCGCCAAAAAAAAAAAAAGGTATGTTTCAAAGGGAATGCGAAATGTGTGACTTGTTTCAGCCAAATAATGTGAATAAGGAAACTATAATTTGACTTTGGAGGGCTAAGCACTCTTAATCTAATTCAAACAACAGATTTTATTTATTTATTTATAAATTAATGTCCTATTCCACTCTCTATCAAATGTCCTGTTTTTTTCATATATGTTTCGGACATATGGCTATGAGTTTGTGGGTTTTGCCATACACGTGTCTTCTGTACAACATCCACAAATACGGAAATTCACTGTACTAAAGACTCGTAAATTTTCCAAACTGATTCTTAATTATTGGTATTACTACATGTTCAGTTTAGTTGTCATATGCTCCAACTAATTCTTGAATTACATAAACCTACACCCCGGAATTCCGGACAAATTTTATGTCACACCCAATTTTTTATTAAATAATTTTATTTATAAAATTATACTTATCAAACGCTTTAACTCGTAAAATAATATTAATTAAACATTTATAAGATAATTGAAAGTGTAAAAATTATTACTATAAAAATTATATTAATTATATATTCAATCAATATTTTAGGTATAAAAGTCAAAAAAAAAAAATTAAATGATGGAGAAGCTTCCTCAACTACCTTTGTATGACATTTAAAACTTTAATTCTATCTTCTCAACTCATTTGAATTTATTCCGAAAATGATTGGAATGCTTGAAATTTTTCGAGCTTGGTTTTTCCCCCATAAGTGATATTTTTCGCAAGTTTAGTGCCATGTCAAAATAAACTGGACGTCACCCTCTTTCAAACACAACTAAGCATGTCCATAATGATATTGAAAATCACCTTAACCAGACTGATAAAATTGCAGATACTGTACTTACTAATCCATCGTCATCTGTTGTCTGTTGATAGCAAATTCGAGACTATTCTTTTATTTATCAAAAATAAACTATCTATTTATATATATAGTTCATAATTTTCTTTAATTTGATATATTAAATTTTTTTTCCTACTAAATATATAAATTAGTACTTGAACTTTATTAAAACAACATAATGATAACCTCAATTTCCATATTTGTACGTTAAAAATCTTTTAATGTATAAAATTATACTTTGAGTTTGTAAAATTGTATTTATTGCGCACTTAAAATTGTTAAAAATGTGAAAAATATTCAGTAATGTATAAAAACACGTAAAAAGTATAATTGAATATCATATCCTTGTAATTACATAATGTATAAATTTGTATCTAACCGATGATTTAGTGTGATTTTATAAATTAAAATGTTCAATATTTATAATTATATAAATTGAAACACATTCTTTTGTTTTTGGAGTGACTTATAACTCTTTTTAAATTAACTTTTAGAGTTTTAATCAAATCAAAACTCAATCTTTATTAATTGTAGAATTGTGTAATATAGTTTTTAGAAATTGAGTGAGCTCTTCATGAAATATTAAACTCTATAAAATTTATCTTTTAATTTTTTTTTTATAATCATACTCATTTTTTTCTTTCGAATTTATCTAACTAAACCATTAATGTCTTTTGTTGTCAATTTAAGTTAAATAGCTAATTAAAAACGGTTATCAACAGATCAAATTTTATTTTTAAGATCCACATCTTTTTCATATTTAAATGGATTAAATTTTACCCGTTCCAGAATACTTGATAGTAAAACTAGTAATTGTCATTTTTACATACGGGAATACATAATCATAATAATAGATATATTACTTTTTTTTAACCTTAGGAAGTAAAATGAAATGATATGATTCCTTCCCGCTTCACTAGAAATTTCAAATTAATTCTATTTATATATATAATTTCTTTAAAATTTTGGAAGAAAAAGTTTTACCCTTCTTTATAAATATGTCCGATGAACTGATGAACATAGGGTAATGTTCTTCCTGTTGTTTTGTTGCTTTTCCCTTTTTATAAAAGCACTTTTTCATTCTAAAAAATAAAAAATAAAAAAATCTGTTAATTCTTAATATTAAAAAATTAGAACCTCTTAAAAAAATAGAAAAAAAAAAAATTTGAGCACAATGCAGTAGTGTTCACAATAATAAAATATGTTGATGTACGTGGCACGCAATTAACGTGATGGAAAACAAAATATAGATAGAATTAATTAATGCTTTGAATTTATGAATTTTGTTGAAACTCCCGACTGAAAAACTATAGCGTCAGCAAACTAACAACATGCCATTTATCCAAAATAAATGTTTAAATATAAAAAGAAAAGTCAACCAATGAAGACGCTGACCAGAGTTTGGGCGGCACTGCCAATCCGATTGGGCACCGACTCCTCCATTATATTATAGCAAACGCGCATGTTCTGCCATGCTACTTTCATCACTTGCTTTGCAACTTCTGACGCTTGTACCCGTAGGTTTCAATTAAGAACAAGGTTCTATAGTTGAAAATTTTCTTTTTCTCCTTTTTTTTGTTTACTTCTCCTTTCTAAGCTATCGAACTTTGACACCTGAAAATTGATTGTTTAAAAAGTATTTTTAAATTAAAATAATTATTATCTAATGCGATCTTTACAGTTCATAAAATTGTTGAATTCAATATTATTGTAAAGCAATCCAAGAATAATGTTTTTAAATATATTGTTTCAACATGAGAAATTATCCGAGAAGGTATTTAATCTTTACGTGAATAAATTGCTAAAAAGTAACTCTACTTATAAATATAAAAAAATCTTTAAATAGTGTTTAACGACTGAGAAGAGCCTCTAACATGTCAACAAGGGCGGCAGCCAAGAGAATAAATTTCAAGCGGTGTAGTCAGACCATAACATTCAAGTTCAAGAACAACAGAGGGACATTCTCTGCTAGAAATAAATGAATAATGGACAAAAGAGTTGTACAAGTCCAGTAAAAACTTTCGTTTTTGTTATTAACTCCGATGAATTTCCTTGATGAAAAGATTGTTAAGCTTTCCTGCCAAGTTGAAGTGTTACAGCGAAAAAAACGAACGGAAATGGTTTTAAGTGTTTATTTACATGTGAAGAAGTGGTCCTGCAAGTAGCTGGTTAGGTTTGGGTGCAAAAGAGAAGAGGAACGGCAATTGGCACTTAAAAGCTACTCATAAAGTTTACATGTACAAAGCCTTAAAGCTACTCAATTAAAATTTTGAAATTTAACAAATTTTGCACATAAACTGAAATCAATTTTTTTTTGAAAAAAAAATTTGACTCACGTATTTTCAAACTAAAACCGTAGCAGTATTTCAGTAAAATATGTTTTGTTGAAGTGATTTTTAAAATTTTTAACTCTATAATAAAATTCGTTTAAAAATATAATACACTTTTACTTATCCAACTACCTAATAATATATTTTATTTTTAAATTTTATTATTACATAGTATTTTAAGTCATAGTATGTTAAACACTCATGTCCAAATTTGAAAGTTAACAGAATTAGGTGGTGAACTCAAAATTAAATATCATATGATAAAGTCACCTCTTCACTGGCACGTGTTACTTAATTACTCGTCACCATGAAATTAGCATATATGTACGTTAATTAGCTCTTCCTCCCACGTGGAACGGTGGAAGCAACATTAATGAACCACGTCGTCTAAAGAGATTATCACGAGTTAGGTTCCATTGACATATGACCATAAAGTGTAAGAAATTGAAATACTAATACAAGGTCAGAATAGATCCGTGAAAAAATGTTTAATGCATAAATTTGATTAATTTTTCTGGGTTCTTAATTTTTGTAAACGTTAATTATAATCCTATATTTTCACATTTAAATAATAATTATATTCATTACTAAAATAAAATAATTTTGTAAGAATTCAATCATGATTCTGTATTTTTATATTTCATTTTAAAAAAAACATAATTATTATTGAAATATAAAAAAGTATGGTTATAATAAGTTTACTGCAAAGTTCAAGAATGGATAAAAATAATCGCTGAAAGCACATATTAAATTTATTCATTGCGTCAGAAAAAAATATTTATGAAAAATAAATGGTACCTAAACTAGCGGTAAGAGTGATGTCCGGTAACGGTCCCATGTTTAATTTTTGATAACATAATATGTGTATTTGTTTCTTTTAGTAGAATGTATTAGTACGGAGGAAAAAAAACAGAAAGAAACTAACTCATTTGTCGTTAATTTGTTATGTCCACTCATTATTAAAAATTACAGTTGGACATCCTTCCTTTTAAATGAGCTTATTGTCTGAATTGCAACAAATATGAACTCAGTTTCTAACCGCCGTATAGAAAATTCAAAAGGAAAAAAAGCAAGCAAACGGAGATTGCAAGATGTTACAAAATTTTGTACAGGAATAAGGCCCAGATGGAAGAAATGCAAGAGCTGCTTTAAGAGATTTCTCTAAGAATCCGAATTCCTCAACAAAGCAGAAAATATAGGCCCAAGTCGGAGCCTTTGTTTATTAACATACTTCTTTGATCATATTTTGGGTCTGATTTTTACAAAATAAAACAAAGATTAATTAAGTATTTCTAAAATAATTTATTTTAATAATCAAATAAAAACTACAGTACAAATCTTTTTTTTTTTCAAAAATTTAAAATTAATGGACCAATCATAAAAACTTTGACACCAATTATGTAATTGTCTTTTATTATGACTTCAGAGTGCAGGAGTTATTAAGATTTTAGGGACAAACTAGGTATTTGATTCACTAAAATTCCCATCAGAAAGAACTTATAAAAGACAGTAAAACTAATTTTTAACTGTATTTTGTCAATATGTTGCATTTAATTTCATATTTAAAGAGATATCAATAAAATTCAAAATTACGTATATACTATGTACCAGAAAAATCAAAATTTTTAAAAAATACAATTAATATAGTGATAAATTATATATTGCTCTTTTTTACTATTATTCACATAATAAATTAACTCTAAATTTAAATATGTAATTTAATGCACGTACATGAAAAGTATGAATTATTAAAAGTAAAATATGAAAAAAAAAACTTAAAATACATATTATGAATAAAAATGGACAATTATTTTGGGACATCTCAAAAATCTAAAGGTGGGCAATCTTCACGTACATAAAAAATATCAAATTTATCTTTATCACCTATGAGTTGTGGCTTAATTAATAATACAAACCGAGCAAGTAATAAAAATTATTATATTTAATTTCTATTAAATACACCTGCATAAAGGAACGAGTAGCTCGGTAATTAAGTCTAAACTAAATTAGAATATTTTGATAATGGATTCCGGTGTTTTTATATAAAAAAATTTATTTTTACCGGTATACTAACCTGATTGTGACTAGAGGAAAGCACTGATTGTGACTAGAGGAAAGCACGTTGTGATTGAAACTAAATTAGAATCTTTTGATAATGGATTCCAGTGTTTTTATATTAAAAAATTTATTTTTACCGGTAAACTAACCTGATTGTGACTAGAGGAAAGCACGTTGTGGTTGATGGCATATTGCAGGTAATTGTTAGACTTGGTTGGGTTGCTTTAAATTCTGCTGTTCTGATACTAAATTCATTACCTTTGACTTTAAAAGTGTCCTTATAAATGTGGAAAGTAAAAAATACGATAATTAATGTGGTTGGAAACATTTCACTGAGCTTATGACTTTTCTTATCGTACCATACATAGATGTGTTTGGTATCTTGTCATAAAGCCAGCTCAAGAAACTATACATGCACTTACCATAATTTTAGAATAACATTGGTTTTAATGCGTGCAAGTCCGCCAACAACATCTTTTAATTGCAAGTACATATATGCGAAAAAGGAAAATAAAATTAAATTCTTTGCATATCATTATTAAATATTACATGTGAATGTATATTCTTGTTCTTAAATGGGTTTGATTGTCTAAATTGGAGTTAAACCCATGAAAATATTTCAAAGACTAACAACAAGCAATACACGTTGTAAAAACTATTAAAAAAAAAAAAAAAATAAAAAAAAAAAAAAAAAGTAAGATGTTGGCAATCGAATACGAGGAAGGCCCAACTACAAAAAGCATTAAAAAGGTAAAAACTATTAAAAAAAAAAAAAAAAAGTAAGATGTTGCAAATCGAGTACGAGGAAGGCCCAACTACAACAAAGCTTAAAAGGTTTTTGTCTAAGGATCCAAAGTCCTTCAATAAACCAGAAAGTATAGGCCCAAGTCCAAGCCTTTGTTTCTGAATAGTATTGGATATAAATAAAAAATCTAAAATCAATTAAACACTTGTCATAAAGGACAAAAGTAAGCCAATACTACAAATTAATGCAACCATGACAATTAATTCAGTTATTTTAAAATATAATAACAAACTTGATATCAGAAGGAAGCTTCCAAGAAATGCATGTACTGTTATTTTGTATAATTATGCGAACCTTGTAAGAGCCCACAAGCTTTGTTATCTCGTCCCTTGTCTCTTTTCATAGTAATTGTTTAAGGAGAGGCAATCACGGGTTGATTCCTTGAATTCTCATACTATATAATTCAGAATTTCCATTGTTGAAATATTAATTTATTTTAATATTTGTGAATTTTAATTCTATTTTTTTACTTATCTTGTTCAATTTTGTAATATTAATTATTGAGTACACCCAGTGAATTATTAACACTGAATTTTGATTAATTTGTGACAGTATAACAATAAACCAGAATTTGTACTTTGAAGGTTTGTATTTAGCTTCATCATCAATGGCAAGTGCAATGGGTAACCTAGTACCTGCAATCACGTTTATAATGACAACCATTTTCAGTTACGGTATTTCTTGAGAAATTATTAGCAATTTTTCTAATTTTAATCTGAAATTCTTTTATTAATGATATTAAAAATTATTAGCAATTTTTATAATTTTAATCACAAAAGTTTGAAATTCTTAGATTAATGACATTAAAACTTGCACCTTCAACTACTTGGAGGACTTAATTTATCTGAATACATCCTGCTCAAACAGGGAGAAACATGTGTGGACGAGAAAGAAAAGTTAAACTAGTTCATAATTGGGATCTTAATAAGTAGTTTCAATGTATAAATATTAATCTTGATTGTGTTTCATATGTGACTAATTGAGTAGATTAGAGAAGATCAATATGAAAAGCCTGACGAGTATAGCAAAAATAGTAGGACAGTATTGTGTATGAGTGGAGCCATTTCAATGGCATTGCTTAGAGGGCCAAAGCTACTCAATAAATCAGTTCTTGGAGATGATAAGAATTGGTTGCTGGGTTGTTTATTTCTCTTTGGAAGTTCTTGTTGCTGGTCATCTTGGCTGGTTTTGCAGGTACATCCAAAATCTTCAGGTTTCTATTTATAGTTCTATCACATAATTAATTAATTAAGTACCATAATTTTGAGTAATAAACAGGTTCCAGCTACAGAAACCTATCCTGACCATCTATCTTTATCAGCCTGGATGTGTTTCTTGGCAACAATTCATTCTGCAATTCTTGCAATATTCTTAGAACAAGACCTTAGTTCTTGGAAGCTACATTCATGTCTAGAACTCATTCGTTGCTTATTTGCGGTGTGCAATTATTTTTTCCAATTTTTAATTGGTTCTTTTCAATTTTACAAAAATTCATTTTTTGAAATACTTATATTAGTATATATGTTTGGTACCTAAAAAAAATTAATTGGACCTTTATATTTTCAATGTTGCGAAAAATTGATTGCATTTAGGCAAAAATTTTATCATAATTGATAGAATTCCCTATAAATTCTAAAAACACTTTTTACTTTTAAATCATTTATGCTGTATTTGAATAAATCAATATGAAATTCATTTTAAATCTATAATCTTTATAATAGCTAGGATTCAATTGAAAATTCTATAAAGTTAGAAAATTTTGGCCCAAATATAAGAGTATACATTATTCAAAATATAAAATCCTAAATAAATTTTTGTACATACCAAAAATAACATTCAAATATACATTTTTAAATGAATTTTAAGATCCATTTATGTTAAACAAGTTATTAAAAAACTTACTTTCCAATGAAATAAAGTTTATATTAATTTGTAACCCAAAAAAAATTTATATTAATTTGAAAAATTGTTATTTAAACAGGGGATTATAGGATCTGGGGTTTCCTTCTTTATTCAAGAATGGCTCATTTCACAAAGAGGTCCACTCTTTTCTGCAATGTTCAATCCTCTATGCACTGTGATTGTCTTTCTACTAGCTGCTCTGTTTCTGCATGAAGAGATTTATATTGGAAGGTAAAGTAACCTTCTCTCCAATTTTCTGCATGAAGAGATTTAAAATTTTCTTGACAGTGAGTTCTAATTGAATTTCTCTACTTCTGTTTCATTTCAGCTTCATAGGTGCAGTTGGTGTGATAATTGGTTTGTATGTTGTGTTATGGGGCAAGGCCAAAGATTTAATAGAAGACCCACCCCAAGAGAAAGATCCAAAGCTGGAAATTCATCAAATGGCTACTAACATGTTGATAGATGAAGCTGTACAAGAAACAAGTAAAGCTGATAACGAAGAACCTCTTTTATCTTGATGAATCGAATTATAATATGAAAAATGACATTTATTCTCTGTTTGTTTTGGAAAATAAATAGGTTATCATTTAAAAAAAACAAAGAAAATATTTTTTGAACAATGACAAACCTATTATAATTTAATTAACACATATTTACTAATATATTGATCATTATTAATCAACATTAGTCATCGACCACTACAATCAGTCACCAATAACGATTACAATTTATTATCTTCGTACATTTTTTCTCATTTAACCTAACAAATTTTTAATATTTTACCCTAAACAAATTAAAAGACCTCGTCGTATAATATCATGTTAAAAGAGGAAAATCAGAGCCCCTACCATAGGACAAGAATATCATATATTAACATATATATGAATTATTGGGCTGAAATTAATATGCTATAATAAACAAATAACATATGTGAGCAAGATGACAAAACAACTGTAATCACATGAAAATTATTGCTGCATCGTTGAGTTGGTTTTTCTTCTTCCGAGTATCCAAAGCCATATGGGATCCATTGTCTTGTTCTTGAGTTTTGGATTTTCCTTTTGCTTGTAAAGATCCTTTATTTGTACAATCTATGTTTTGGTTTTCATGTGAAAATTCAAATTTTCTTTTCGTATTTGATTTTATTTCTTGTTGATGAATTAATACATTTCTTATTGATTCTTTATATTTATAGAAAGATATTCTTTAAACAATTCGAAGTAACGGACTATTCATGCTAGATAAGCTACAAAAATGGGGCCATGGTGGACAGACTACGAACTTTCTAAGAAGAACGTTCCGTTTTTAATTTATCTACGAGTCATTGCAATCTTATTATTATCGAAAAAGACAAGTATGATCTTGTGAGGTGGTCCTACTGCCATATCCTCTACTTGTAATTTCTGCGCTGTATCATCATGTGCATTGCATTGCCATTTGTGCTTTACATTTATACGTATACAATTATATTACAAACAAACGCAAACTGAATTTCCTATATATTGCTCACACTTCTAAGCGACTGATTCTCAGGGCCAAAAACATGGGTGGGTTAGCTAATTACAAGCCTGAAATGGTCATGATTGGCCTCCAATTCTGTTATGCAGCTCTTGCTCTTTTTTCTAGGGTTGCCCTTGTTAAGGGTATGAGTCCTAGAGTCTTTATTGTCTATAGGCAAGCCATAGCAACTTTTGTAATTGCACCTTTTGCATGTTTTTCAAGGTACCCAATTGCATCTTTTGTCTTGTTTTTAGTAAAATGTAGTAATTTTTATACTACTTATATGTATTTTGAAAAATATACAGTGTTCGTTAATTTCCCTAATTGAGTTGATATTTTGGTAGGAGAAAATCAGGTGGGACTTCTTTGCCATTAAAGAGCTTCTCTTTGATATGTCTAGCTTCACTTATAGGGTATAATATTTCTGAATTTTAAATTTTTTTTTTCTTTTGGTGTAGTTAATTGTATATAGTGGTAGCTTAGCTAATTGTTTTTATTTTGCACAGTGTAACCATCAATCAGAATGCGTACTTTGAAGGTTTATATTTAGCCTCATCATCAATGGCAAGTGCAATGGGTAATCTAGTTCCAGCAATTACATTCTTAATGGCAGCCATTATGGGGTAATTAACAAGGCAGCAAACATTTTTGTAATTAATTAATTAAGCTTTAATTAATTAATATTTGTTTTACTGAAATTGTTTTTCTTTCTGTTTAATCAAACAGATTAGAGAAGATCAACATGAGATGCCTTAGAAGTGCAGCAAAAGTAATAGGAACAATATTGTGTGTTGGTGGAGCCATTGTAATGGTATTGGTTAGAGGACCAAAATTACTGAACTCATCCATTTTTGATGGTGAGAATTGGTTGCTTGGTTGTCTATATCTCGTTGGAAGTACTTGCTGCTGGTCTTGTTGGTTGATTTTGCAGGTACATATATATATATATATATATAATATCCACATTTATTAACTAAAAATTAATTTTAATAGTTAATTAACAGGTTCCAGTTACAGCAAGCTATCCTGACCACCTATCTTTATCAGCTTGGATGTGTTTTCTAGCAACAATTCAATCTGCAATACTTGCAATATTTCTGGAGAGAGACATTAGTGCATGGAAACTTCATTCTTATTTAGAACTTTCCTGTTGCTTATTTGCTGTATGTATATGCTACCTTTTTTCTTGTTTCTTTTTTCTTACAATGAAGCTAAAAGCTGGATTAAGTTATGATGATTGAACAGGGAATTGTAGCATCTGCACTCTCCTTCTTTGCTCAAGCATGGTGCGTTTCACAAAGAGGTCCACTTTTTACTGCAATGTTTAATCCTCTGTGCACTGTTATTGTCACTGTATTTGCTGCTTTATTTCTCCATGAAGAGATATATATTGGAAGGTAATCTTCTCTTCAAGATTTCTTTATCTTCTTCTCTTCAATAGGTTCTCACAATAAAATCCTCGAGTGTTATTTCTTTTCAGCCTGTTAGGAGGAGTTGGTGTCATAATTGGTCTGTACATTTTGCTTTGGGGAAAGGCCAAAGATTTTAGAAAGAATGGTGAAGAAGTAGACCCAAAACTGGGAATCGATCAAATGCAAAATGCCAATACGTTAATAGATGAAAAATGTAAAGCTGATCTTGAAGAACCTCTTTTGTTTGATGAATCGTATTACATTGATGAGAATAGAGTACACAAATAACAAGCTCTAACCTCTTTCAATAGAAGAAGAAGAAGAAGATGAGAATTGGTTAATTATGAAATTAATCGAGCCCAATTTTAGAGTAACAGAAGATAAGTAGCAGCTTAATTACTTGATTTAGTGTTTGTAAATATCAAATTTTTATTTATTTTTGCCTCGTTTAAAATTAGTGTTTATCTTTTGCTACTTAAATATGTTTGTTGTATTGCAATTCTTGATTTTTTTTTTTTTTTTCAATTTATCTTTAGTATTAGTATAGATGTTTGCTTGACATGCTTCAATTATATGGCTTTTCCATGCCCTCTTGCACTATGTTTAGGGAAAAAATTTATCTAGACTGGATCCATAACCCCACTTATGTAAACCAATAAAATTAAAATTTTCCCATACTTAGAAAGAACTATAGAGGGAAAAAAATTAAAGAAAACAATATGGGAAAGGAAGGAAAATTTTAATTTTCCTTGTTTGGATAAATTCCATATAGAGGAAAGGAAGTTGTTGTACAATACATGAAATTATACGTTTTAGTTTTTACCCTTAAGTGTTCCGTATATCACTTTCTTCTCTTATTTTCCACCTATCCAAATAGGGTATTAGGAAAATAGAAAATCTCAAGTTTGATTATGCATTCATGAAATTGAATTTATTAAACGATGAAGCGACTTATGTTTAATGTAGTATATTAAACCACAATTTGAATATTAATTTAGTGGTGGTTTGGTTGGCATTTTCATCTATGTGAAGAGTAAGATATCTCAAGTTTGAATCCTCTCAGTTCAGTTGTTTTCATATGTTATGCCTTTGAGATTTCTATTAAGAAAACATGTTGGCTGTAATTAATTCGTTCAACCTGTTTCTTATTTCCCTTCAAAAAAACATGTTGTGCCTTTTTGAATTTCATCCATTTGGGTGCTAAGAGCTTTCACATGCTAACCAAGAAATGCCAGCTTAACCATTGCCAGACAAAACGAAGCTTTAAACAGAGACGATAGGAAGCAAAACAAATCACGTATGAAATAAATAAATAAATAAATAAATATACAATGAAGAGAACAAAACAAAAACGCCTCATCTTTAAGAGGATAACTCCAAAACTCTTAACTCATGGACCTGTCAGTGCCAATCCTCTTCACGTCAACAACAGTTACAACCTCCATCTCTCCTATTATTATTATTGATCGCATCTCTCATCCGCCGCATCACCAGATTAGTTTACTGGGATTAATGAATACGAAGTACAAATCAATTGCCTAAGTTAGTCATCAACTTTTTAAAATTGCACAATTTTGTCTTTAATGTATCAATTTCTCATTTTATTTTCCTAATTTCATTAATTATTTTTCCAAAATTGGATTGTGTGTTTTGATTCTTGTCGGGATTTTTGTTCTTAATATACTTAGATAGGTTTACATATATATGGAGATGGCCTGATAGCTTGAGATTAGCTTCTGGATGCGTTAAATTTATTTTTATTTTATTAATAAAATGGAGCATAAAAATTTTAAAATTAATAGTTGCTAACAACCACAAACAGTGTCAATCAGATGTTATCTGATTTGGTCTTTCCACTAATGTGAAGAGTAAAAGGTCTCGAGTTTGAATTCTTTCGGTCACAAGTGTTGAGTTCTTTTGACTATAAATATTTTCATCAATTTAATGAGTAATAGAAGACTATCACCTATTGTGTAGCCTACTGTACTATTTCGGCCTGTTGGGCTACCCAACGAATCAACAACAACCAGAAACAAATAAAATAAACATATCTAAATTCAAAGTTATGCTTATCTAAACTAGACACAACTTCCATTTTTCTAAAGTGAGCAGCTGCTCTCAATCCCCATGAGATTGTCTTTACTTATATTTGTTATTATTATTTGTGGTGTGCATTGCATGGTATCAGCACCAGTCAAAGCCTATGCCAGATCAACAACACATAATTCATCACGTTACTTGTCTCCATATATGTGGAGATATATGTAATTATTCGGTTTTTCTAGAACATACATCTACCACTGTCGCATTCTTACTGTGTTAAAACAAAATCTATTAATATTAATCGACTCAACAAGGTTAAAGAATTTTTTTTTTTTTTTTTTTTTTTTTTAATCGACCTCAACAAGGTTAAAGAACTTTTTTTGTTTTCTTTTTTTTTCCTTGATCTGATGGATTCTTATCTGAAATGTATATTGTATAAAAATGGAGGAATAACAATGACATAGTTGAAGCTGCGAAAAACAATACTTAAGGCCCAGGAAAACTGGAATTTGAAATCTTTAATGGGATTGAGTTTTTTTTTTTTTTTTTTTTTTTTTTTTGATCTGATGGATTTACTGAAATTTATATTGAAAAATGGAGGATAAAATAATATTGAAAGCTGTAAAAATATTTAAGGCAGGAAACTGAATTTGAAATCTTTAATGGATTGAGTTTGCCACTTTCACAGTGGCCAGGATTCAAGTCCTTCCCACTCTATATTTCCCTCTCCTGTAACTCTGAAAAAAAAAAAAAAAGAAAAAAAGAAATTGAAATCTTTAATTTAGAAGAATGAAAACAGTCATGTACTAGTGTTGTGACACTACCTACAAATATGGGATTATAGCCATTTACCTATATTAATAATCCTAGCCCGAATGGGAGTAATTCAGTGGTAACAAAGCACTTGTGGGGTTGATCACTATGGCTGAAGTCACGGATTCGATCATCCGCAACACAAATTCTCCCCATATCAGCCTTTTTGTCTTTAAGAACGAGCGGGGGATTAATTAGGTTTGTGGACCGTTAAACGGACATGTGTCTAGATACCCCGTACAAGTATCAAAATAATCCTTTTCATAATCAATTCTCTATAAATAAGGCAATTCTTAAAAGGATAAAATAGAACAATTTCTAAAAAATTTCTATATTTAAAAAATTTCTATTTTTATTTGTTTTTCATCATGGATGGGTAATAGATTCATTCTAAATAAGTTAATCTCATGAAAAAAAATCCTTAACCCCACTTGTGTACCAAACAATTAAAAATAGTAATTTTTTAAAAATTATTCATAATTTATCTTTTTTTTTAGTGTATAGTCAAAAACATTATCATTTCAATAAAAATTCATATTTTTGATTAATTTGGTCAATTGGTGAAGTTATATATTCGGTCGAGGCAAGTCAATCTTAACCATAAACACGAAAGTGAGAGTTAATTACCTCATTTTGAAGAAATACGTATATAATATGTGGTTTAATTTGGTCTAATTCACACCAAAAATATGGCTTTTTGGTATATAAATAAGGCCATGTTCAGCAATAGTTAGTTAAGTTTGCCCAAACAGACTCTAAGTCACTTAATAAGACGTTAAGTTAGGCGGTATGATTTAATTACAATAACAAATCGGCTTGGTTTAAAAATTGGTACTTGCAAATTTCACAGCTAGATAAAGTAGTATTTTTCAAACTAAAGCCAGACCAAATTTTGCAGACGCGTGAATAAGCCTAATGAGTTTTGTCCTACTTGCAACGACGAAAACTGGTTTATAAAAGCTCTACTTGCTCATACATTTTTGGGGCGTCAGGATATTACAGTTAAGGAAAATTATTTTTAGAAGTAAAAGAATGGTTAGTTTTAATGATTGTAAGCCTGTAATGGTGATGGTTGGGTTACAGTTCATTTATTCAGGAGTTGCTCTCTTCACCAGAGCCGCTCTTGTACAAGGGCTGAACCCCAGAGTCTTTGTAGTGTACAGGCAAGGCATAGCAACTTTGATTATGGCACCTCTAGCTTTTCTTTCAAGAAGGTATATAATATAGATAGACTAATTATCTCATCAAAACTCTTCTTTCTCTCTTACTTGCAAATTATCAGATTTTCATTTGTTTCTTTTGTAGGAAAAGTTCATGCAAATGTTCTCTGAGACTAAAGAGCTTTTCTTGGATTTTGCTTGCTTCTGTTATTGGGTATGTCAATCGTTTAATTACACCTGTTTTGCAGTTATTATTATTCTCAACTTGTTATGAGTTTTCATGTGAATTGCAGTATAACAGCCAATCAAAATGCATATTTTGAAGGACTTTACTTAACCTCTTCAACTGCAACAAGTGCAATGACTAATCTAATCCCTGCTATCACCTTTGTAATGGCAACTATTTTTGGGTATGTAAAATTAAATTTAGATTTTGTTTTTCTTGTTGATTATTGGATGAGAAATTATTCAGGTGAAACCTTTGAATTTCTGAGTGCACCTTATTTATTGCATATTTGCCTATTTTATTAGATTGGAGAAAGTAAATATCAGAAGCTTAAGAAGTATTGCCAAGATATTGGGCACAGTGTTGTGTGTAAGTGGAGCTATTTCCATGGCATTACTTAAAGGACCTAAGCTCCTAAATACAGAATTGCTACCACCAAAATCTTTCTTCAGCCCTGGAGGACACAACTGGTTGATGGGGTGTATACTTCTCTTTGGATCCAGTTGTTTCTGGTCATCGTGGATGATTTTGCAGGTAATTTTCCTGTTTTTAACTATTTTTATAAGCAGAAAATTATTATTTCATGTTCAATCTTTTAACAGGTGCCAATTTCAGCAAGTTGTCCGGACCACTTGTATTCATCTTCTTGGATGGGTTTGTTGGCTACAATAGAATCTGCAGTGGTTGCAATTTGTGCCGAAAAAAATCTTACAGATTGGAAGTTGAATTCATATCTTGAAATTTGTTGTTGCTTATATGCGGTAAGTAGTCAATTATTTTCTGATAAAGGAGATGTTGATTTGAAAAATTACTTTTGAAGGAAAAATCTTATTTTTGAAATATTGAGATTGTTAAAGATTTTACATTTCACCATTTGCTTAAAAAATAGGGAGTTGGACTGGCTCTGTCCTTTTTTGGTCAAGCTTGGTGCATTTCTCAGAGAGGTCCTCTTTTCTCAGCAATGTTCAATCCTTTATGCACAGTTATAGTGACTATAATAGCTGCTCTATTTCTACATGAGGAGACATATTTAGGGAGGTAATTAATTAATTTCATATGCTCAACTCTAATTTAGTTTGCTAAATGGTCAATACAAGTTCTAATGGTTTTTTTTTTTTTTTTTTAATTTCTCAGTTTCATTGGTGGTTTGGCAGTAATAATTGGTCTATATGTAGTGTTATGGGGCAAAGCCAAAGATTTTGATGAAGAAATTAAAAAGGAAGAATCATCAATTGTAAAAGTGATAATTGATGAGTCTTTAGAGAAGAAGAATTTCAAAATTGATTTGGAAGAACCATTTCTTTCTCAGAAACATGACAGGGTTGCTGAAAATAATGTCATTCCTTAATGGTTAGACCCATTTAAATAATGCACAATTGTGACTGTGCAATCATTTTGGATAAGGATGGTTCAAGATTCAATTTTGCTGAAAATTATTGACAAGTTGTTATCTTAGCAAGCCTCTTTTATGATTGGGGATGGAAAACTTTTGAACACAATGCGCTTATATCAAGCAAACTCTAATTAATTGAATTAGGATGCTTTACATCACTGATGATAGAGGAATATGTACCCACTGCCCCAACTATAACTGCCATTAGAATAATTATCATAATAACTACTAACTCAATCCCCCAATTCCTATAAATTTCAAAAATCTTCAAATAACAAACACATGGAAGCAAAAATGAGACAGAAACAACTAGAAAAGCTCCACTCAGGGATGTAACTGATTGAAAAGATGGAAATACCAGAGCCAATATAACTGTGCTAATAAGCAAAGATGATCTTATAACAACACCAATTGGCTTCTTTTTTTGGTAGTTGAGTGGCAACCAACTTTCTATTACATTAGCAACTGGTGTTATTGTCAATGGATATTTTGCAATTGGACCTGCTAATATTGTATATATTGCTATCTTCGAGCATGCTTCATGCACCGGCAGATTTAATGTCACTTGGGATTCCACATTTTGCCCATACATCAGGTACCCTATTATGGCCATCGATAAGTAGTTGATCGTGCATATTACAAAACTTGTAAGTAAAACCTGTAAAGAGAAATCAATTAATCCCCTCAGGCCATAGAGCGTGTAAAGATTACAGTGTAAAAAACTATGTTGTTTATAGAAAAACTTACCCCGGAGAACTGTTTTTTCTTTCTCATTGAAGTGTATATAGCAGGGAACACAGCATGAGCGCCATAGCAAAAGGAGTACAAGCTAAGAGCAGTAGGGATTCCTTGAAAATTTATAAGTCTTCTATTGCCATTGAATTCTTGTTTTCCAGATAGACCAACACATAAAACACAAAGAACAACGACCAAAGAAGATATAACACCACCAGCTGAAACATATGACATGACATCCAAATCACTTAACAACATAGAAGGCCAAATCAGGAGTCCTGAAAGAATAAGAAAAGAATGTCTCCCTTCTATAATTAGATTTCCAAGCCTCAATGCAAAATTTGGTGAGAGCTTGTATAAATTGTCTTCTTCTAATATTAGCAACCCTATTGCTACTAAATAGAGCTCTAATGAAATGAAAAGTGCGGCTATTACTCTTCCTTTGGCACCAAACGCACGTCCGGCCATGTCTGAATAGCTAGAGATGTCAGGATATGAATCCATACACCTGCGAAGCAGGAGCGCGGTGAAGTAGGCTGCCATGGCAATTAACAGGAGGAGGATTAAGCTTAACCAACCTCCTGATGATAGTGCGTATGGAATTGATAATATGCCAATTCCTGAAATAAAAAATGATAGCAGCTAATGTATTAAAGGGTAAATTTATTTTGTGGGAATATAAACATGGAATATTTGAAATTCGTTGACAATACATATATATACCCGAAAGTGCATTAATGCCATTGATGCAGCTTTTGAGGAAGCTTACTTGTTCTGATTTTGCAGATGCACTGGCCATTAATAAGAAAAAGAATAAGAAAAGAGAGAAGAAAACTGCTAAGACTTTTTGTATAGGATGAATACTCTGACTGGCTTTCTCCACTGATTAACAAATTCAAGTATAATTTCGTCATCTTTTAGATACACTAACCTCATCTTTTCTTCGCTAATTATCAAACTCTACTGTGATTCAGGTGTGACTTTCAACACTTAACTGCTTTTGTTTCTAAAAGCAGCCATACACTATAATATATGATGCCATTTGATTTCCTTGAGAAAATAATCTAATTATAGTATATATTCTACTACTTCACACGCGAATAAAAAGGAATCGAGGAACAGTTCAATGAACAAAATTCTCTTGACAATTTATTGTTATGAAAATAAAAGATATATTGAATTTTTAATAATTCTTATGTAGGATTTTTTTTTTTTTTTTGAAAACTCATTATAATAAAATGTTATAGATTGAATTCCTATTATAATTCTTATATAGGAATTTCCATTATGATAAAAAGATATAAATTTTAATGAGAAATATTTTTATTATTCTTATGTATAATTTTTTAATATAATTAATTATTATATATTGAATCCTAATATAATGAATTTTATTATAATTATATATTATATATTGAATTTATAATATAGTTCAGTTTTATAAATATTTTTTATTATTCTTATTTAGGAATTTTGATTATAACTAAATGTTATTTATTGAATTTCTAAATATAATTTTTTTTTAGAAGATTTTCATTATAATTATAAAAATCATCTTGATCACAAGAGTTTTCACCAATTTAGTGGAGTAAGAAAAGTGTTAACCTATATTGTATATCTCGTGATGTTATTCTGATTCATTGAGCGTTCAATGAATTAAAAAAAATTAAATGTATAATTATAAATAATTTTTGTAAGATTAAAAGAAATACATAAATTACTATCCATATAAGTTTTGCTTCCATTAATGTAAATTTGTAGAGTTATCCATGTGCGGAGAAATATGCAATATTAATAAAATCGTAACTTTAAAGAGCACAAAAAGTTTAACATAGAACTTTTAAGTATATACAATTTTTCGTATATAGTATATGGATGAATTTATGTATTTAGACAATAATCATTATTATATTAACAACATAATGATTTAAATACATTAAAACGTTGACGATAGCAGCTCCAGATTCAAAACTAATTATATGATTTTTAAAATTAAAATTTTATTTTTATTCCTTGGGAAGTTTAATGGGTCGAGAGAGAAGGAAAAAAAAAAAAATGAAGCCCACATCAATGAATGGCCCATCAACCTAACCGGTATTCTGAACGTAGACAATTGGGCTATGATTGTCTCATTTTTGCATTATCAATAATTATTTATTATTTTACATAAAAAAAAAGTAATGAATTTATTACATAAAAAAAAAGTAATGAATTTATTACTTTTATTTAAAATGAAAAATATACAGTAGAAGAAGGTTTTAAAAAATAAATATTTTGTTGACTTGACTTCAGAGTGACTTCAAAGTTTTTTTTTTTTTTTTTTTTTTTTTTTTTTTTTTTTTTTTTTTTTTGTTTTTGATTTTTTTTTTTTTTTTTTTTTTTTTTTTTTTGAAAGAGACTTCAAAGTTATTTAACACCACCACCAAATCCAGATTTTTTCCTTTAAGAGGTTCAAAATGAATTGAAGACACTATTCATTGTTGTACTCTTTTTCTATATTGAAAATGATTTTTTAAAGAATTTTAAGCAATAAGTGTTGAAAATTCTTCGTGTTTTAGAAAAAGTCTTCAAAAAAAATGTAAAAGCATCACAAAAATAAAGGAACCCAACAACTCATCAAATAAAGACAGTCGATTTGAAAGATGTTACGTAAGTTAATGTATTATATTAAATTCAATTTAAAAATATGGTCAATGTGAGCATTGAGTATTAAGTTAACTTTAGGACACAGTTATTAAGGATGAGACAATTTATCAAACTGATTTAATTTTGATTTGAATTTTTATTTTTTTAATATAAAAATTAATTTTATTCGAAAAATTTATCTAACTAATTTATTTGTATTGATTTAGTTGAATTTAATTTTTTTTTTTAATAATAAAAAGAATTTTTGACGAGAAAACAGAGAAGATATTAATTTCCAGGTTCACAGACACATGTTTCTTCTTCCGCATGATTAAAACCTCCACCAAAAGATATTAGCGGTTGAAACAAGAACGACAATGCTTTGTTGTCGTTTATTTGTTAACCAACGTCACTTTCAATTTCGCTTTTTAATGCGAAGGATTTTCGTTTGGAATTGTCATGAAAATTATGTCTCCCTTATCTTCTTCTCATCTTCTATCAATAACTTCTCACCAGAAATGTTCATTGTGTTTTCACATCATACCAAACACTAATAAAACTCTCTCTCTCTCTCTCTCTCTCTCTCTCTGTCAATTTGAAGGTCCTTCAAAAAAAAAAAAAAAAAAAAAGTACTTTCAAAAGAAAAAAAAAAAAAATCCTCCTCAAAGCTAATTGATATTTTAGTTAAATTAACTATAGTTTTAACAATTTTAGTAATCATGGAGTAATGTGTAAAAAAAAAAAAAAAAAAAAAAATCCTCCTCACCTATTGATATTTTAGTTTAAAATTAACTATAAGTTTTTCAACATTTTATAATCATAGTAATGTGAAAACACATGAATTGAAAAATATATAATAACAGAAAAATATATTTATATATATCCGATATTTGTTCTAATGAACATAAAATCAAGCATATAAGATGCTATACAAAAACAAAAGAAGAACACCATCTACTCATAATAATAAAGAGAACCTAAAAACTAATAACACCCTCCAAGCTGAAAGTCTCAAGGGTGCTTATTCCATCCACCACCAGAATAAGCATTGTCCCTTCTGTTGTTCCTGAAAGCACAGCATCCAACAGAGTAGACAATGATGAGGAAGATAAGGAAGATAATGTTCACAACAGCAACCTTCTTCCAATCTCTCTTTATATTGTCTAGCAATCCAGCCTTGCATGAATTGCAATTGAAGCACAGAATATTCGGATCATTGTTCCAGGCAGCACAGTCAGTATTTGTTGAACTTGTATTTGTCACTGTCCAAGTTGTTGGGTTTTCATATTTATAACCACATTCATCTGCTGGCTTACAGCATCCAGACTGCAAAACAACACACAGATTATCAGAAACGCAGAATAGATCCCTCAAATTCATTTGAAATTTCATATTTTGATGTCCAATTTATTCTGAAAGACACATTCAAAATTTATTTTTGGGATTACGATAAAGGAGGATATGGTTTGATTCTGACGCAGAATCCCAACAAAAGTGCAAGGATATATAAAGCTATAAGAAAAGAACTGAGATGCTCTTTTATCTTCGAATTCAAAACTATCCACTCATAAAAAGGTTAAAAATTTCGTACCCAAAAGTTAAAGAATCAGATTCCATATAATACTATAAAGAATAAAAAGTAATCTTGCTTTTCAAAAAATTCAAAACATTAGTAAGACCAAGTTTGGTTCATCCTGAAAAGGTGAAAGGTATGTAATTGTAATGCTTTATCCATCTAAATAATATACGAGATTATCCAAATAAACTTAAATTAAACGGTTAATTTTTTAAAATCTCTAATTAATTTATTTAAAAAATCAAAACTGTGACAGTACAGATTCCTAACATCCAAACAGAAAAATAATTTAATTTTGAATATGAATCAAACATGTCATGAGATCTTCATGAAGAACACACAGCAAATTTAAAAAAAAAATCCCTACAATTTTCCAAGAAAAATAATTCAGAATAGTCAGATTCAGATCATAAAATTGAAATTAAAAGGAAAGAGAAGGTACTCAAAATTGAAAAATTACCTGAATAGCAGATAAGTGTTCTTTATATAAATCCTGGACAGTATCATTCAAATATTTCTCTTTAAAACTAGAGCAAACTTTCCCATCAATCAAACAACTCTTAATTTTGTTCCAATTCTTAGTGTTATTCACTCTCTTTTGCAACCAGTTTGAGTAATCTCCCAATCTATACTCCTTATATCCCTTATCTGACAACACCTTTCCAGCCCCTTTGTTAGTCACTACAAAAGCAAAGATCGTAAAACAGAAGAGTAACACAATAAGAAGGAACATGACGAGGAGATAAAACCAGAGTAACCACGACACGCGACAACACGCGCCGATCAGTCCGGCCAGAGAAACCACCATCAGGAACACGCCGAGGACTATAACTGGCGTGTCCAGAAACTTCTCGCATTCAGAGGATCCATGATTCCGAAGCCAGATCCCACCGCCGAGGATCGGAATTGAGAGAAGGAAAGTGACAAAGTTGAGAATCCCTACCAAATTGTTGCTTAGACGAAACATGATTATGAGTGGGGACTGTTTGGACGGAGAGAAAGTTTGAGAAAATTTTTGAATTTGTTGAGAGATAGAGGGTGTGGATGGGGAATATATGTAGTAGCAGTTTAGTGCGGCGGTGAAAGGAGTTTGTTGAGCGAGCGAGGAATTGGAGAGAGGTTACTAGGAAAGTTCTACGTAGGTGGGGTAGATTATAAAGTCACGCGCTGGAGGACGCGTAGTTTTGGTGGAGAGGTTGGGTTCAGATTTTATACAATGAAACATTTAAACATGTCATTTTAGCGTGAGTTTTTATATTATCTAACGGATAGTACAGTAACGGTCAACCGGAAAGCCAAACGCATAGTTGTTAGGGAATTCGGATTGCACTTTTTCTAATTTAATCTTTTTTTTTTATCCATTTTATTCTGTTAACTTAATTTTGTAATATGAAAAATAGAAGTACAAATTTTTTAAAAATAAATCATAATATTATTTTGATTTAGTTAATCTTAATAAATAAAAAAGTTCATTTTGAAATTCTGTTTTAAGTTTATGTTTTGATACTTAAAGTTAAATATGAATACGATAAAATGAAATAGAACTAAAATGTGCATGATTTTTAAACTTTAATTTTTTTTTTATAATTTTTAATGTAATAAAATAAATTTAAAAAAAAAATTATTTGCCTCAATTAATTAAAATTAGTTTTTGATCCCTTTAACTTTGGATTTGGTCATCTATTATTATAAATAAGTTATTTGTGCTAATAATATGAGTTAATTTGTTGGTTTGCCTTCAAATTCAAGACAAAAACAAACAAAATTCTACGACATCATTCATACAAGCTTCTATAGTTTTCAATAATCAAATTTTAGTAGTTTAAGGACTCATCTATTCCTATTAGAATCACATGTTGTTAAACAAAATACTATTTATATTTATATTCTTTAAACAAGTGAAAGCCAACAAGTTTATAAGCTGAATTTCTTGAAAAGCGCTGATAATCCCTTTCTTTGAGCTCAAAACCGATGGATCACTTATAAACCAAATGACTTGCGATGGTGGCCTTATTAGAGATGTTTCTAGCTGCTGGATTTGAAGTTTTGTAGCTAAGGAGGGAACATGCTCTGTGCTAGCAGCCGAACTTTGGCCTCAAGACTGCTAAATAACTGGGTATCTCTCATATCAAAATAGAGTGTGTCAATATTGTAGTGGTTCAGCTTATTCAAGGCAAAATGGACTCAAGTGCTTATGAATATCTCGTTAGGTATGGACGATGAAATAATTATGATTTATTTAATATAAACACATCTCAAATTATGTATATAATTTTTAGAGCATAGCGTTCCATTTAAAAGAAAAATGCAACTACATATCAAAGTGAATTATTGAAGGGTAAAATAGAAAAAAAAAAAAAAGATTTAAATGCATGTTATAAATGATAAATAAAGGACAGACAATTAGAGTGGAGGAGAAAATATTGTTTCAAAACTAAAATATGATTTAATAAAATATTAAAATATTCAAAATAGAGAAGCCGTTACGTTGACTAGCTCCGTTTAGCCCTTGTCACCGTCACCGTGACCGGCTCGCTATGTTTCTTGGTTTTTGATGCCCCACAAAACCATTTGACTAACCACGTGTCAAACACGCTTGAGTTACCGACGCCCTGGTGTTCGCGTTTGCGTGTGTTTAGTTTTGTAGTGCTATCATATAACAAGACGCGCTTGTTCTTATTTTCTTCTTCACTGCCTTTTAGTTTTGAGGATGCTGCCATTATTACATATTAAATAAAAGAGAAAAGAAAGTTAATTAATACTAAACTAATGGAGAGATTATCTGTGTTATACTCTCCTCTTTATTAAATACTCGTTACATTTTAAAAAATATTATATTTTCAAATACTTATAGTATATTTATTAATTTAATAAATAATAATTTTTATTTTTATTTTTACATTTGAGATATGAAAACAGTGATCGAATAGTTTTCACCCAAATAATAAATTGAAGGTAATATACAGGGAGTGAGCTTGATGGAGATTCAACGGCCCAGGCCACCCTAAGAATTTTTTTTTAAAAAAATTATAAAAAATTACATTTTGATATTTAAAAATATAGAAAAATTAAAATTAGCCTCCCTTAAAAGCTTCATAAAATTTTGTTTGGCTCACATAAAATAATTGTTCTAACTCTGCCTCTAATAATATAGTCAATTCACTATATAATTTATTATAACTTAGATAAATTGAATGATTTTATTACAGAACTTGAAATGTTTAAATGTGATAAATATTTGAGAATGAATGGATGGAGCATTGTCACGACCCGACTCCATGGGCCGGACCGGCACTAGGGCCCAGGTAAGCTTAAGGCCCCCGAGGCCCGTAGTAAGCCTAAAACACTAGAATCTATTAAGTAAGCCTAAAACACTAGAATCTATTATGCTCGGTATAATTTTCAATTTTCTATTATTTATTTTTCTTCGCCGCCATGTTGTCTATCTTCTACATTCAGTTCTATTAGCGTGTTTTTCGTTGTCTGCTGGTGGGTGCTCCCTTACGCCCTAGTTTATTAGGCAATACTTCTTACTATTTTTACCATATATTACAAGTGGAAATTAATACCAAGATGAATTATTTTGTCTACAATTAGTAAATATCTCGACTAAAAGACTGTAAATGTTCCTACAGATCTTGCGGAGTCACTACTAAGCTTTGGTATCAGTGTCATGCTTTTCTATTACACAGTGTCTTACATAGTAAATATTTAGTTGGTAAACTTAGGATAAAATTTCTTCTAATTGTCGGTTGTGCGAAGAATCATAGCCTAAATCGGATTAAACAGAAAACTTACTTCCTGAAAAAAAAAATCCCCAGCAAGACTTGTGAGTTTTGCTAAGCAGAAAATAATTATTCATCACAACACATGCACGTCCCCACAAATGTGTAACATATATCGTATCTATGTCTCGACTAGCTATAGGAATGACTACACGCACCTGGTCGCACACAAAATGAACAAATCACCAGCACTCACACATCTCTAAACTCCCTTCATATAGCACACTTCATTATTCGCCCTTGGAGAGGTTACAGATTTGCAGCATGGCAGCTGCGCTGCACTGATCAGCCCTCCACAAGTCCGAATTGACCTGCGTCTTCTTCTTTTATTACTCTCGTCACGCCATAGCGATGCTGGCCTCTAGCGCATCCAACGTGCGCCGTTCAGGGCGTCTGCCGGTCCGCGCTTAGGCACTCGCTGCTTCGCACAGGCCCCTTTTATGTGCGAGCTCTTCGCACTCCTGGCGCGTGACATTGTATTTGTTCCCCTTGGGTGCCCATACCTCTATGTCGTCATTTGTCTGAGGCGGGTCTCTCCACTGCAGTTCCCTGTTGTGCCGCGTTAGTGGGACTAGCGACATACTGGCCCTGACACTCATGAGCACATTCGTCTTCTTTCCACTTAACATTGCCGGGCGGCTCTTTCTTTTCTTTTCCATTTCCTCTTTGTCTCCCACCAGGTGTCTGGTCACCATTCTGTTTTCTCATAACAAACAGGGTTATGAGCCGAGTTGCCTTTACTTCTGTCCCGGTGTTCGTGTCGCGGTGTTGACGTCCTAATGCTGTGTCATTGAGACTTGCTACACACAGCTTCACTTTTAGGTTCAAATCACTTGCTGTTCTGCCGCGACTACGAACACGGCTTTCTTTGCCCTAATCCACTACAGCCATGGAAGCGGCGCAAACCCATCAGACTGACCCAAACATGACTGAGCGCTGGCTTTTGTCTACCATCACAACATATCCCGTTAGGAACTGTTTCTTCAAGGTCACCTACGTCCCGTTTTTGATCGCACAAGCATGAAATAAGTGTCTTGTGGCCCATCTCACTCATCCTTGTAGATAATGGGTTTTTCAGAGACTCTTACAAAAATGCAGACAAGATGAGGGGTATTGACAGATAACAAAAATGGGCCCCTGCACCCCAACGCGGGAAGCAAAAGACACACTGGGGGTTATTTCTTCTGCGCTACGAAGGGTTGGCCAGATGATGATTAGGTAGCGGTAGCCCAAGAAGAAGGCACTTTGGAAAGTCGTGCGAATGTAAATTCAGAATATATACCTGCTCCTTAATCTCTTGTTACTTTAAAATCATTTAATAATTGCCAGACAACATCATGGGATCAGCGCAAAGTAGATTATGCACTTATGAGATACTACATAAAAGAAAAGAGAGATTACTCTGAGATATGAAGCCTTACATCAAATTTCACTATGATACAAAAGTCTTATGTGCACTGTATGCAGGAGATAGGCTCAGCTACCTTTATATCTATTAGTAGAACACACCTCTAATTCATACACACATATCAACCGCACAAATTAATATGTGTGTAGACTAATTCCAATTAAAAAAACCATTTAGACCCCAAAATCCATCTTATTCATTCTCTTTTAGTGTTCGATATAAAGATTTAATCTCAACTGAGCACTTAGAATACTCCTAAAGCACGAACATATAATAGACTCCAACATTAGACATCAAGCACATCAATTAGAGGCCTATAAAGAGAGCTACATCATTTATCAAGTAAAAATCATCCAACAGATTACATTTGTGAGAGGTCAGGAAGGTCCACCAGTCATGTAATCCCGTCAGATAAACTCACCTTTAAACGCAATTTGCGAGAATATTGAGCGACCCACCGCTATAGGTTAACTCCGACCAGATTTCCCTATTACCCTGGGACCTACTGCGGGTTACCGATGCGAACCGCGCGCAATCTTAAGCTCCTCTTGTCACACATCGTTTACCCACCCAAACCTTCCAATTTCCCGCTAAACTCATGCTCCTTCCGAATCAACAATCAAAATAGTATAATTTAATCACACCCAATAAATCAAACAATAAAGATAACATAGAAATAACACCTTCATCATTCCTAATCAACTTTAACTCAATTTGACAACATAAATAATAAACGTAAGATCCCCCGATGTATATTACCTCACTCTACAATGTAACTCAATAAACGATCTAACTATTCACACCATCTATCACGTGCATGAGTTCCTTGCATAGCATCGCTACTACGAGCATTTCTCACTCTATGTTCACACAATATTCTTACTCACTCTCCAACACAGAACACCTCACCTACCTTCCCATTCAAGATTTATAACGCATATATTTTTTCAACCAGGCACTCCACTCAATCCATTATTCACCTCCACGCCTACCTCACTTCATAATGTATCGTAACATTGTTCATGAGTTAAAACTAGGTCTCACCTTGAGATCACTTAATCAGACTCTTTAAGACACTGGAGTTATCACACCTCCTTTTCCGCTAGTGTGCGCAGCACAAGCCACTTCACACCATAACAACCCCACTTTTATAAGAAAGACTACTCTACCAACACCATTCGCGATGGGCCGATCGGAAATCAATTTCTCAGTCCAATATTATAATCAAACGTGACTCTAAAACCAACATTTACATAAAATCAGCATTTATCTACAAGAGCCTCCCCCCGATCGCATCGCCACCTTGCTTTTTCCGCATAGCTCTGCCATGAGGATTATCTGTACGAGTCTCTCAATTTCACACTGTCTTTCCCATCTTATCTAATCTGTATCACTGACGTTTATTATATAACCTTACTTCTTACTTCTTACTCTCCATTTCGGGCAATCAAACAATTTAATTTCCCTTCTTCCATATCAAGTAATAGTATAAATATTTAATCACAATACAAAACTTTAGCTATTAACAATCCAAGCTTCGCTATCTAAGGTTAAGCTCGTACATAAAATAACAAATAAATGAAAATAAACATTTACTTAACCACCACATTCTACTGGTTTAAAGTATCCGTATATTTATGCTTGTAGTAACCATATGCCAACTATAATTCACTCTTTCTTTTCTTTTCTTTATCATTATATAACTAAGATCCCGAATACAACTTAATAATATGTGAATCTTAATACAACTTAATAATATGTGAATCATCATTCTCGCCAAGCAAAATTTCAGGTAACGAACCCATTTTATTCGTCTCTCAAATCATAAATAAATATTTATACATCAATCATCATGGAATCTTAAAAGTACGTTCATTTACATATATTTATCCTTGTAAAACAACATAGAAAAATCAAGGTAATTGCTGTCAATTCGCCAAAAGAATTAGCGTTTTTCTATCTTAAAATCATGGATCACACCAACTAACTAGTTCCATGCAAGAATTAGATTTACAACCTTAATTGTACCATGTCAAACAAAAATCAATGGAAATAATTGAAGATAGCTCGGGCAATCAAACAATTTAATTTCCCTTCTTCCATATCAAGTAATAGTATAAATATTTAATCACAATACAAAACTTTAGCTATTAACAATCCAAGCTTCGCTATCTAAGGTTAAGCCCGAACATAAAATAACAAATAAATGAAAATAAACATTTACTTCATATCACAGATTTAGTTCAAGAATTACACTAAAATGGCTGCTGCTAGCCTAAGAAAATCAAGGTCTCTCAATCAAAATCTATATTATAAACACTAATTGACTCATTTACCACCAGAAACTTAACTTATCATGTCAAATACCTCATATCAAAGCAGAAATTTTAAGCAAGTAGCTAGGTTGGCTGCCACCATATCACAATCATTCTAATTTCTTTCACAGGATCTACAATAAGGATCTACAATAAACACCCTAACTTACACATTTCCTTAAAAAAATGCAGTTATAGTGTCAATTAATAGTCAAAAATCAGATTTTCCCAACTATTAGTCATGTGAATAGTGTTTCAGGAACCTAGCATTTCTCATTCGTGATTCTAACAACCCTCTTGGGTTGTGCCATGTATATTCGGGACCCACATGAACAACTCCCACCATTAATTCTTATTCAATATTCTTAATTTTCTATCAAAACAACAATAATACATTCAATCTAATCTACATTAAATCCACACTTTAATTCCATTAATATAATTATCAAAATTCTTCAATTAAATTTATTTGGTGCTAATTTAAATTGGCTTTAATTAATTAAAGTCTTCTAATCGAATCAACACTTTTTAATATATTGGGTAATACGATAATTAAATTAAATTTTAAATTGACTAGCACAAAATACCTAAATTGAATTTAATTTCTAGGAAGTAATCCAAAATTAATTACAAATACCCAAGTACGAACACAGAATTTTGCTGTGACCGAGGGGCAGTGGTGGTGCCGCCGGAACGAAGAGAGAAGAAAGCTTAACCACTGAAGTGCTGAAAGTTGGATGAAATAGAATCGTTGCTCAGCTGAGCGCTGTGCTTCCACTGATCCGTGAGCAGGAGAGAGATGACGTCGAGCGGTGGTGCTGGGACGATGGGTTCGAGGAGCAGGAGACTCGACGCGATTTCCCGATCGAAGGAAGTCACGGCTCTCCTGCGCCTTCTGCGTGCGCCAGAAACGAAAGAGGAGAGAGGAAGGAATGCCAGAACTGCTGTGGCGAGGAGGCGACGACGAGGAGGCGCTGGTCTCAGGCGGTCGGAAAAAATGAGAGGAGGAGAAGGAGAGGAGGAGAAGGGGAGGGGTGGGTCGACGCTGGAGAAGAAGGACGAAGAAGAAGAAAAGAAGAAGAAAAAAAAAAGAAAAGAAAAGAAAAGAAAGGAGAATTCTAAAGCTAGACCATTCCGGTTCGATTCGAACAGATTTGGTCTAATTCTATGATTTGGCTCAATTTGTTTAGTTTTCGAGTTTTTCGCTTGGTTTTCGAAAAATCGAATTGATTTACGGGTCCAGTTTATCAATAATAAAATACTGGCTGGTATAATCTCATTGGTTGAAATAAAAAATTTAGTTTTTAAATGAAAATTTTACGAAATTAAATTTTCGGGTCGTTTCGGTCGTTTCAAGCATATAAAAGTATTTAGGTGCTCACTCACTTGCTATAAACATCTATAAGTATGCTTCAATCTCTATATTCTGAGAGTCCATCCCCAATTATGTATGCTGAACTTTTAGTGCTATGGAGGTACACAACATTTTTAGTACTTCCTTTTCAAAAAAAAAAAAAAAAGTGGGAATCGGACCGCCTTTCCTCGTGCTTTTGTAAATGAAAGAATTTTATTGGTAGTAAAATTAATTTTTATTTTTTTTTGCAACATTAAATATAACAAGTAAAAAATTTATTATTCTTCAATTGACAAAAAATAGAAAATTAAATATTTTTCAATATTTTAGTAATATAAACAGTTTTTATGCTATTACTTATACACGAAAAAGTCCAAATTATAAATTTGAATTGAAAAATGTTTTTGTTGTTTATAGTGGTATGATATTTCTGTTTCTCACTTGGGCGGCCGGGGCACGGCTGAATGTAGTAGAAAATTAATGGCTATCAGCAACTTCTCCTATTTTGCTTTGTGAACCTAGAGAAAAAAAAAAAAAAAAAAAGTGGGAATGGACCTTTTCCTCGTGCTTTTGTAAATGAAGAATTTATTGGTATAAAATTAATTTTTTAGTTTTTTTTCAAATTAATATAACAATAAAAATTTATTATTTCAATTGACAAAAAATAGAAATTAATATTAATTTTTCATATTTTAGTAATATAAACAGTTTATGCTATTATCTTATACACGAAAAAGTCAAATTATAAATTTGAATTGAAAATGTTTTGTTGTTATATGGTATGATATTTTTGTTTCTCACTTGGCGGCCGGGCCACGGCTGAATGTAGTAGGAAATTAAATGGCTATCAGCAACTTCTCCTTTTTGCTTTGTGAACTAGAGACTTATTCCTGTCGTTCATTTATGTGCGTATACATATTTGCTTAAATAGCTAAATTGGGAAAGAACTGAAGAAACCGCGTCATTTTAGATTCATCTCTGTCTCTTGCTTTTTCTAATATCTGTCCTTTCGACTCTTTGACCAGTAGTGATGAGGTTTCAATCTGTTTACTTCAATCTAATTCCGAATGGATACAGACTATCCTCGCTATCCCTCGAACCACCTCCGGCAAGAGCATTGCCGTGAAAGAAAGAAAAGCAGGGTGTGTCCCCAGCATTGCATTTGAGCAGGAAGATGGATAGCATGAAGACTAATTTCAATTCAATCCAATCAAAATAATTAAATAAGTTTGGGAGATCATTTTTCTTATCTAAGCTTTTTAATCTCGAGGTTAGAATTGAGTTTGGTCCAACGAGATGATCAATTAGATTTAGAGAATTAGAGATTAAGTAATCGTGGTGGTGTTCATATGGGAGAGAAAGAAAGAGTTTCTCATCTCAAGTTAAAACGCAATGTATTTGTTGAAAGTTTAAAATTGAGGTGTCCCAAGAATTAAGGTCCAAATGAGATATGATAATCATTCCCAAAGTTTATAAGAGTATTTTAAATGAATTATACGTATAAAAATGTAAGTTGACACTATATTCAGAATTCCACATTGACAGATAAGTGGTACGCTTGCTTACAAGAATGAAAAAACACGTGTGAAACATGGGTTGCTTTCTTATCCTATTTCATTTTTTATACATTATTATAAAAAAAAAAGGGGCTGCTTTTGGCTCTTGCCAAGATGGCAGCTCAGCCAGTGGCAGCCACCCAGAGGTTTAGTTTAACAATAGACTAAATTCCACAAAAATCATTAGAATTTTCTCACACCCTCTTCTTTTCTTCTTTCCACTCACTCTCTTCTTTCTATCTGCCTCTCTCTCTCCCTCATTTATATTTATTTCTTATTTAATTTTATTTCTCTCTATTTTTCTTTAAAGATATTTAAACCAATTATCAAATATTGAATTGAATTCTAAATAACTATACATAAATGATGCGAAATTCACATTATAAATTTATCATAACAAATGAAAATTAATTTGATAATAAATTTAAATCTACATTTTGAATTCATTTTATACCAAATGGAGCATGAGAACGCCTTTCATTTGAAATAATTGATCATTTAAACAGTAATTAAACTTTTAAACAGCTTCAAACCTTGATGGGTTTTGCCATCTCCCTTGAAAGAAATGGAAGTAAGAATATAAAACAAAATTTAAAAAAAAAAAAAGAAAAAGAAAAGGGAATGCTTTGCACAACAAACCAGACATCAAAGATGAAATGGAATCACAAATTACTCAGAAACCAGAAAATTGTGCAACTCGTACAAAATAATTACTGTCGATTGCATAAAGCTCAAGGGAATTCCCAGTGGTGTATTATTAATTCATGAACAGTCTGCATCCACAAAAGGCATTAAATGAGAATGAACAGAGCAAATATGACATTCAAGTGCTTTTGCAAAGATCAGAGATGAGCTGGAAATGTTCCATTCTCTCTCTGCTCATTCCACCTCTCAACCTGCAATAATTTCAAGCATTAAGATCAGAAATTAACTACAATAGTATACATCACTCCGATTTAGTCTTTATTTAAATATCCAAACTACTATTAAGTTCAAAACATGGGAGAATAATATGCAACACAAGAAATTTCATGAAACAGGTGTAATGGCAGAATCATTAAAATGCTGCAAATACAACCATTTAAAATTGCTCATGCATAAAGGCACAAACGATTGGCTTAAATTTATAGTGATAAGCATTGTTCAATAAAGCTCAAATGATAATCATCATTTTGTTGTACACTAAATGTGGATAGACAACAACTAAACAACAAGAGATTCCAAATTCATTGAAATTCAAAATCCATCCAGTCCAATCCATACAAATCTCAAACTCATTCCACCCTACTCGGCCTGGTTACTCACTCACCTTGTGATAACATACAAAAGTTTTTAACTAAAACAAATTCAGCTTAAAAACTTTTTGTGAATAAAGTTGAAAGGAATGGATGTGAAAAACTCGTGCAAAAATAGTTTCAAAAGTCCAAACTAATAATCCATACTGACAAAACCTAAGAGCCACCCACTCTAACAGTTGACAAGGTCAACCTCACTAACAATCCAATCAAGAGGTTGGACAAGCAGATGCTTTTCCAGCAATCTACTTGATTAAGTTATACACAATTGCTTACTTATCCTCCCATGCCTTAATTTGCAATGCATATATTCTTATTTAGTTCTACTTAGCCTGAAACCAGTTAGTCAAAAGTGAAGCAAAATAGAGTTCTAGCACAAGGGTGAGGGGTTGTATCCATTGCAATCCCCCTACATACGCATGCATCCTTTTCAAGCAAGACATGAAAGGTGCACTAGTGACATGTATTTACAAATCAAGACTGATCTCTTTAGTATTATCATCGCATGGAGACAGTACAAGTACACTTTTCAGTCAACTGCAAATGCACAAAAAGTTTGGTGTCACTAACCCATTCACCAGGGCAAAGGGCACGGTAGTATTTGGCAAACCGTTCACATTCATTGGATTCTTCACCCTTTGCTGCCAAGCACCTGCAATTAATAGTTCAAAATTTATTACGGCAGAGTATACATATATACACTACAATAGTGGTAACAGTGGGAATAAGCAGTTCTGCTCATGTATAGAAGTCTGCAAAGGATAGGAAGAGGAGACAGAAAAGTGAAGAAGATGGGGATAACAGTTATCCACTGTATGTCTTTACCTATGAAACTCAATGTACCGGGTAAAACAGTGCCGAGTTTGATTTGTTGTAGGAAATCGAAAATCAGCAGGGGCAGTTTTCAGCTCAATCTAACACAGATAATAGCAGAGGAATAATGAGCATGAACAAAAATTGAGATAAAAAAAATTAAAGTTTTGCAAATTTGTTTGTGAAAGGTGTAAAAATTCATTTAGAATTGTCCCAGGTTACTTAACCAGTCTCTTGCATGAGATACATGGAAGCTATTTTCATTAATTATCATTATTCCCTTTGAGTAAAACCTCAAGATTAATTTCTTAGAGATGGGACGAAACAGATAAATAAAAACTTTGTGCTGAATGTATATGCAAAAGGGCTTATTCAACCAGTTTAATATATCTGATGACCTTTATTACGAAAAGATTCTAACTTCATCAAAATTCCATGGACAAGCAAAGCAAAGAATAAAATTGATTTCTCATATTTTGATCATTAGTGCAATCATACTTTTAAAATAATTCTGCAGACCATTCTGAAATTGTAACTGGACAGACAAGCAATAGTAAGTCAAAAACTTACTATATGACACTATGATCAAAGGCAAGCATTTGTTGCAACCTAAGTGGCAAGTAAAAAACAGCATCAATCTACCCAATTAATATTGTGAAGGGCAAAAAGCTTTATAAGTAGATGCAGAAAAGAGAAGGCTATAGTAGTAAGTAAAAGAGGAGAAGTAGAAGAAGATAATGATATTAGAGATAAAGATGAAAAAGAGGGGTTAAATATGACTAAAGAGAGAATCTGGAAGGTTTATTAATTTATTTTCTTTTCAGAACTTTATATGTTGAGATAACACTGACGACAATGCAAAAACTGTAAGAGCTTGTAGAGCAGTAAATGTAGAAGACAGAAGAGTTGATCCAGAAGAAATTTTGGGGAGCTTCGAGTTCAAGACATCTAACTACAGAAATATGGTTGATGTTAATTACGATTAGAGCATCCTAGCAGATTTCATGCTAAAACCTCATTAGATTATAGTTCTGTGTTGGGGTTATTTTGCTTCCAGTACTTGATAAGTATAATGCTCTTTTGCCATTTGTGATGCATATATGATGATAAAGTTTTGATTTCAAGCCAAATATTTAATGATTTAAGCCTTGATCTTCACTTTGTTGTAAAGAGATTATATTGTCAAACTAGTTAATAACTGCAATAAGTAGAGAGTTCAATATGCACCAAGCTCCTAGAGTGATTAAGAGGGCCGCTGCCAGTTTGCCAGAGCATCTTAAAATGGTCAATACCTCCCACAATGGATATTAAATCACTGAATTCAAAAGCAACCATATAAAATTGGGTGATATAGGAATATGACTATGAGTTTGGATTCAGAACAGTAAAACTCAACACTGGTGTGATGGACAGATATATTCTGATGTACGTATTATGGAATAGTAGCAACTGCTATTGGAAATATAGACCCAAAAACTACAACTTTCTTTCTGCCCAACAATCTTAATTTCCTACCAATAATAATAAAAACACAGGCCCCATTTGGTGACCCGTAATGGAATATAACGTAAAGCCAATCAATTTAACCATAAAAAAGAGAATATAAAACTGAATCAAAACAATGACCACAGATCCAAATAAATTACTACATGCAAATAACAGATGTAGATTTCAATTATCAGAATAAATCAGTTTGGCTGCCCGGAAATCCCTAGAAAATGAAATGGAAAATTGAAGTTTTCTAAATCTATGGGTGCTAGGATTTCAAAATTTCTTTCTTTCATTATCTTTTCTGTTCTCGAGAACCAAACAAAAGATTAAGAGAGAGATCAAAAGCTTACCTCGTCTGCCATGGCTTGTAGCGATCGAGTCTAACGGAGAAACGAGGAGTTGTTGGCTTTGAATGGAGACTTATTAGAAGAGAAAGGCTGTTAATAAGGTACTCTTCGGTTCGTTCTTTTACCAATAATAACACGCCACGTCATTTAAGTGGAATAAGACAGACCAATAGGCAAATAGTTAGACGAGGAAACGTAAAGTTGCCTTTGGCTACAAATATTACAATGTTGTTCTCAATTTATTCCTTTTTTATTTTTCTAACGAATAAGTAAAAATATTTTCATTTTAATAAAATTTATTTTTCATTGATTTGATGAATAAGCAAGTCCATAATTTAGATAAGTCAATTTTAGAACTTAATATTTGATTTTTTTACTAAATTCATTAAATTAAATGAGTTTTGACCCTCACGAGAAATTTAATTCTTTTACGATTCAAATAATTATTTTTCTCAAAATTACAAAATCTTAGCAAATTTTCTATTTTCTTCCTCATCACTGATTAATCCATTATCATATTATTAAAAAAAAATTTCTAAAAAATTTTATTTATCATATTATTCTTAGAATTAGATTCCATAGTTTATTATGTTTTTTCTAATTTTAATAATAAAAAAAAATATTTTTTACTTTTAAAAAACAACTGATAAGAGGACTTTTGATGAATATCATATTATCGGCCTAAATATACAAAAATATATAAATAAATAAACTTTAGTTATATGCTTTTCATTAAAATATTTCAATTTTTAAATTCAAAGACATGAAATATATATTTATTTCCATGTAATTCTCTAACATAACTAAGAGATGCTAGAATCTTACCTATTCATTGTTGTATAATATAATGTCTAATTATCAGTCACCGAAAATGGAAATCTATTGCTTATTCTTCCTAATATCACTCAAACAACATTGACTCTCATACTCTTATAACTACATCTCTACATTTTCTCTCAGCTCATCTTAAATTAGCTTAAACAAAATTGACTAAGCAAACACGTGTACTACGTCGTACCGATAATTAGTTACTAAACAAACATAATTATTGATATAAATACCTAAGTTACCATTTCTCTTGCAACTCATCTCATTCTCTCTTCTTATAAATTCATATCCTTTCATTAACAAATGGCAGAAAATACAAACGGTAATCCTAATCCTACTCCTGATCCTAATCCTGCTCCCGCTCCTGACCCAACCCCCAAGTCTAATCCTCCTGAAGCAGTAGCTGTGGCAGTACCAGAAGAAGCAAGCAAACCTCAAGAAGTAACAGAAAGGAGGATCATGACTCCTAGTAAATTAATGATGAAAGTGAAAATTTATGCTGGATTATTATCAATAATCACTTTCATTATATCTCTTCCAATTCTTGCTTCAGTCGTATGGCTACTGTACATGAAAGATTATGATTGTGAGAAGCTTTTGAGGTTGCCAAAGCTTCAAACTGGGCTTGGAGTTGGTTTGCTCTTTCTTTTCTTGCTTAGCAATGCTGCTGTGTTCTTTAAAGCTCGATTTCCGCTTCCAAGTTTTTTTGTTATTATGGTGCCTTTGATTGTGGTTCTTACAATGGGTCTTGCACTTGTTGGAACTTATAAAATGGAGAGCAGTAGAATAATGGCTTCGCCAATGTGGTTTAAGGAAAAAGTTCGTAATGACAACAATTGGAAGAATCTTAAATCTTGCATTTACAGTAGTGGGGTGTGTGATGAATTGGCTGCAAGATCTATCACTCTTAAAGCATATCAGTTCAGTTTGAAGAAATTAACATCTCTTGAGGTATAATACATTGCAGGTGCTATGCTTTTTTGTAACTTAATTATCTTTAATTAAATACTAACAATTTTTTTGATTAATTGTGTGTTGAATGAAGTCTGGATGCTGCAACCCACCAGGAATATGTGAAATGGATTATGTGAACGCAACATATTGGAGGAGATCTGGGGATGGAGTAGAAGACAAATATGAAGTGGCAGATAGCGACTGTAATACATGGGACAATAACAGAACAGTTCTATGCTATGATTGTGACACGTGTAGAGATGGTTTTGTAAGAGTAATGGAAAGCAAATGGTGGAAACTGGGGGTCTTCCTCATTTTCATGGCTTTGCTTCTCATTGTCTGTCATCTGTTGCTCTTCGTTGCAGCTATGTGGCAGCGTTACAGCGGATAGCTCAAGTTTAAGCACTTAATTTATCAGAGCAGCTCTAGCTAGCTAGCACAACATTCTTTTATTATTATTATTATTATTTTTTTTTATGTTAGTATTTTCCTTTCTGTTTTTTTGGATAGATTGTCTCTTTTTTCGTAATAAGCTAGGATAGCAGCTAGGGTGTTCTCTCTTTTGTTTATTTTTGTTTTGTTTTTAGTTTGATATCTAGACTTTCGTTTTTTGGTTAATAAAATAATTTGTATTTCAATATTGTTTATTGGCAACACTTGCACAAGCAATCAACGTTTTGTGGCCCTTTTGTTTTCACATTTCTTTTATATCTAAATATATTGGAAATAATTCTTGAATCGAGTTGAAAATATTTAGATAATATTATTGGAAAAAAATGTTTTAATGTCGGATGAAGATTTAAAAAGTTGGAATTAATATGTCAAATAGCATACACAATATCATAGAGACATTTAATTACATTACAATCACCATTATATAAAAATTTACAGTGATAAAAACCATTTTTGAATAAGCTTTCTTAAACCTTGTTTTCCATAGTTGTTTCTCATAAATATTTCAAAATTCAGCTTTGTTTTTTTCTTTACATCTTCCGAATGTTTTAATTATACTAATTAATAATGTATGACCTTCTCTCTTTTACGTGTATTTGTATATTTAAATTTCAAGCTTTCTACTTAAGATTACATTTTAAACCCTGTATTCATTTATTTTGAAATCGAAATTCTTATGTATTCTAGTTGAAAGGAAGTGTTTGAATATGTTTCAATTTAATAGCTTCATTGAATTGTTTTATAAAATATATTTCGAAATGAAACAAAGAAAAGAAAAATCTTATATGATAGATTTTATTATATATATGAGTGGTTTTGTTTGAAAAATATGAATATCACTTGAAAATGTGTAAGTACAAGCAAAAGCAAAATGGGGCTAAAAGGGGAATGAATATTTTGTCTACTTTGATGTAAAACTATCTTTTGAATTTATTTAAGATTTAAACTTTGGGTTTATGATTAATTCACCTCATTCTTAGTAAAAATAAATTATTAAATGTTTTAGTTTCAAAATATTATTAAAACAATAAGAAATAATTAAAATTTTTAAGACAAGTAAAATTTAAAAATTAATCGTGTTGTTGAGGTTAGAAGGAAAAAATAAGAATAAAAACAACCGTTCCCATTTTTTAATTTTTTGTAATATCTAATTTTTCAGACATTTTTTCATTTTAAAAGTAGAAAATTAAATATTTTATTATTTTTACCAAAAATGAAGAAACTAATCATAAACTCAAACTTTAATCCTAAAAAATTCAAAATATCTAATAAATTCGACTGATGGCTGCTTCTTTTTTTTTTTTTTTCAGCGTTTATGATGTTAATTATCATGTTAATATGAGTTAGTATTGTAATTTTTTAATGAAAATATAAATCTAGTAATCATTTACCCAAATATCCATTTTTACTGCCTTTTTCTGTTATTACTCATAAACGAAGACTAATGCTTTATCCCACATCGGGCACCAGCAAAAAATGAGATGAATCTTGCAACTATAAATAACAAGCATATGGTTGCGAATTTCAATACTTACCTGGACGGGGTCGATGGGTGATCAATAAGGCCTATGGCCTAGGTTAGCGACCTTCATTGCACTCTGAAGGGGTGCCGTCCTAAGGTCTCCCCAAGTGGGAGAGCCTACGTCGTAATTTGTGGCAGTGGGGGCCTGCGTTCGCGCGGCCCCTGTCAAGACTAGTCTGAATGGTTTAGGTTGTTGGACTTTCAAGTTGACAGCTTGGGCTCCAATTTTGGCTCATCTCAATGGCTTCGAGCTGTGGCTTTTAAGTTGACAATTTTGATTTAATGATGGTAATGTAGTGCTGACGTGTTTTTCTTCAAATTATTTATTTTCGATTGTAAATATTATTCAAATAATATACATGCGGCGGATCTTACCAAATATAAAATCAAAATAATTTTGGTAACTATACTTTCAATTTTGAAGAGTAATCGTAGTCTTTTTTTGTTTTGTTCATTTTTTCTAGTTATACTTCTAAAAATGTATTGATAAACTAGAAGGATACAAAATAGAGTGAAGCCAAAACATTTGACCGACTGTATTTCTTTTTCCGGTATATGCAACTTAGCCAACCGAGAAGAAAGTAATGAACCTATAATTTATACAAAAACAAATTCACACTCAACCAGTGCATCTTAGAAATGCAAAGCACTAGCCAAGAAAAAGCTTCCAAAAATCCTCTGGTGGAAGCTCATAAAATTCACCTATTAGCAAGTTTATGACAGTGAACCCATTTTGCCAATCACAAACCCTATTGACATGCTTTAATGAAAGAGTATCGTTTTTACTTCCAACCAAGAGATGGATCATAGGATGCTCCCCAATTAGCAACACCACCGCCAGTGTTAGAGGCAACTGTACCACTGATCCCGCCAGTGACTGATGCACCATTGCCACTACCATATGCGATCATCCCATCAGCTGCTGGTCCAACACTCATCTGAACAACAGGCCTTCCATATGCATCAACATAGGTACCAGCACCATGTACAGGGGTTGGGTACGAAGGGTCGGAAGTCGCAAAGCCACCGCCGTATGTGTTGGGTGCTAGAAAGCCACCATATTAGCACAAGTACTATGAGAGAATAAAATATTTTAAGCAAACTTTGGAAAGAGAGAGAGCATTAGCAGGCAAGAGGAAGTTACCATGTACTCTCTTTTCAGCATTCAAGACCTCAGCATGCAACTTTTCGACCTCTCTTGCCATCCCAATTAGATTCTGTTCCATGGCTTGCAGTACCTCCACCTTTTCTATGTTCAAACCTTTCTCATACTCAAATGTAGCCCTTTTACCCAAACAACAGATTTTGAAAAAAAAAAAAAAAAAAAAAAAAAAAAGCTTGCAGTACCTCCAACCTTTTCTATGTTCAAACCTTTCCTCATACTCAAATGTAGCCCTTTTACCCAAACAACAGATTTTGAAAAAACAAAAAAAAAAAAAAAAAGATAAGAAAGAAATTCAAAAGCCATTAGAACTTTTGATGATTTGGATTCAGGTTGCATAAAAAAAAAAAAAAAAAAAAAAAAAAGAAAAGAAAAGAAATTCAAAAGCCATTAGAACTTTTGATGATTTGGATTCAGGTTGGCATAAGAGTAGCATTTGGTATTTTTCTAATTCAGCACCATTTCATCAGTAATGCTAGCCTCAGGGAAAAGATTATTAGAAAAAGGAAACGGAAACATTCTAAAATTACATATTCCTATAAATTATCTACTGTTGTAAGTTTGTTGTACTTACCCAAAATAAAAATATATATAAGAAAAACAAGAAAGTCTCTCTCTTTCTCATTTTTAAGTTTCATTGCAAATAATCCATTAACACACGGCAACATATTATATCTCAAGAATCAGTGTACTTTAATATTTCAGTAGCACAAAGGTATTTCAGCAGGAGTAAACTATCATGAGATGATTTTCACCAACCAGGATATTCATAGAATTTCCAATTCTCGGTTAGCATGAACGATATAATCTACTCGATATACAGAGAGGTTGAAGGAACTATGACAGTTTAGTGTTATGATCAACATGACAAAATGTTCAGATCGTCCCAAAGAAAAATATTGGGCAAAGTTCCAACCACTCCCATCAATAAATAGAGAGGCACGGGTGGCAAATTCTTTTAACAACTTTCTACCTCTTAATCAGTAATTTCAACTTGAGAAACTATCACTAAATGTCAGGAAGAGTGCGATGGAAGTATTTATGAACTGCTAACAAAAGAGTTAAGATAATGAATGACTCACCGCAACCTCCTGTATTCATGCTTCAAATTGTCAAGCTCAGCTTCCAAATCTGGTAGACTCTTAACATCAGCACGAACTTTTTGCAATTCCTGAGTGGCCTGTTGAATTTGGGTAGTTAACTCTTGTCTGGCTTTAACCAAGCTCTGTGCCTCCATATGTGCCTGTCTCAGGTCCTTCTTCACACTCTCACCAGCCCTAATTTCTGATTCCATTTTCGTAGTTTTATCCAATATAACTCTAATCTGGATATCACTTTCAGTCTGGATGCTTCTAATGTGTGCCTTGAGTCGTTCCACTTCCTGCTGCACAACAACAAGATCCTGCCTCAAAGCCACATGGGAAGTAGCCAATTTATGATTATCCCCGGCAAGTTGTTCAATTTCAGCTGCCTGAGAAGCAATTTTATTCTCTAAAAGATCTGGAGGAGGACGTCCATCTGATGGCCGATGGCCAGGAGGAAATGGGCCGTGTCGCATCAACCCAGGAGCCTGGACAGCACGTCCCTCCAAAATTGGTGGGATATGCCGTCTTCCAGCCATCAACTTGACAATTACCCAAGTTTATGGCAGCTGTTAAGCTTTAATTTGCCGAATCAGAAATCTCAATGTCCAGATATCTGTTTCAAGCAAGGGAATCATGACCATAAACATGAGGAGATATTCTATAATTTTCTATTTCTACATTTAATGAATCACTTGATTTATGGATTCTAAAGAATCTCTTCCGAAGATACGAAATAATTTCGTACCAACAAGACAAGACAAATTCCTTCAATGGAAAATCATTGGTTAACAGCTCGCGAGTTGTCCTGGGTAGCTAGATAACAGAATTACCTTAAACACACCAGTCTTCATCCACTAACATAATATTAGAAGGACCAATATTGGTCATCCAAGTTTCAGTAAAAACACTGCTAATAAGCCAATCCATACAAAAACAATGGCCAACTGCGCTATTGTTCCGTCTTTTCCAGGCCATTGTGTCATTTATGTATCTAAATTAAATATACACTTCTGAATTTAAATTCTAGTTTCTGGAGTTCTATCATCCAATCTCCCATAAACTTGCAGTCTTAAAATTACTTAAGTTATAAATAACTTTGTTATATTCTTCCTGATTATGCATTCTTCTAGTGAATTAATCCAGTTTTTTAGTTTCATCAATTCGTGGTTTGCTTTCTCAAGCAATAATCGACAGAAAAATTCAAGTTAATTGCTTAATCCATCCCAATCAGAATACACTTGCCATCATCCATAAACACTACTTCTAGCTGCAAATTTAACTAAATAACCTTAGATTGAAATGAATTGACAAAACTCCAATAGTTCCTTCATTAATTAAAAATTATTAACAAAAAAGTAGGTCAAATCGAGCAAAATTTCAAGTTCAAGCTTGGTGCAAGATCAAGGTCAAAATTTTGACATCTGAGAACGAAGAATCATAAGCATTGATTGAATGAAATTTAAAAAAAAAATTCACACATATAATTATAGTTTTACTAAAAGACAAAAATCCATGTAAACTTAAAATAGGAACATTGCAGGTCTGAGAATAAATGCTAAGACGATGTAAGAGAAAGGGAAACTGACAGAGGCTCTGTGTATGTATTTATAGATGTGCCCGGTGTAAAGAGAGACAGCACCGGTGGCAGTTTCGCGGCGCAGGAAGCGTCGAAGGTGAGCGACTGGGCTGGGGACGGTTGTCTCTGCGGCCGATGGCGCTGCTCCAAAAAATAAAATAAAATTAAACAAAATAATTCACTAATTGCAATAAAATACTAGTAATGAATTTATGCCTTTGCTAATTATCGTATTGGTTAAAACTGTAATGAATTTATTCACTAATTTATATTTTAACTCATTAAGCACTATTAGCATATAAAAACTGTATTGATTAAAATTTTCAACTGAACAAATTCGCTTATCTAACTTTTATTTTGGCCCATCAAATATTTTAATTACAAAATTATAGTTATTAAATATTTTGATATATAAAATCATTATATTCAATGATCTAATTTATAAATTAGATCGATTTAAAATTTACTAAATAATTAAAAAAATTAAAATTATTTGTTTAAAAAAGTTGTATTAATAAAACACGATATGTACGTATAAAATTGATAAAACACTAAAAAATGTAGTTGCCAAGAAGAAAGATTTTTAATATTATCCAAATTCGTAGCTTCATCATTTTATTATTTGTCATTCCTCTTAGTTTTAGTGATATAATTTGTTTAATAAATTAAATGAATTTATTTACGAAGTTGAAATTTGAAACTCGAAACTCTGATTATTGGAAGGTTTATCGAGAGCAAAGACAAACATGTATATAAAAGAATATATAGGATTTCACTATTTTTCGCTCAATCTTTTTAGACAAAAATCCAAATTTTATCAATATACTCAGGCCTCATTTGGTTGGGGGTAAGTGATGGGAGAAAGTTGAAGTTTTCAAAAAATACAGATTTTCAGTATGTTTGGTTGACACAGATTGTGTAATTTCTAAGAACTTAAAAATACAACTTCTCTAACCGCACGGGAAGTAACTTCCCCTACTCATCCATAGGAAGTGGACTTCCTTAGCTCAAAAACTTCATATTCCCAATTTCTCCCTTCCAATGTATACGTGTTTGTCCACCAATAATGTGATTTCTGTATTTTTACTTTGGTCCATTTTATTTCTAATTCAACACATTCTCTTTCCTTATTAGGCTTTTTTAAAGAATTATTATTCTTATTTTGTTTGTAATTATGACATTAACCAAAAAAATAAAATTATAATAATATTTTGTACAATATGTAATTAAAAAGTTATATTGATTACAAGTTAGTGGATATTATAAAACGTATTTTATTAGATTGATTTTAGGTTATTAATTTTTTTTTTCAATGAAATATTTTAGGTTATTAACTTTTTTTTTTTTCAATGAAATATTCCAATTATTATATATGATAAGGGTATTTTTTGTCATTTGTAATCTTACAATTCATCAATCCAGTTTTACTTCCTGGAAATTCAATATATCAACCAAACACGCACTCTACTTTTCGGGAAGTAACTTTCCTAAAATTCTATTTCCTGGAAGTCAACTTCCTAGGAAATAGATCGATTTGAACCAAACGAGGCCTTAGATTGTTTGCCTCTAAAATACAATTTTGGAAGAAATAATTTTTTATATTAATTTTTTTGTTATCTTTATAATTGAATAATTCAAATTTCAACTTAAATATTATATGATCGTATTAAATTTTTTTATTTCATAGTCTTTCCTTAAATACAATAGTAATTAAAATGTCACTTAATTTATATATACCAAACATCAAATTAACTAAGACAAAGAAAAATGTAACATTCTTTTAGAACATTGAAACAATTGTTTCATTAAACCATTATTTTCAATACTAATCAATTATTATATTCTATATAAATAAAAATAAATATATTTGCAACTTACTTTTGAATCACAATAATAAACTAATTAAAGAAAGAATATAAAACAGAAAATTCATACCTTTTAAAGACTTCTTCTTTTTGAAAAATAAGTAGATGTGCAAGAATTTTGAAAGTTTCCAATTGGGTAATTAAATTTTTTTTTTTTTTATTGTAGTGATAGATGAGTGAGAAACAAATTTTTTGTTATATTTTTTTTGCGGTGGAAAAAAAAAATGAAACATCGCAAAATTGGTTTTTTGAAAACAAGTTAAACGTGCAAAAAGCAATTAGAATTAAAATTTATAAACTCATACGTTTATGACTTTTCTTTTCTTTTTTTATCCGTAAATTTAATTTCTTTATTTTAGTATTTTAAATCCAAAAAGAACTTAACAAATTTAAGTGTTAAATCGAGCCAACACCCCCATTGAAATACATCATCAAAATAAGATAAATCTCTTCTTGAAAATTAAGAGGGATTACTCAATTGTAAAAATACAAAAGCTTTAGAAAAATAGAGTTAAATAATAACAAAACGTGGAAATAAAACTTAAAATTGAATACATAACTATGCAAAAAACACATTAATTAGAAGCATCCACACCCTTTATAGCTACGTATTTATGACTTTTCTTAGTAAAATGCAAATGAAACTTCACAATATTTAGAAAAAAGAAGTTTTTTCATGAATCAATTATGGTATTAATTTCTAATAACTTATTAATCTAGTAATTGAATTAATTAATATATTCAAGACAAAAATTTAGAACATATTCTTTATGTTTAATTCTCTATATATTCATGATTTATTTCTCAAATTCTGACTTCAAAGCTTTTAAACTTCGACTAATAATCACATATCGATAAACTAATGTATATAAGTTTTTGGAAAGCTTATTATTGGAAACCATAGAACTTGCAATATTTGATATTTTCATAATAAAAAATAAACAGGGATTGCAAAGTGCATGGACACGTTGAAGAGGCAAGATGCAGTCAACAGAAATAAATAATAAACTATAGTATACTCCACACTGTCGTGGGGGAGAGGAGTAGGTGCCACTCAAAATGGCTTGGCAAATAGTCAAATACATACACATGTCAAAAAAATATGGTAAATGGCTATCTCAGCCACAAATTTCTGTCCAGCAAAGTCTTAGATTAGCCACGTTTCCACTTATTCCACTTCCTTCAATCATATGGGTTCAAAAGATGTATTCCTCCACTATGGAGATGTTTAGCCTATTATATTATCTCTAGAGATTTATTCCATGCATTAACAGAACTAGAAAAGTGAGACAAATCTAATACAGTTTGATTTAGTGGTTAAGCTTCATTAGATTTTATATCGGTGATTAAAGGATCGAGTAATAAAATTAACATATTAAATACAGAGAGATTAACTATTAAATAGGAAAAAGATTAATGAAATACCAAAAGAATATATATATTTTTTTACTAGAGTTCAATTGTCTAAAAAATATTAAAAATAATATATATTTCTGCTTGGACTACATTAAAACACAACTATACACCTAACGTTAAAAACCAAAAGAAAAAAAAAAAAAAAACAGTGTTTATTTTAAATTTATTGAAGATGGATAAATTTATTCCAAATATTACATAATTTTTGGGTCACAGTCACAAATAATAATTAAAGCTTTCACGCGTCCATTCCAGTCCTAGGATAAACATTTTTTTATAGACATGAGAATAGAAATGACCATTATAAATAGCTCATGCGTCTCCATATTCTCTTCACTCTTCATCGCAACAGAATCTTGTAATCTGACAGTGTCATTAGAGAACTATAGTATTCCACATAATATTGTTCTTCTCCAAAAGAAAATGGTTCCATTCAAGTCTTTAGCTCTCATTGGTTTGGTTCTTGCACTATCAGCCATTGAATCCGAAAGCAGAGCAGCAAGAAAGGACTTGGGTATTGATCTTGGTGGTGTAGGCCTTGGGGTTGGAGCAGGAGTAGGTTTAGGCATAGGAGGTAGCGGAAGTGGCTCAGGAGCTGGAGCTGGCTCCGGTTCAGGATCTGGTTCAGGTTCTGAATCAAGTTCATCTTCTTCTTCCTCATCCAGGTCTAGCAGTTCAGGCTCTGGTGGAGGTTCTGAAGCAGGTTCATCAGCCGGTTCCTATGCAGGGTCTCACGCTGGATCGGGTTCAGGCGGTGCAGGTTCTGAAGCAGGTTCTGAAGCGGGTTCTTCCGCTGGGTCTCGAGCAGGGTCAGGTTCAGGTCGTCATGGAGGAGGTTCCGGGTCTGGTGGAGGATATGGTGGAGGTTATGGCAAAGGAAGCGGCTCCGGAGATGGTGAAGGATACGGTGAGGGCGGTGGCCATGGTGAAGGGTATGGACGTGGCGGTGGCAATTAAGAGAATAATATACGAATTTTATCAATATATAATATAGTTTAATTAGGGCATGTAAAAAATAAGAAAACTAAGTTCGTTAGTGCTTTTATATGTGTTTGTGTTTCCATCTCTTTCACTGTAACCATTTGGATGCAATAAAATTATAGCTATAATATGAATAAATTAAAAAAAAAAAAAGATTTGTTTTTTCCAAAATTTCTTATCACGAACTTGAACCCCAATCACAACAAGATTTGTTTGTTGGTCATCGTTGTATGAACATTTGATTCGTATGTGTTCGGAAATTTTAGAAAAAGTTTGACAATTGTTAAGCTAAATCCCAATCCCAATCCATCCATGAACAACTTCATAATTAATCAGAAAAAAAAGAAGAAAGAAGAAAGAAAGTGTCTAATTGGTATGCTTTAATCTTCTCTTGCGTACTACACTCATTCATGAATCATAGTACAGAGCCAACGTATTGTCTGAATAAATAATGGATGCAAAAGTAATGGCACCGTTGCTTGAAACGCAAGACTCCATCATTATGCGTTACAGCTTTCCTACTAAAAGAAAGAGGAAGGTACCATTTCATGAGCATGTGTACATTGTTTGCAATTATTGTATAATGGTAATAATAGCCAGTGCTTTTTGGAGCTATCTCCATGTATAAAGATCATCTTGTGTGGCAGACAAGTGGGTTGGTCTAACAATAATATAAAATTAGTGGTAAATTAATAATTAATTAACTAATTACAAGATTTCAATCCTCACATGTATAAGTTGTAATATAGCTGAAGTGATGAATATAAAATGTAAAGTTTGGGTTTGAAATACTCGATTTTGACTCGATTCAATTTAATTTGTAATTAGAAAATTAAAGACTATCTCTCGAAAGACAAAGAGATTGTCATATTGAAATTGTAAACTGATGAAAAATCATTGACAAGTTGGACAATAAGTTAAAGTATGACAATCTCGAGTCCTCAACGTATATATATGATATTTCTGATTTCTATTGTAGCTAACTTAATAGACAGGTTGCCAATACGTTTTGCCCAATTCCAAATTCTATTCAATTTCAAACAACCGCACTTATGCACGGCAAATAAGTAATTTGAAGGAAATTATTTGAAAACTTATTATAGTAATAATGAGTGTTTCTTTTATATAATTTTCTGTTTTTTTCTCTATTTTTTCATTTTATTTACGTTTCAGAAGTGTTCTCTCAAGCCAAACTCAAATATATGAACAAACAGCCTTTAAAGAAGTATATACAATACACTAACATTGCGACTTCTTTCACAATTTAAAAATCAAAACATTTTAATTTAAAACAGTTTTGTCTAGTGATTAGAGCGCACTAAATACTGCACTTAATTATAATATAAAGACGTGTAGTCAGGTTTTTTTTTTTCTTTTGATTTCAACCGATTAGTGTTTATATTCCGGGCTCAAGGAGAAATTCATGCAATTCCATCTCACCCTTTAAAAGTAATATCTTGAAGAGGTTTTAAATATATTCATTACTCGGTTCGAAATGGATTAATTTCTTATTTAATCCATAATCGAGTGTGCGAACATGCTCTCACTAACATATAAAAACCAAAACTCTCGTAATCATGCATATACACTTCAAATCTTGAACATTCCAGCACTTCCTGTTATCATTTTTCATTTTTTCTCCTCATCTTGAATTCATAATTATCTTCTTTTTTTTTTTAATTGTCCTTGCCCACTTCCAATCAATAAATAAAATAATACATAGAATTAATCATATTGCACTATGGTATTGTTAGTGGAATTCGTGGGTCGGCAACAACTCTGGATTGTATATCTCATAATGTCGTGTCCAACATTTGAGAATTGGGACTGCAAAATCATAATAAGGGCCTGCAATTCTTTAGCCTTTTCAGCCACAAAAAACAAATTTCTGGCCGCAAGCCATTAGAATGAAATATGAGTTCACATCACTTTTCCCAGTGATAAAGCAAAGCAAAGCAAACCTAAACCACATGCCTCTCCACTACTTCCTGCTACAGTCTACAAAACTTTTATACGCACTATCATTTGTTTTTTAAAGCAAATATTTTTAATCTTTACCCACTTCATGTTCTTATACTCTTATGAAGAACAAGGAAATCAATTATACACGCTTAGGCTACATTTATTTTCGAAAAATAATTTATCACTAGAAAACATTTTTTAAAAAATATTTTTTAAATAATTTAATTTCTGTTGCTCGATTGTAATATTAAAAATTAGTTAAAAAAAATATTAAAATTTTTAACTAATAAAACCATAAGAAATTTATAATAATAGAAATTTCATATTTTAAAAATTTTATTATTAAATATGAGAAAATATATAAAAAATAGTAAATTATGAAAGTCGCGGTAACTATGATGATGATCAACAGTGGCCGATGGTGGTAATTAGTGATGAACGGTGACTGATGGAAGTAGCTACTGGTGATTGATGAATTAAAAAAATATGCATTAATAAAGTTATAATAAGTTTGTCGATGTCAAAAAATGCTCTTGAAAATAATTTAGTTTCTCTTTGACTAGAAAAATAGTTTTTGATGACTTATTTTCCGGTAAATTGTTTTTGAAAAGATACGGAACGAAATATCAAAAGTTAATGCACTATAAGACAACTATTTTACTGTGAAAAATACTTGCCTTCGCACCATCAACTACCAAAACCTCACTATCTAAACACTATAAATATACCCCTATATCTCTCAGACCCATCTCACCAAATCTTCACGGAAAATAATAGCAATAATAATATCTAATACCCATTTAGAGCTTCGCTTTCTTGAGTTCAAAAATGGCCAATTTCAAGTGTTTAGCTATTCTTGGTTTACTTGTTTTAACCTTCGCATTAGGTGAAACCAGGGTTGCAAGAAAGGACTTGGGGATAGACCTTGGTGGAGTAGGGGTTGGCTTGGGAGTTGGGTTAGGACTTGGACTAGGCGGTGGTGGGTCAGGGTCAGGTGCAGGAGCCGGTTCAGGTTCTGGGTCTGGTGGATCTAGCTCTAGTTCAAGCTCAAGTTCAAGCTCTTCCTCTTCATCGAGGTCTAATGGTGGGTCAGGTGCAGGTTCTGAAGCAGGTTCTTCTGCTGGGTCCTATGCTGGTTCAAGGGCTGGGTCAGGCTCAAATGGCCATGGAAAATGAGTTCACGTACGTCTGTCTTTATGATGATTTGCAAAGTTAAAGCAAAAAATAATAGTAATAAGTGCATACACCACTACAAGCATAGATAATTATTTAGACGTCCTCATGTTGTGTGTTATCCTAAATCAATGTATTGTTGTTGCCTTTGTATTTCAAGTTGCTTGCTGGATCTAAATTTTACAATTGTTGTTTATGTCTCTGTTTTATTGCAACTTATCTTGATTTTTAGACCCTTTTTTCCCATACTTCATATATTATGAGAGACATGCATAAACATATTATGGTATATATATATGTATAATTTGTATCTAATATATTATAAACCACATGCATAAACATATCTCGAGTTAAAATGGATATGTCAATATGACTATTTTAAGTGTTTCTTACACTGAGTGCATATATATACTGCCTATACTCGACTGATATAATAACATATGAAATGGGTATGAGAATCTTGAAAGGCCTGATATAAATTTGAGAGATAAAAGTATATGAGACAGAGTGAACACTAAAAGCGCAATGAAGAATACGAATCAGGTACTCCAAGGTCTGTTGTTTTTGGGGTGGCCTGTTTGGCAGCTGTGGAAAAGGGGAAATAAGTGTGTTTTTATTGAGCAATGATCTACTGTGGACGTGGTGGTTCAGGACATTATTGCTTCGGCTAAGGAGTTACTTTTGGCGGATAAGGTAATTGGTTTTCCAGTAAAGTACCAAATCAAAAGCATAATTCCTGGATCTCTTGGTCTCCTCCACCACGCCTTAATTTCTTAAAACTTAATACTGATGGATTACTTCTCGGGACCTCCTTCACCAGTTATTTTCCAAACATCGAAGAGAGAAGAGGGGCGATTATCGAAAATTTTTTATCGTTTTGACAGTTGGAATAAAAACGGAAAAAAATTAATGTGAAAGAAAAAATGAAATATTTGAAGTAGAAAAATTAATTAAGGATAATTCCGACAAATTTTAATTAAGTAAAATTAATTACTCTAATTCAACATAAAGTGTTGTGACAATAATGTTACCGAGAAAAAAAATTATCACATTTTTGGCAAATCCTTTCCTTCCTCCATCCAAATTGTCTCCGACATTTGTAATGGCGCAATTTCAAAAATCTTTCAATTTAGACCACATTAACTCCAGAGAAATGACATTAACTGAGCCATTCGGGTTTTATTGAACAGAGATGTGGGCCATTTCAAAAATCTTTGAATTTAGACCCACAAAGCCCAACACTTCTAATTGGGCCTCTTTCACTCTTTTTTTTCTCAGAAAAATCGTACGTGGAAAAGTACTTTCCTCCTCAAATGACGGAAAAATTAAATTCCTATAAAAAAATAACATATTTAAAATACATAATTACATTAATACCTTTAATTATAAAAATATTTATACAAATATAATTTTTTACATACTATTATTTACAATACTCAAATATATATAAATATTTTCAAGAAAAAACTCTAGCTACATTATTAAGATTACTTGCTAATTACTTCATCTAGAATTAACATACATGACCAGGTTAATTTATATTTTTGTATGACCAAGTTATAGAAGAGTTGGATTACACGTAGTTGAAGGATGGGATATCGTAGATGAAAGTAACGTGCATGATGCATGACAATTAGCATCACCAACCCCAAATAATATTAATCATTAAACAAAGTTAATTACATTTAGAATTAGTAAAAACATTATATTGTCTATTTCTGATAATGACATTAATTCTTATTTTTTAAATCTTAAACCTTAAATATGGCTATTTAACGGGCAAATGGAATTCGTTGTGGCATGAACAATGTATGAACACCTTGCTTGTAATTATACATCTGAGATCTAATAACAGAATTATAGTTAACTGTATGGGAAACACTAAATAGTCAACGAGAGTGACATTTTTTTGTTTGGTTATTTTTTAAGATAATTGACTAACGGAACGATGAAAGCTTCTTAGAAATGCATAAAAATTATTAAAATTTTAAATTTAAATTTCGTATTTTAAAAGTTTAATCTTAAATGTAACAAATGCATAAAAATAATAAATTGCATTAATGACCAGTGATCCATATTATTGGCTGCAATAGTTGTTGTGGTCGGAAGTAACTAGTTAATAAATTTATGAATGATATTGTCCCTTTGATTTTAACAATATGAAGTTCTATATATATATAATCCTCAAGCAAAATGATGTGAATTGGTACTCTATTATTTGAGTATTCTATTTTATCTTTTTTTAGGAATATTTGAATTTTTTTTCTTTATTTTTCTATGTTTTGATTGTATGGTTATATTTTTTAATTTTAAAATCAATAATTATAATATTTAGATAATAGCAATATATTTTGAAATCTAATATAATTTAACAAATATTCTATTTTATTTGGTATTTGATTTTCATTTTTTAAAAATTTCAAAAATTTTTAATTGCCATTTTTAGAATTTTTTTTCTTTATTTTTCTATATTTCAATTGGAGGGTTATATATTTTTAAATTTTAAAATTAATATTTAGATAATAACAATATATTTTGAAATCTAATATAATTTAACAACTATTCTATTTATTTCGTATAGGATTTTCATTTTTTTCAAAATTTAAAATTTTAAAAATTTTTAATTGGAATCTTTGGATTTTTCTTTATTTTGCTATATTTTGATTAAATGGTTATATATATTTTTTTAATTTTAAAATTAATAGTTAGATAATAGCAATATATCTTGAAATCTAATCTAATTATTCTATTTTATTCAATATTTGATTTTCATTTTTTAACATTTTAAATTTTTAAAGATAATTTGGCTTTTGAAAATTTTTAATTTTATACCTATATTTGTATCTATATATAATCATAGTCAGTGGCTTATGATTACTGTTTTGCTTTCTTTCTTTTGTTAATTTGTTGTATGTTGAATTTTTTCTTTTCTTTATTTTGTATCGCATATTAGTTAATTATTACATATATTTTTGCTTACATTCAAAATTTAATTATCTTCTCGCAAGTAAACATCAATCATCACATTCCTAATCAGACTAAATTATATTTCGAAGAAGAGCATTTTGCTTCCGCCTACCCGGCAATGATATTCAATCAAAATTGTGCATGATTTGGAGTTATATGCTTAAAATTGTTTCATCTGACTTTAAAGCTACAATTCTTCTCTTTTTAAAAACCTAATTTGTACCATTGTTTGAACATCAATTTGTTTAGAATCATATATACCCATCACTTGATTTTTTTTAGTGTTCTTTATTGTCTTTGTTAATAATTAGTACTCAAAAATTTATGCTGGTATGAACTCTTTCTATTTTTCGATATAGCTTCAAGTAGAAAATAAAGGTTCTATATATGCTAAGTTGATACTAATATAAACTTTCGCATTTATAACGTTATTTCTTTTGATTGTGGTGATGTTTAAAGATTTAGTTTTATTGATATATAAATTTAACCTTGCTGAATTGGTTGAATTTCTTAAACTGTTGAATGAAGTGATCACGAATGCAAAATATGGTTATTATTCCATGTGTATACATATTCTAGATTTTATATTCTCAGAAGACATTATTAAACAAGACTCTTAAATTAGCTTTTTATTTTTAAAATTTTATACGTATGACTATATTTATTGGTTCATACCTATAAAGATAAATTTATTGACTCACACTAATTAAGAGACATTTTTATTTTTGTTAATTTATTAGTAAATGCAATTTATAAAGTATAAATTATAATATACTAATAAAACAATCCTTTAAACCCGCACAATGCATGGATAGTTTCAAAATAGTTTAGTTTTTTTTTATCAGAAAAATATTTTTGGAGTAAGAGGTTAAAATTTATAAAGTGAAAATTGAGTAAACGTGACTTATTTGAATTTGAATCAACAAATGCTAAATGATTAATACTAATCAATTAACTAGTTAATTTTCTATTTTTATATGCAATTTAAGCCCTGGGCCTTTGACTGTATCAACAACATAAAATTAAGAATATAATCTTACTATAAAGATAAAAAAAAAAAAAAAAGAAAATTTAAATAAGGAATCGACATCTGAAACATTCATAGCCCTAGTATAATAATAATTTCTCTCTTTGCTTGGGAATATACTCAATGTTGAATATTCTATCCACCTCTTTAATTTACGAAAATAATAATAATAAAAATATAAGGAATCAAATGCTACACACAAAGTTAGAATTGACAGATAAAGAAAAAATCTAATATGAAATTCATGAATTTTTTCCCTTAAAAAAATTACTGAATCTCACATCTGCCAACGTCATCAATCAACTTGGATCCTTTTTAAATATTATTTTCGTAGATATTAATTGGATGTTCAGACTAACTCAATGTGCTCCTGCTCACTAAAAACTTTGATAAAAGGAAAAAAATGTTTTTAATAAAAGGGAAATTTCCAGGAGACAGATTCGAATGAGACAATACAGGTACAAGTAGCTACGGCCTCGTAACTGGGTCAGATGATAGAGTGTATAGTAGTCTACAGGCTTCACTATGGTAGGCCCAATCACCGCCAATTGTCGAGTTGGCAAAAAGAAAAATAATACAGTGAGAGATAGAGAGAAATTTTTCGTCAAAAGCCAAAGAGTATATTACAAAAAATAATAATTGCTTGAAAATTTTCAATTTTACTCTCCTTAGCTCTGATTTGCAACACGTGGAGAAAGTTTAGGAAAATAAACAAAAGAGTGGCTGGATCATAAGGAAAGATTATTTAGTGATGGTTTGGATGGGTAAAATGTGAAATTTAAACATTTATGAAAACTACATATAGAATTTTAAGATTTGTTGATTTTGAAATTTAATATTACATTTCACAAAACTAAAAATTCATAATTTTAATAAACTTTTAAAATAAAATGATTTAAAATTATATAATAAAATGGATTTAAATTCATAATATATATTATATATATATATATAATATATATATATATATATTATATATTGATTCAGATATATATTGATTCAGAGCCCAGTGAGCCTCGAAATGAATATTTAAGTGGTTTTATTCTTAACAATGATTTAAATTAACATAAATACATGGTATAGAGTTATGAACTGTGATACTGTCAGAAAATTGACTTTTAAAACCTGCATACTAAAAAAAGGGACGAGGAAACGAATTTACCGGCTATACGGGCTATGCCAGTTTCTTTAATTTTAGTCTCTGGGGTCAACTATAATGTTTTCTCGCGTGACCGGTTCTTCCGGTGGCAAACACTGAATAATTTATTTCCTATTTTAGTCAAGGGCTAAAATATTATTGTAATGTAACTAAATTTCCAGTTTCAAAATGGCATGGTTCCCATGTTCTTCTCATTATTTAAGAACTAAATATTAATATTCAACACTCAGACAAATACAAAAAAAAAAAAAAAAAAAAAAAAAAAAAAAAATATTGAGCAACAAAAAAAAAAAAAAAAAAAAAAAAAAAAAAAACTATTGAGCACTCACCAACTCCTTCCCATCCAAGGAACATAAATAAATAAAAACTGAATTATTTTTTGGGGAAAAAATTATTTATTGTATTAAAAAGTTGAAAAATACTTCTTCCTAAAGTACAACATTTTTTAATAATGTTTTAAAAAATACTTTAGTTAACAAAGTTTTCTTATTGTTGATAGGGTATTATGCACCGTTTAGATAAAATATGATTTAAAATAGAGATAAGTTTAGAATTATATATATTTATGTCCAAAAGGAAAATTTTTTTAAATTTGAAAGAGTTTCATTATAAGATAAAACATAAATGATGACGAATGGTGGGAAAATAAGTGAATTACATACTTATACAATATATCAGTAGTATAAACAAAATGAATTGAAATAACAATTCATTAAAAGTAAAACATGATCTGAAGTATCAAAAATATCAGACAATTATTTTTTTATTTTATTATATTATTATTATAAGTTAAAATTTTTTGATTAGAAATAATAAATAATATTTATAGCATAAGTAAATTAGCAGTAATAAACTAATAATTAAAAGGAAAAAAAAAACTAATTTCACCTTCCACTAGTCACTCTCTCAATGAGTCGATGTGCTGTCTTACTTTCGAAAGTCCAATACCACGATTCTGTATGATCCTTTTTCCTTTATATAAATAATTACGTATAATAATAATAATAATAATAATAATAATAATAATAATTCTGTTATGTTTTTGTTTTGCTATGGTTTCTCTCTCCACTACTCTGGCCGATTCTTCCTTTAACGCGTTCACGCGTATGCTTGTCTCTTCTTTGTGGGTTACCACTATATATAACCCTCCATTTTTCCCTATTTTGGCAGGTGCAGGAAAATTAATCCCCAATTATTTTCTCTGCATCTGTACATACTCTCAATTTCAAAATCCCCTCTCCTTTCCCCAATCATCAATTCCAAACCCAGTTTAAGATCAACAAAATGCCGTCGTTAGAGGATGAGCTTTTCCCTTCTACGCCTGGTAAGTTCAAGATCGACAGAGCCCACACCATGAACCGCCAGTTTCATCGGTGTTTCGCCTCTACAAGCACCATGTTCTTATGGGCTCTTTTCTTGATCGCTTTAACGGCGTCGTATTTGAGTTTTCAAAGTTTTATCGATTCCGGTAGCCGCTACTTTTCTGCTTCTTGGGGCGGTATTCAATGGGAAAAACAAGTTCGGACTTCCGCTCAGATCCACCGTACGGGTGGTATGTCCGTGCTTGTTACCGGAGCAGCAGGTTTCGTCGGAACCCACGTGTCTTTAGCGCTTAAGAAACGCGGAGATGGCGTCGTTGGACTTGATAATTTTAACAATTATTATGATCCGTCGTTAAAGAAAGCGCGCAAGTCTATGCTTAATAACCAAGGGATCTTTATCGTAGATGGTGATGTTAACGACGCTCGGCTTTTAGCCAAGCTGTTTGATGTGGTGGCTTTTACTCATGTGATGCACTTGGCGGCTCAAGCCGGAGTCAGATACGCCATGGAGAATCCTCACTCGTATGTTCATTCTAATATAGCCGGCTTGGTTACGCTACTCGAGGTTTGCAAATCGGCTAATCCTCAGCCGGCTATCGTTTGGGCTTCGTCTAGCTCAGTTTACGGCTTGAACGAGAAGGTTCCGTTTTCTGAATCTGATCGGACGGACCAGCCGGCGAGTCTTTACGCGGCCACAAAAAAGGCAGGTGAGGAAATTACCCACACTTATAACCACATTTACGGTCTTTCAATTACTGGGTTGAGATTTTTTACCGTGTACGGTCCATGGGGAAGACCCGATATGGCGTATTTCTCGTTCACGAGAAACATTTTGCAAGGGAAACCGATCACGGTCTATCGGGGCAAGAATCGGGTAGACTTGGCCCGAGATTTTACCTACATTGATGATATAGTGAAAGGTTGCGTGGGTTCTCTGGATACTGCTGGGAAGAGTACCGGGTCGGGCGGGAAGAAGCGGGGACCCGCTCCATACCGGATCTTTAATTTGGGGAATACCTCACCGGTTACGGTACCGACGCTCGTGAGCATACTAGAGAAGCATTTGAAGACGAAAGCGAAGAGGCATATTGTGGATATGCCAGGAAACGGCGACGTACCATTCACGCACGCGAATATTACATTGGCCCGAAGAGAATTCGGGTACAAACCAACAACCGATTTGCAAACCGGGTTGAAGAAGTTCGTTAAGTGGTACCTCTGGTATTACGGCTATAACCGTGGCAAGGCTGTAAATTAAAATTGCTTTTATTTCAATATTTCTGTTCTTTTTTGGTTTTTTTTCTTTTTCTTTTTGAAGGATTTTTATTTTCCCAATTAAAGAAAAAATGAAAATGGGAAAAGAAAATCTGTCAAAGGTAAAAAGAAAGGAAAAGGAAAGTGAAGTAAAGAAAAGAGATATTATTCTTTTCTTGGGGGGTAATCCACAGTAGTTTTGTTGTTCCTTTTGTGTAATTAACCAAAAGAAAGAAAAAGGGTTTCTGATTTGTTTGGCTATTATTCTTTCTTTAGATACCTAAGCTCTTGTAATTTTTAGTTATATGTTATTTCTAGCTTTTACAAATTTCTTTCATCAAATAAAGATGAGAGCTTTTTTATTACATCTAAACAAACAATTAATTACACCATCAGACTTATAATGGATCGAGCTGTTTCCATAAATATTAATAAATTAATAAGTAATAGTAGTTTTTTTTTCTGAAAGTAATGAAGCAGTAGAAAATTCAGAATAAAAGAAGATAGATTGATATAGATGGAGAGAATTTTTGATCGATTGAAATTTGAATGCGTATGATTTGGAGATATTTTAGCTAAAAAAAAAATGATTGGAGACAGCTAAGATAGAAAGGGACAAGTGGGACAACCGTGAAAGATGGTTGGACTTAGGCAGGGTTCCACGTTTATGTAAACGTATATAGTCACACATAAACGTACAGAAAGGGACAAGTGGGACAACCGTGAAAGATGGTTGGACTTAGGCAGGGTTCCACGTTTATGTAAACGTATATAGTCACACATAAACGTACGGCATCCATCGGATTCCGCTAAATCCAAGCCCTTCTAATTCTTTGTTTTCCATCCAACTGTAAAGGTCTGCACCTTCGTGTTCGCAGGCGCGGAATGAAACTGCGTTCAGGTTACGGACTATAACTTTTTCAATTTTTTAAAATTAAAAATTTTATTTATATTTCTAAAATACATATACACATTCTCCTTTTTCTAATTTTTAATTCTTTTAGTGAGATTATTATTAAAATTATATAATAATAATAATAATAATAATAATAATAATAATAATAAATCACGTCAAAAGGTGCTTGAGATACCAATTTATTAAAAATTAAACATCCATTATTTTTCGCTCTCTCTAATTTACTCCACTTACTTTTCTTTTTTTGAAAAGTACTATCATTATTTTTTTAATCTTTTTAATACCGTTACGGCGTTACATTCTATTATAAAATTAATAATTATAACGAGGATGGTTTTGCTGGCGGACCGATAAGGACGGACTTTTGTTTTTCTTATTGGATGGTAACACATGGGCTCTGGGCTTTTTACTGGACCCATGTTTGTACTGTTTTCGTACTATTTTTTTTTTTTGGCGGCTTGTGTGCTTTTTATGTAAATTGAGACTTTTTCTTTCTTTCTTTCGTTTTTATTTTTTTATTTTTTATGTCGTTTGCAAAAACTTTTGTAGTGTCCTTATTAGCTTTTAAACATTGCTACTGCTAAATGGCTGTTAAAAAAAGATATTGCTAACTAATAATATATATAGTAATATTTTGACCTTAAATAAAAGGTAGAAATAATATTTTCACCTTAAAAAATTTAAAAAATATTGCGAAATTGTTGTTAAAGATTGCTACTGCTAGCTATTAGCATAAATTTGTATTTCTAAAAATATTTTCCAAAACACCTGATAAAAATTATAAAATTATCCTTAAATTTTAGTTTAATTTTTAAAAGAATAACACCGACCTTCTAGATATCTCAGTAATTTTGCACATTAATTGTTATTAATTTTATTTAACTCATATCCTTGGATTATTCTAAAGCCACCGACAGTTTTGATTGGTTAACATGTGGATGTGTGAGATTGGTGAACTCCTTTTGGTCTTTTCGTTATAAAAAAACAATAATAAATACGTTTGGAATCCAAACCAAATGGCGTATTATGATTGTCAAATCTCAAAAGTGTTGCGGCAGTCAATGTCAAATGAATTAAGACACTGCATCCACCGACACTATCTAATTATATATACACATACAATCCGCTTATATAAATGTTTGTATTATTAATTTACCTTGAGATGATTAACCGCAATTCTAAATTTCAATCTTCTAATTTTATTGATAACATTTGTTTTAAAATACAGTTACATTGGATTAATTATCTAAGACAAATATTTTATATAAATTCATCTAAGACAAAAATTTTATATATATATATATATATATTGAAAAAGAATTTAGCTTATTAAATTAATTGTTGCTTATTTAGGATTGTTACTCAATTGACAATTCAGGCTGTATATGTAGAAAGAATCATCATATTCGATCTCCACTAAACGCATCTATAAGGAGGGAGCAAAGAGATTTAACTGTAATTAAACTCCGAGTCTGATTAAACGGTCCCTAATAATAAGGTTCGAATATCGATGGTTTACACTCAGAAATTAATTATTGTCATGCTTAAGTTTAACTCTTTTATTCTATTGGATTAAAGAACTGTATTTCAAAATTCTTAATAAACTAGCTTAATAACTTAATTAAATAAGGTGAAGAAGAATGACATATATATTGGATATAAAGTCATATTTATATTGAATATTGAAAGTTCTATACAATTAATTATATTTGGACGAAGGAAGCAAGACGACAAGGATGAAAGGGATTGAGATATGGATATGAATGTATGAATAGAAAAAGTTTAAAGAATCCAATGTTATCTTGTTTGGTTGAGGGTAGAAGTGTGTGAAGGGGTTGGTTTAATGGTGTCCATTAGTGGTGTATGTAAAATCTAGAACATACAACATTATCTTTTTTTTAATAGTTTGTTAAGTATTTGATTAGACTTTTTGATTGCAAATATTTAAAAATTGAATACTAACATTCTAACCCTAGTTTGATATATGTTAATAATTTATATACGTGGAATGTTGAATAAACTGAAATAACGTTGTGACTACCCGTTTGAATTATATTTACTAAATTGGTGATAACTTTTATAGTGGAGATGATTTTGATTGCAAATATTTAAAAATTGAATACTAACATTCTAACCCTAGTTTGATATATGTTAATAATTTATATACGTGGAATGTTGAATAAACTGAAATAACGTTGTGACTACCCGTTTGAATTATATTTACTAAATTGGTGATAACTTTTATAGTGGAGATGATTTTGATTGCAAATATTTAAAAATTGAATACTAACATTCTAACCCTAGTTTGATATATGTTAATAATTTATATACGTGGAATGTTGAATAAACTGAAATAACGTTGTGACTACCCGTTTGAATTATATTTACTAAATTGGTGATAACTTTTATAGTGGAGATGATTTTGATTGCAAATATTTAAAAATTGAATACTAACATTCTAACCCTAGTTTGATATATGTTAATAATTTATATACGTGGAATGTTGAATAAACTGAAATAACGTTGTGACTACCCGTTTGAATTATATTTACTAAATTGGTGATAACTTTTATAGTGGAGATGATTTTGATTGCAAATATTTAAAAATTGAATACTAACATTCTAACCCTAGTTTGATATATGTTAATAATTTATATACGTGGAATGTTGAATAAACTGAAATAACGTTGTGACTACCCGTTTGAATTATATTTACTAAATTGGTGATAACTTTTATAGTGGAGATGATTTTGATTGCAAATATTTAAAAATTGAATATAATTATTTTTAGTTTTTTAAGTAATAATTAATGAAATTAATTAATTTACTTTTTAGTTTTTTAATAATTAATAAAACTAATAATATCATTCATATTATTTTAACATAATAAAAAATTTCGAATTGGTTTTTCTAATACCCAATAAATTTTAAAATTTTTAAGTTTTTTTTTTATTTTTATTCATTTTGAGATTTATATTAACATAAAAAAGATAGTATGCCAAAACATAATAAAATATTTATATATTAAACGAATTAAGATTTCTAAAAAATGTTAGAATTTAATTAGAATACTCAAATAATTAAAGTTCATATCTTAAAATTTAATAAGACGAACAAATAGTGAACCTAAGAAATATTATTTAATTCCTAAAAATATAATAAAATTGCATATATAATCTGTGCAGTTACATGATAAGAAGGAAAAAACTGTTACATAAAGACACATAAAAAAAAAAAGCTGTTATATAAAAAACAGCTACTATAAAGTTCCATTTAATATTTTAAGTTATGAGTGTTTCAGTTTCAATCAATTCCTGTATTAAATGGATAATAACATCTCTAATCTCTCTTATATATATATACCCAACTCATATACACAATAACTCAAACCAAAAATTAGAAACTAATGGATAGAAGGGTGAAAGTCGAAATTATCACAAGAGAAACTATCAAACCTTCTTCACCAACTCCTCGAAACCTTAGATATAAGAACCTCTCCCTTCTTGACCAATTAAGTTTTGCTATGTCCACGCCAATGCTTCTTTTCTACCCTTTTAGATGTGACAAAAATAACAATATTGTACATGTCATTAAAGAACAATCTCAAAACCTAAAAACATCCTTGTCAAAAACTCTTACCCTTTTCTACCCTTTGGCTGGGGAGCTCAAAAATAATTCTTTCATAGAATGTAATGACTATGGTGTTGAGTACATTGAAGCTCAGGTTGATTGCTCTATGATGGAATTATTTCAAAACCCAGAAAATTATTTGCTTGAAAATTTGTTTCCTATTGATCTCAACCCTGTAGACAAATTCACTGGTGCTATAATTCATGTCAACTTCTTTAACTGCGGTGGATTGGCAATCGGAGTTAGTCTTTCACATAAAATTGCAGATGCTGCCTCTTTAGGCACATTCCTTTTGGCCTGGGCTTCCATGGCTTCTCTTTCTATGGAAATCCTACCTGAGACAAAATGTCCGCATTTTGTCTCCAACACTGTAATTCCATCGGCGGAAAATTCTTTAATCCTTCCATCACCACCACCGTCACTAACTCAGACAAAATGTATAACCAAGAGGTTTACACTTAGTTCTTGCAAAATCGACATGCTTAAAGCTAAAGCTGCAACTTCAACCCTTCAAACGCCCACTCGTGTCGAAGTTGTAACAGCATTGATATGGAAATGTTTAATAAGCGCGTCGCAGGCAAAATCAAAAGGAAAGCACAAGAAATCTGTTTTGGCTCAAGCAGTGAATTTACGTAGAAGATTGGTGCCACATTTGCCTCAAAACTACATTGGAAATCTTTCAGGAAAATTTCTCGTCATGGCAGAGAAAGAAAGAGCTGAGTTAAAAGATTTGGTTGCTCACTTAAGAGAAGGGATAGAGAAGGTGAGTGATAATGTCTGGAAACGAGTTGATGAAATTTTGGATTTTGCTAAGGAGTTTGCAGAGTTGCATAGCAGAGAAGATTTAGATTTGTATAGCTTTACAAGTCTGTGTGGATTTCCATTTTATGATGTTGATTTTGGATGGGGAAAGCCAATATGGACAGTTGTTACAAATTTAGTGCTGAAGAATTATGTGGTGATGCTTGATATGAAGGATAGAAAAGGTGTTGAGGTATGGATGTCCTTGAGTGAAGAAGACATGCCTTTGTTTGAGGCAAATGGAGAGCTACTTGAATTTGCTTCTGTAAATCCTAGTCTTGGATTTGATGATATGGAGGTTCCACCGTTAGAATCTTGTTTGTAATTGTAACGAACATGCATGTTCTTTTAACACAAATAAGCAAATAACAATAAAAGGCCTATGGAAAAAACTACGAGAGTGACATTCTACAGGATTGAACAAATAGAAAGGCCACTTGCAATGGAAAATTGCAGCCTGTCATTTCCTCCAGCAGTCTGAAAAACATTTTTCTTAAAAAGGTGCATTCAATTTTTCTATTCTATATATTATCGTTGCCAAGAACTATACTCTTTCTTATTTCAATTTCTAAAATAATAATCATTTATATGGATTCTTAACGAGAGATTTATAATCTCTTTAGTGTATGAGAGAACTTTATCACTTGAGTTTATTATTATATATATTGTTTGAGACGATTAAATAACATGTTATTTGAACTCAAACTAAATTTGAACTTAACATTCAATTAATTAAATTAAAATTATAAATTATATGAAGTTTGAGTTTGTTGACAAGCCTATTCAATTAATTAAAATTATAAAATTTATATATTTCCCTATCTTATATGTGATGAAATATTTTATGTCAATATTATATATTAATAACCACTTTATATGTTAAAATTTTATTTATGTTAATTAGCTTTCATTTCATGAAAAATTTTATAAAATTTGAAAAAGAAATTTATAATTATAATTATATTTTTATTTCAGGTTCTCTATGAACTTTTTGAATTGAATCTATAAATTGTTCACGAAAAATAACAATTCATTAATTATATTTTTATTTCAGGTTCTCTATGAACTTTTTGAATTGAATCTATAAATTGTTCACGAAAAAATAACATATTTTAAATTTATATATATATATATATATATATATATATAATATATATCTATATATATAATATATATTATATATATATATTTAATATTCATATGACTTCTTATATCAACAACATTTGGTGTGAAATATATTAATATTCATATGACTTCTTATATCCAACAAATTGGTGTGAATATATGTCTTAAAAATTAAAAAAATAATAATAAATTTTTTTTTTGAAAAATTTCATATCCGTCTTAATTAATAGTAAATTAAAAAAAAATTTCCCTGTGTTACAATTAAGAAAACAAATTGGTATAGAATAAAAAAAATCATAAATCTAAGCCGCCCAAACCAGGAGGACCCGTGGCCCACTAATCTCATCCTGATGTGGACGATCCAGATGCATCAAAACAAATCCTGAAGCATATACCGAATCCACTGCTTCTAAAATTCTTATTACCATAACTAGTAAGAAAAATAATAATAAAAAAAAATCCGAAAATGGGAAGTGCAAGCAGAGTGTTACTCTGTAAATCATCATCCTCACTCGTTTTCTTCGGACCAGCTGTCTCTTGCTCTCAACTAAGATTCAAATCCTTCTCTCCGTCACCGATAAACCCTAGAGTTCACAATCAACATCATCGTATGGCCACCGAAGCTTCGCCATCTTCTTCTTCCGTCACAAACGGTGATAATAACGTTCACCCTCCGGCAAATGATGGTGCTGCTTCTCCGCCTGCTGCTTCTGCTATTGATTTTCTCTCTTTATGTCACAACCTTAAGGTATCAACGAGAAAAGAACATTTTGAAATTTTTTTCCTCTTTTGTTTGTTGTTGTTTCTGAGAATTGATTGGTTTGTGTTTACTTGTTTTGGATTTTTAATTACATTAGAAAACGAAGAGAGCTGGATGGGTGAAGAGAGATATAAAGAATCCAGAATCAATTGGTGATCATATGTATCGAATGGGATTAATGGCTCTTATTGCTCCTGATATTCCTGGCATTGATAGAGACAAGTTAGGGTTTCCTCTTTCTTATTCTAAAATGCAATTCTTTACCTTTGTTTTTCCCAGTCCTTGCATTTGATTTCAGTTTCTATTTTTTTATTAAAAAAAATAATTGGTATCAAATTTCAGGTGTATAAAAATGGCCATTGTTCATGATATTGCAGAAGGTATGTCATCTCTTTTTACTTAATGTTTTCCTTTTATTGGTGGAATGCTGTATTCTTGAAAGCAACCATATAAAAAATGAAATTTTAAATTGTTCATATGACTGAAAAAATCTTTTGTTCTTTTAAAAGTCAGCTATATGCTTAACTGTCGACTGTGCAATTTTTATGAGAGATCGCGTAAATGAAATGTCTTTTTGACATGGATTTCCAAATATCAAAAACATTGTGTGATTGTACTTGGTAATCTCCAGGCCAGTATGGATGATAAGAGTTATGATCCACTGTACTTGCCTATGCAGGCGTTTGGTGAACCAAATAAATGAAAAGGGAGTAACATTTTGTATCCATTTACCGACCAATTTGGAAAACTTATTAATATAATTTCATTTAAGATATATACAGAGTCAGCTAAATTGATAGTAGAGCACATAATTGATTCAAAAAAGTATCAAAGAAAGATATACCAAAAAGTCAAAGTACCAAGTATTGGACTTTTTTCTTGTCATTAACTCTTGATGAGGCTATATTAGGACTATGTGAAGTAAAGAAAGTGAGGTTGATTCTGTTCAAAACTTTTGTCTGATTCACAAAGAGCAACATGTTGCTTCATTTAACAAAACAACATATTGGATTTTGTTGTACCATGCTACGTTTGCATTTGGTCGGTTTTTTACTAATGATATCACCTATAAATGGTGCAAATTTGATCATTTGAATATTTACAATAATCCTATTTCAGTTGTCTTGTACTCCTGCCAAAAAGATTATCCACTTTGTTGGATGATTTTTTTCCCTGTGTTTTTTCTTACGTTAAGAATTGCTTGAACAGCTATTGTTGGAGATATTACCCCTTCAGATGGGGTACCTAAGGCAGAGAAAAGCCGACAAGAGCAGGAAGCTTTAGACCACATGTGCAAATTACTAGGAGGAGGGTTGAGAGGTACTTCATACAATGAATTTATTTCTTGTTTTTCATTTCTCTGTACTCTATAGTATAAAAATAATAAAGGAATATATATCTTATAGTATAAAAATTAATAAAGCGAATATATAAATATAATATAATATATATATATATATATTGGAAGGCTAATGATTTTATAGGTACATGGTATATTCGCTAATTTAATGCTAATGATTGATTGCTAAATTTCAGCCCAGGAAAAATATGTCATTATGATGCAGTACGAGGAGAATTCTTCACCAAGAAGCCAAATTGTGAAGGACTTCTGATATATATATGAAGGCTAATGATTTATAGGTATGTATATTCGCTAATTTAATGCTAATGGATTGATTTGTAAATTTCAGCCCAGGAAATATGTCAATTATGGATGGAGTACGAGGAGAATTCTTCACCAGAAGCCAAAATTGTGAAGGACTTTGACAAGGTATTCATTTAGCAATGATTTATAGCCTTATATAATAGTAACTAGCTGCTAACTAACAATCTTAACAAATTTCGAGTTTCATGCTATTTCTATATTTAGTAGCTTTAGATGATCTCTGCTTGATTTGTTGGTTCATATCTATGATCTCACAAGGATTCTGCAATACTGTGCATGATAGCACTTCCAAATAATGTTGACATAGTATCTTAATATTACCAACAAAATAATTTCACCCTAGAATGTCATGGTGTTGTGTTTTCTTTGTTAATCTGTTAATATGCAATCACAATAAAAATTTCCTACTAAAATTAGAAGTGCTAGATGTAATGCTAAATTTGCATGAAATTTTATAATTTGTTTTAATGGGAAAGAGTGGCTGAAAATGAGAATTGTGTGAATCATTGCAGGATGTTTTTCAAATGTGAAAGTTTTCTTTAATCCTTGTTTTCCCTATTTTGTGGCTGGCTACTGTGAAATTTTACAGAACAAGCAAGAAGGGAATATTAGATAAGGAATTAGTAGCACGTAGCTTTAAATCCTAATTTGCACATAGCTTAAAAATCTACCTATTGTTGTTGGATTGCAATGTCAGAGGCTATAAGAGATATGCTAGTGACTGTATGCAGTAACTCCGTACATGATTCTCCTGTTTGGTGATTAGTACTTAAATTGAAGTATCCACTGATTAATCTGATTTGGTTTTTCTGTTGTTCTATCTAGGTGGAGATGATACTTCAAGCCTTAGAATATGAAAATGGTGAGGCTCTGTGTGTTGATTTATTGTCTCCCTTTGCTGTATGTTTTTCTCCTTTGTCCGGACTTCTTAATTTCGTAATGGACCACAAAAGTGCCTATGGTTTCAATTTGCCATCTAATTTTTTTTGTTATTGTGCACAATCTCATTGGTATGCAACAGGACCATTTCTATTAAGAACTAATTTTTTATGTAGACCAATAAATACTTTTGTTGCAATAATTGTGGTTGCTAGCACTTCTGTTACTATTTAATTTTCCATTTTGTTCTGCTTGTTTATGTTGCAAGATTATAATTTGAATTATTTACGGTCATTTGTTATTGGCAAAGTAAGTCCTTGAGGATTTTAGAATACTAAGTGATGAAGTAGACCAATGCATATATGACAGATGCTTTTGGAGGGTGGTTTTAAGCTATTAGAATAACCAGTTTAATTCTGTGCATAGTGATGCTTCCCCCTGCATCCTTTTCCCTTTATTACTCTGTCAGGAAGGTTCATATTCTTTGATGACAAAAATAACAAAAGAGTTGCAACAATTTGAAACAATATATCTTTACTGTATGGTACTTCATTGATCTTGCCCTTCTTATAAATTTCAATGGATCAAAAAAAGTTTGGAATGGCAACTGAAGTTGCTTCTGGCTTTTTGCAGAGCAAGAGAGGGATTTGGATGAGTTTTTTCAATCAACTGCCGGTACAGATTCTTCTGAACTTAATTTATGCCTTTTGTTTTTCAGTGCCTTGTTTGACCTTTGTGGCTAGTCCAAATTATTCAGAAGTAGTTCCAAATTAATTTATTTTGGATTTCTGGTATAACCTTTAGTTCATGGCTATTGAGTTAAGCTTCACTGTCAACGTGAAAAGTGGCATTTCATTTGGAGTAAATAACAAAAGCCCTTTAACATACGACAGAATGTGGAAGTTCAAAAAATAAAAATAAAAATAAAAAAGATTTTCTGAACCAACGCATGTGGAAAAGGAAGTTTCAGTTTATAGTCTTCTTGTCATTACTTGCTGTTCCACAGTTAAAAATTTCTTATTCTGGAACTTGGATATTCAAAAAGTAAAGGTTTAGGATCTGTTCATCATGTGGAGGTTAGAAAGAAGAAAGTTGGATGAATGATGCTTGAAGAGTAAGGAATTAGTTGGAAGAACTTTGGGACAGTGGTAAAATATTGCTTCTTAGATGGATCGTGTAACTATGGAGGCGGTACAATAACACTGTAATGATTAATCTAGCTGACTAGCTGTAAGATATTAATCAAGCTAACTTTACCTGGAGAGAAGCTAACAGCAGTAATAATCTATATGAAAATTTTTATTTAAGGATCATTGCTAGAGGAATAAGGGCTTTGGGAAACAGAAATGAGGTATTTATTTGATAAGCATTTCGGAATGTTATGACATGAGGTAGGTCCATTGTTAAACCATAGAAGCTGTTGTACTATTCTAAACATTAGACTTGCAGAAAGATGCGCATATGGTACTAGATGAGGAATGATGTTCCCTAAATTTCAAGGAGAAGAAAATTTTGGTGTCAGGGTCTTAGGAAGCTCCCAAGCCAATGGCACCTTCAAAGGTTCAAAAGATGCAATGGGGAGACGGGTAGAATAATTTCTCATTTAATTCATTTTGTGCTTGAATTATGGAAAATGCAATGGGATGGGAGTGAACTTTATGAATTTGGGGATCTTATTTATGCATGGATTGTTTGTTTGGACAATCTGAGTGGACAATTTGATGAAATCAAGGATTGAAGATGGTTTGAAGCCTTAAGCTTTTGTGTTGCCTTAAGCCTTAAATTTGTGGTTGGTATAGCCTGACCATGATTATGAATCCTTTCTCAAATGTATGCAGGGAAGTTTCAGACCGAAGTGGGCAAAGCATGGGCATTAGAAATAGCATCAAGAAGAAGAAGAAAGGGGCATTAGTTTCGACCTTGTCGGGTATCTTTTGCTCTTGAAACTTTACTTCTTGAATTCCGTGGATTACGTAAGTAGATTCAATCAGTAATACTGAGAATATGTTGACCAAAGGAATAAAGATTAAAAAGTTACGAAAATTCTTAATTTTTTTTGAATCTCTATATTTGCCTCTTGTTTCTGATTTTACTTAAACATCTTCAGTGCCCAACTAGCCATGCAGGTCACTGGTGATTCTATTTTCTTTCTTTTATATTTTATTGTTTTCCAGTTATTTACTTCTATATGTCAGATGCTCGATATAAGATTTGACCAGGTTTTGAGGAACAAAATTCTCTCTTTTTCAGCAATCTTTTTATTTCTGCATAGCATAAATGGAATTACTAAACATCTTTGATTATTGAACTGACTATTTACGATTTAGAAGATTATTTTATTTAAGAGGAAAGATAGAGGAGACCTACCTCCCTATTACTGCTTTAAAAAAAAATTCCGACCAAAAGGATAATATACACGTCCAAAATATTATTTTATAAGAAAAACTCTAAATCCAATGTCTTCTTTAATATACTAATAGGCTGTACCCTCAACCAGCTTGTTTAATTTCTTGTTAGTTAACCGTTCAGCATGAACTTCACTTCCTTGGTATTCATATCTGCATTTAAGAAAGTACAATAAAAAAAATTGGCAAATTGATCAATTTTTGAAACTAGGGTAAAAAAATATCTATTCGAAAAAGTTTAGATGTTATTGTAATTTACAAAAAAAATAATCAGGGAAAAGATTTAAAAAATGTGCATTACTATAATGCATCCTAATTAATTTACCTTGGCGGTAAAGGAATTAAAGGGCTCAAGCTTTGTGCGAGTTTGACAGCTTCCTGCTCAGTATTAACTATCTGGTTGAAGCAAAAGTATCGGCCACATGTTGAGCGATCCTCCAGAGCTCTAATATGAACATCAACCAGGAAATTCACTTCCACAAAGGCTAGCACTCCATTTTCATACATTTGTGCTGCTCCTGTTCGCATTCACAATCAATTTATAAATGTTATCATGTCTTCTCTTTTAACTGCTGAGTAAGTCATGAACAAGTGGAAAGTAAATTGAAAAATTAAAATCAATGATTTGAATTCTGATTTTGGTTCGATTTGAACTAGTAGCTCTGTAGCTAAAAGTATATGAACCTTGAAACTTAGATGGAAAAGTTGGAAGACAAGTACATTCTATTAATACTCTTCACACATTCATTGGTAGATGCTTGTTAAAAAAGTGTGTACCTTTGAGGTAAGAGACAGTGGATCCAGGGTTTTGCTGGGTCACTGCAGGACCCATTACTAGTCCAGCATTAATTGAAACCATGTTAAGCATGCGGTCCATTGCTAATGCCCAAGCTGCTTGTTCTGCTTGTGTCTTTGCCAGTGCATGCCACAACTGTCAGTATATTTAAACTTATTACATTACTGCTCAATATTCCAAAACAATAATTAAACAACGCTATACAATTATATTTTTATAATACTATCTAAAACAACATTGTTTGCTACACAACAGTTGGTCAAGAAGAGTCGAACTTTAAACCTCTCATTCTTCGAACAAGTGAAAAGACACCAGACCATGTCTGATTAATTTAATAAAAAATTAATTTTAATTTTAAAGTCAAATAAAAAATTAATATCCCAACGGTCTTGTAACGGCATCATTGAGTAGCCTCCAGTGCTGTAGCTAGCAAAGCATGAGTATGTATGAGTATGACCCACGCCATGTGCTGGGTTGCTACCATCAATAATACAATTCCAACTTCACAACGAAAATGATTGATTGGTCTCCTCTCCTATTTTTTGAGAAAAATATTTATATCACATCCTAAGACTAAAACCAAACCTTGGTTCATTCGATTCACTTTCTTAATCATTTTGCTTCCGACAAATAGTTGAGTAAAACGTGATTAACATAGGGAAAAATCTTGAAATGAACACCAAAATAGGAGAAACCCACTATCAATAACCTGAAGATAACATTAAGAAGATAGACTACATTGTATTCAGTCACTTTGGTGTATTTCTCAACTAAGATAAGATAATGATTGAACGCACTCATTTATATATTTGTAAAATAAAATATATATTTTTTTCAATAATTCTATTTCACTCGTTGTATTATTTTAATATTCAGAAATGAGATTTTACATTAAGATTCAAATAAGTTTTCATAAAAATAGTTATTCAAAAAAAAGTTTAATAAAAGTAAATTCAAAATATAATTAAAAAGATAATTTTATTAAAAAATAACAAAAAAACAAGATTATGGGCCACTTTATTCCTAATTAGTTAGTGTATCCAAGAATTTTCTTTTTCTATCATTCACCATTACTCTCAAAAATGATCTTTTTTTCTTTTGAATTATCTCAAATTCTCAACATCAATTTTGAGAGAAAAAAAAAAAAAAAGATTTCACGGGAGTGTATCCAAGGAATTTTCTTTTTCTATCATTCACCATTACTCTCAAAAATGATCTTTTCTTTTGAAATTATCTCTCAAATTCTCAACATCAATTTTGAGAGAAAAAAAAAAAAAAAAGATTTCACGGAAAAAAAAAAAAAAAAAGATTTCACGGGTCATTTCTAAAACAATTTTTTCAGTTATTAGATTTAAAATTATATTTATTTTAATATAAATATATGAATAATAATAATTTTTATGTCAATATAGTTTTATATCTAATAGTTGATAAAACTATTATTACATAATGGTTACTGTCTATCAATCAAATTCAAAAAGAAAAAAAAAATGTTTGGCTTCATTAAGAATTGACAAAGACAAATTTTGCCATAAAAAGGAGAAAAAAAGTAGCATTTCCTAAAATAAATATTTTTACAAAAAATTAGCATTTTCTAAATTTTTTTTTTTTTTTTTTGAGAGTAGGTAAAATAAATATCAAAACCAGGAAGATGTTGCCATTCAAAAATGCCTCTTTGACTATCTTAACGTGACAATTAAAGAAAAAGATAGACAAAAATTGAAGAAGACAATTTAGTTTAAAAAATAAAAAACATGTATATGTAGAAAAAAGAAGAATTTAATTAGCCAAGGTTAAAAGATTCAAACCTTTAGTTTCTTGCAAAATTCTTGATCACTCCAGGACCTCTCATCAACATCTTTCTGGGAATCAATATTTTCTTTCCAAATTGCTGCATTTAAAGAAGAACTAAACACAATCTTGTCTATACTATAACTCTGTGCACATGCCTCCACTACATTAATTGCTCCTCTAACTTCCAAATCAACCATTTCATCCTGTCAATCAGAACAATTAGAAAATACTAAAAAAGAAAAAGAAAACGCATAATAATGTTAATTAACTGAATAATTAACATTAATTAGCTAAATTAATTATTACATCATATCCATCTGGGCTGTCCAAACAGCAGAACAAAGCAGAGCAACCCTTCAACGCAAATAAGATGCTTTGATAATCCAAAACATCTACACTAAACACCACTAATCTTTCCTCCTCTTTCTCCAATTCTTTAATTTTCTTCCCAATTTCTGTATCTCCTGCAAGAATTGATTAAACCCAGAAAAGAAAAACCGATTAAGAACACAAAAAACAGTAAATTAAAGGCATCAAAATGGAGAAAATCAGAAAAATTAAAAACTTGCCTTTATTCTGGGTAGCTGCATGAACTGTGTATCCTTTGTTCAAGAGTCCTTTGAGAATCCAAAAACCCACATAGGTTGAAGCATCAAGAACACAAACCGTGGGTAGTTCATCATCCATGCTTGCTCTGTTTTTTTTTTTTTTTTTTTTTTCTGGTTTTTTTTTTTTTTCTTTTTTTATTTTTTTTTTTTTTTTTTTTTTTAATCTTTTCTTTATGTTAGTGATTGTTTATATAAAAGAAACAGAGAGAGAAATTTGACAGGTGTGATGGATAGATAGATGTTAATCGGAGAAGAGTTGGTGAACTATTTCGCTACACGTTTCCATCTACTACTCACCATCTTTCTATTCAAAGGGGTTCGCAAAATGGCTTCTTGGTTCCAAATGTCTCTATAATATATATATAAATGTTGGGCTGCTATAAATGGCTTAATAATATACGTATAAATTTTGGATTATAGAGCGAAAAAAATGTTGTTGACAGAATAGAATTATTCCTATTTTTCTTTATTTCCATTAATATTTGATTTTCTTTTTATTGAATAAATAAATTCTTTTCAATATTACGTTAATTTAGTAAAGATTATGGTTTTTTTGGGATATTTATAAAAGATTGGTTTTTTAGCTTTATGATTTTTTTATCCTTTTTTCCACTATTTTTAACTTAATGAACTGATTTTTTTTTTTTTTTTTTTTGAGAAGATTGATTTTTTTTTTTTTTTTGAGAAGATAATGAACTTATTTGTTAGTTTTATATAGGAATAATTGTAAATTTGGAGACTAAATTTTATGCACTTTTCTATTTCAGTGTTTCAATTTTATTTTTTATAATCAAGTGTTTAAAGTAATAATTCCTTTACAAGTAAATGCATTTAAATGAAATTTCTAACTAGAAAATTCAAATGAATTGTTTTACCTCATTCATTTACTTATTTTTTTATCTTAAATTTTTATTTTCTTTTTCTTATTTAAAATTTTTATTTTGGTATAAACAAGTTATTAAAAAATTTGATATTTTTTTAAACATGAATAAATATAAGATACTAAAATTTAGAAAAAATGAAAAAGGAGGCATGAATAGATTATGTTTGATATCATTTATTGAGTCAAAATTACACATTTTAATTTTTCAATAAAATAATCTCGCAGTACGCACTTAATTTTAAAAAATATTTTCCTATTCAGACACTTAATTACAAATTAAATCAACGATTTGATTCAAGAAGATAATGTTTTCAATTTTAGCGTTAAAAATATTTTTATATGGCAATAATAGCTTGCTTTGACAATAAAAAAATTATCTTCCTTTTTTTTTTTATTTTTTTACTTGTTAAGCTAAGTTGAGCTTGAGAAAAATTAAATTTTATAAATATTTATAATTTTCTTTACAAATTAATATTTATGAATGGATATGAGAAATATGTGCATTTTGCTAATTAGATTATTTATTTTATTTACTTCTCTTAATATTTCTTGTTTTTTTGGCTAAATAAGTCAACCTGGGTGGAGAACAATGTGTTACACAAACTATTTGAGACTATCAGGATGGAATTATTTATCTATTTTTTCTTCATACCACTTAATAAATTGAATTGTGTTAAAATAAATAATTACTTCTCAGTAAATCGAATTGTATTAAAAATATACCTAGTTAGTCAGAATTATTATTATTATTATTATTATTATATGCACATAAGAGGGGTAGGGCACAGGTGTTCTCCAAAGTTGCCAAAATCTAGTATGCATGTTCAAGAGCATGTGCAACAATTTCTAACTGTATCCGCATAAAAATTAGTATATTCATTGACACCACACTAATCAAATTCATTAATAATTTATAATTACTTGGATTTATATTTAACATAAAATAATTTAATCAAATTCATTTACTTTTTTTGAAAAAAGAAAAAGAGAAAGTTACACATAGGTAGATTTCCATAAACATTGTAACGACCTCGTTTATGTTGATTCACATGTGTTTTGAATTTTCCATGTATTTTTTATTTGAATCAGGTGAAACTAGCTTAATGGTAAAAAACATTAATGATTAAATTACAAAGTTATATTATAAATTTGATTATGTAATAATATAATTTATTCATTCATTTCGTGTATATTATAACAATTATGACAACTATGTGAATCAAATTTTTATATAATCAATAGTTTATTAATTAATATTGTAATTCATGAGAAGAAAAACGAAATCTAGATGATCCATTTTATCGTTAAGTAATCTTTTAATATATATAAAAAAAATATGGTGCTGGCTGCTGAAAAACTGAGTGTGACTCTTTGCTACGACAAGAACATTTTTCAACTGGCTAATTAGGTAGAGAAACGTGAAGGATGGCGTAGAAGCCTGCTAAGCAATTGGGGTTTGGTTTAACTTTGCAAAATTGGATAATTAGATTGTTAAGTACAAAATTCCATATATATGATTATAAAAGTGGGTCCACTACTCATTGTCCTGATTGAAAATTGAAAGTGACATTATTCGAATATATTAAGTAGAGATGTCATATTCATTTAAACCAAATTTGCAGCGGCGGTTTATAAAAATTCAAATCGAATCGAATCAAATATTTAAATGAAATTAAATCTGTGAAAGCAGTTTGATTTCAATTTGAAATGTATATTTTATAATATGTTATATATATATACATATATAGGAAAAAATTTAATTTGGACGCTTTTTTTGTTTTAGCAATAAAAATAAAAATATATTTATTTAATTCTTCAATTTTACATTAATTTTTACATTTTTAACGCTTAGTAAGTCATTAATAAGCAATTTATTAATATATAATTTAAATGTAGATTTATTTCTACATTTATTACTAAAAAGATTATAAGAAAAAACTATAGCTTAATCCATATATTATTTATACATAATGTGTATTAATATATTTCCTACGACTAACCTTCAATATTAGGACTTTTCATAAAATAATTAGAAAATTTTGATTTAGTACAAGTTATAATTTTTTTATATTTTGAGGGATCAAAATATATTTTTTTATAAAAAGCTTTTCCATTTCATATTTCTTGGAGGTATGGTGCCCCATATGGACTCCACCTAATGCTGATCAAAATGCTATTAATATTTGGCAATATCATCAATATCTTGTTAAAATAATACTGTTAAATCTAATATTTACTGTAGTAAGAAATGGACTTGTGCTTCTTTATTGATTTGAGAAACAAAAATAGCCATGCTAAAATAAGAAAAATATATTAAAAAAAAATAGAGAAAGAAAAAAAAAAAGGGTGGTGTTGTTAACTAAACAAATAGCCAAAGTTTCTTTCAAGAGGATATTACATAAATTGGAAAATGTTATAAGCATAAAAAGTAAAAGAAAGAACTTTTTGTTTTCAAGTCAATTTCCAAATTTGGTGGCAACAAGTAACATATAATTCTTGAAGAAACACCTAGTTTCAAACTGATTTAATTACAAGGCACCATTCAAGTTGTGCCATATGTCTCAAAAGGTTTCTACTTTCTATTCTTGAGCATCAAATTGTGTTTTTTTTAATAATATAATCTTAAACAAAAAAACAAAACAAATCTCCAAGAAAGAAAGAGGTTTACATAAGAAAATACATGAGAAAGTAATTACAAGTTTCCAAGAAAAGCAATCTCTCCCTTTGCTCTTCTAGTTATTTGTGGGTATTATTTATTGATTTAGTCAGGGTAGGCAATCTAATATTTGCTCCTCTGCTCCCTAGCCGCAATTATTTTCCTTTTCACAATATTTACAATATTGATAATGTGTTCAACAACAGTTTTTAAGTAGTTTTGTCAAAATACTAAACGTATTTTTTATAGTGCTCAGTTACATAACGTTTGAACTAGCTTTTAGACATTAAGATAGCGTCTTATAAAAAATTAATCATTATAATGTTTAGCTTTTAACATTTTATGAAAAAACTACTCAAATAATTAATAATTAAACGCTACTAAAAAGCCTAACAACTACAAAAAAAAAAAAAAAGAAAAAAAGAATTAATTATGCTGATAGACCATGAATATTGATAGATAGGGAGACTTACATCCATGAGCTCCTAAGTAGACTAGTGACCATCAATTCTACAAGTAATAGATTATAGATCACAAGTAATCTTTTAGTCATATGAGAAAACTTTGTTTGATGTGTTAATCACTAATAAGTTATTATGCTTACTATTTACAATCATCATATAGGTTGCAATTAAATATACAAAGCAAATGCTTTATAAATTTTTTATATTAAAATTAATGAAAATATTATACAACAAGTAGGATTATTAAATAATTATACTTTAAAAATGATTCAATAAAAACTTAAATAGCGTTATGTTCACATTCAAGATCCCTTCTTTATAGGAATAATTTTAATACCACTGAATTAAAATTTATTAATTTTAAAGAAAGATTATTAACACAAAATATTTTGACATTAACTTTATAAATATAGATGTATTATTCTTTTTTATATATAATACCATTAATAATCAATGCGAATTTTTGAAAAGAAGGAATATGTCTTATTGTATAGCCGAAAATATTATTCTAGTCATTTCCTGAATAAAAAAACATTATTTCTTCAATTTAAGACATTGGTGAGATTATTTATTAACAAGTTGAGTTGAGTTGGGCTAGAATACAAAAATTCATAAAGCTCCAAGCCCATATAGTTTGGGCTAAAAAGAGAATTACTGGATTAGTTGATGAGGTATGGAGCCATCAACCAATTGAAACAAGTTAGCCTTTAAAAGCAATATGAGCCCAAAAGAAGCAAAGTATTGGTACTTTTCTGGCCCAAGTCAAATATATTGATAACCTTTTATCTTAATTAATTAGTAAGTATAGTTACTAAGTTACAACGGTTGTAATTTTTAAATTCAATTGGAGATTTGAAATTTTGCTTAGAGCTCGAAACGACAGGGTTTCGGCAAATTGAAGATGAAGAACAATATAATTAAAACTTATAATTGCATAATTCTTTTAATATATTTTACAACTTAAATGACATTAATCTACTTAAAATGAAATTTTAATCACTTATATATTAATTCACAAATGCAAAATTCTATTTTTCCTTCAACCGTCTTAATTAATAAATTCTAATCAATTCGAAATAAGTTATACTAAATCTAAAATCAACCGTAAGTATATGATTTCAATTTATGGGATTAAATCAATTTCAATATTATATAATTGAAAACCATCAACTACAATTTTGTTTTGATTCTAATCAATTAGGTTTCAGTTTGAACCGATTTGTAATCATTTATAATTATTGGAAGGCTATTGAAATCATTTACAAAGAATATGCTAGATATGAAAGTAACGGAAAATATAGGACTCATCAGCAATTAATCTGTAAGATTAGGGATTTTTTTGCAATTATGCAGTTTCCTACAAATCAAGGAAGCACAAATAGCCCGTAAAGAACACATGAGACGATGGTTCTGGAACTCGCCGGAAAAGTATTAATAATATTATTTTAATTTTGTTTGATTTTTCTCCATTAGACCCTATAAGCATTGCAGCAAATCAACGGTGAATGCAATAAGATTCTGTGAAAATGGTTGTTATAGAGCCTCAAGAAGGTAATGAAGAGACCTTAGTCAATAATCCTCCAAAGCTAAAAGCAACAACATCATCATCGTCGTCGACGGATTCAAGCAAAGACACTAAAACCACGGCACCACCAATAGCGGAGGCGTCAGCGGCTACGAGTGTAAATGGAAACGATTCTGATGGTTTCGAAACGGCAAGTGAACGCGAAATGAGCGATAACGAAGAGCTTGATAATGAAGAAATCAGTCATCATCTTAATGAACATAAACATCAACCGCCACCGTCAACAACAACACAAGAAGGGAAAGCGAAAGTGGAACCGGGCTGTAGTCAAGACGACGACGAATTGCAACAGGTTTGTCAATGTTTATTCTCTTTCTCTATGGTTTGCCCTAATTGGTTTCTTCCGATTTATTTATCCTTTTCACTTTTTCGCTGTTCTTTTTATAAAAATTGAAATTATTTCTTATGCGTAGGCTTCGTATTCGCAGCAGATTGGTGGTTTCTAAGCGTGGTTTTGGTTAGGGAAATTTGGAATCCAGGAATTTATTTTAGTTTTTAGTTGAAACTGTATGATTTTAAAGATTTAGGCTAGTGAAGATAAATGGAGAAAACATTCCTATCCAAATCTTAGAGTTCATTTGAGATGCACTTAGAGAGTAGAAATGCCTGTCTACAAACTCAATTGGTGCAACTGTTACCTTATGCTGTTTGTTTGCTTGCTTGAAATTGCTGCAATTTTATCTCCAAATGCAAGTAGGACTTCTCTATTTTTTTTTTTTTTTTTTTTTTTTTTTATATCCCAATGCAAGTATGACTTCATCTATTTTGGTTTTTTTTGTTTTTTTTTTTAATGCATATGGTTGTTGTAGCTGTTCAGCATGATTAGTCCTGGAGACAACTATGAGCCATGTTCTATCTTTCCTTGATGTAACAGTTTTTTTTTTTTTTTTTTTTTTAGCAATATGGTTGTGTAGCTGTTAGCAATGATTTAGTCCTGGAGACAACTATTGAGCACTGTTCTATTCCTTGATGTAACAGAAAGCTTTAGCACAGGCAAATGATGCAAAATTGGAAGGCAATAAACTGTTTGGAGATGGGAGATATGAAGAGGCGTTATTAAAATACGATGCTGCTTTACAAGTTGCACTGGATATACCTTCATTTGTGGAGTTGCGTTCCATATGCCATGCAAATCGTGCTGTATGCTTCTTAAAATTGGTATGGTATTAATTCGTTGTTTAGAAATATGCACAACACAGTGGAGGAATTTTATTTTTCCTTGGAAAATAATGAGCAAGTTGGGATAAAACATTGCATGTGCTGTTGAATTTGCTTTCCATTGTGCACTACTAGGAAATGAAAATGACTATATCAGTGAGTGATAGAATCTGCACCTGATGGTGCTTACTCTAGGTTCATTTTGGTAGCATATCTGCTTTTGTCTATTCAAAAAACCCAGTGTATCGTGTGTGCTTGTGTTGTAATTATTTCAGAATTATTGATCATATTCAAGCCTTAGGGATCTTTGCTTATCTCTTTGAATGTCTTGAAGCTTCTTTGTGATATAGTACATGTGCTCATAAGGTTGGCTTTTGCATCCTGTCTCTCTTCTCATCTGTGATCAAGTTTGGGAGTGTCCCACTTCGCTTAGTTAAAAAAACATCTAGTTTGGAGTTGGGGCAGGATGGATACGAGACTATTATGATCATAAAAATTAACTTTACTAAATATCCCTCAGGGAAAATATGAGGACACAATCAAGGAATGCACAAAAGCCCTAGAACTAAATCCTTCATATATTAAACCTCTGGTCAGAAGAGGGGAGGCCCATGAAAAGCTTGAACAATTTGAGGAGGCTATAGCTGGTAAGTTCGGATTTTATGGTTAATCTGTTAATTTGCACTACTATAATGGTTTACGATTTCAGATGTTGTTCTCCCAAATCTTTATATTATGCATTAGTTTCAGCTAGTTTTATTGATTTGTATAAAATTTATATTTGGGAACCTGCAGATATGAAAAAAACTTTGGAATTGGATCCTTCAAATGACCAAGCTAAGAAAGCCATCCGCCGCTTGGAGCCATTGGCTGCAGAAAAACGAGAAAAAATGAAAGAAGAAATGATTGGTAAGCTGCATTTGTGTTTTTGTTTTGCCTATTTCTGTTTCTCAGTCTTGAAGGGATTTTGCGGTTTCTTTTGCACACATATGTCCAATTTGAGTAACTAGTTATGGTTCCCTTTCTGTCCTTTTAACCCTTCTTACAACTAAGAGATACTTGTTTTGGACAAAGAATTTGTTTCAAATGAGTTTCAATATCTCTCGTCTAACGTTAAGTACGATCTAGCTGATGGATATATTGGCTGGGTGGTTTTGAAACATGTCTTTGTAAATTTATTTTTTATGCTTGTAAACAATTGCAAACTGAACCTTCCAACTTGCACAATGGTAAAGTAGGCCTTTGATAATGTACGGTCTCCTGTACTAACTGTTTGTAAATAGAGATGAGAGTGTTTGATGTGCTTGAATTCTTAGGAAATAATGTAGAAATAAGATTTATGTTTTCTGACTTGTAAGGCAAGTATGTGGTAGTCGTTTTCTTATGAAATTGTAGGAAGTAAGTTTGGCAAAGTAAAGGCACAGCTTTTAAATGGCTGCTTTACTACAGTCAGTTAGTTGAGCAAAGTCTTCATTTGAGGCACTTGTGTATTATTTTTTATGCAAGCAACCCATAAGAATATGCTTCATAATGCTAACAAGGGAGTTTTGAATGTTAAGGTTGCATACTTATCTCCAGATGTAGCATATGCTTATGGAGACCCGTGTGTTTAGCTTCCTTGTGAACCCTTACCTAAATTTTCAAGTGGGAGATAAGAAATTGAGAACGGAGCCAAGATGACATTGAAGGATTTAGTAAGATACCAAATTAGCAGCAAAGATTTAACTCTAAATTAGGCGGTTTCAAACATGTGGATCCACATGGCAGACCAAAATAGTTTGAAATGAGGTGTAGTTAAACTTACATAAATCATCCACATATCTTTATAATTCATGGAATTAGGACATTTCCTAAGAAGAGAATTTTTATTTGTTTGGAAGTGCTTGATATTTGTTGTTGTGTTTGATCATGTTTATCATTATCACTTTGGCCTTTCTTTTGGGAACTTTTTTATAAAAATTTATAATATTGCTTTAGATATCAAAATACAGATGCAAGTTCAATTTTTCATTTGGTGTGATTATTTAATTTAGAACTCTTATTCAAATGTTGTCATTTGCTTAATTGCTTGTTAAGTGGACAATTCAGAGCTTCCCAGTGATGTGGAAGTATGACAGTTGATGATTCTGCGTGCATGCATTACTAATCCTTTCTCAGCTTTGTTTCTTTCTTCATTTTTATATTCTGTCTCCTGATCTCTTAATTATATTTTCTTTATGAGCAGCAAAATTGAAAGATATGGGAAACTCTTTGCTAGGCCGATTTGGAATGAGTATTGACAACTTCAAAGCTGTCAAAGATCCAAACACTGGTTCCTATTCTCTTTCGTTCCAACGTTAGCTTTGGATGTGGATATGAGATCGCTCGAGTACTTTTTATATAAACTATATGAGAAGAATGAAGGTTGTCCAATTGAATGATATACCAGTCTGGGACATTGTGTCCAGAATCAATGGATATACACTAGAGTGATATAATTTGGGAAGATATTGTTTTCTTCGTTACAGAGCATTACACAATGCAGTGCCGTTTGTAAAAACCCTAATTTGATTAAGAAATTTCAATTCCAGATGCTTTGGTTATTGTTTAAAATGATCTTTTGGTTTTGTGAAGGATTCTTCTGTTGGTCATGTTATGGCATCATACTGGTTTGTTTTGATTCATGTTCTTCAACCCTCAATATATATATATATATGGATTCTTTTTTATGTAAGTTTTTGGAAGTTATTTTAGATTAAAAAAAAGGCAAATTTTGTATTGGTGAGGATATAAGAAATTTCCCATTTTTTGTGGCTTCCACGGAGTGTTTTTTTTTTTTTGGGACATTATGGAGTTGATATTGTCAGGCCTTATTTTTGAAATGATAGAATAATTATGTAACTATTTTGTAACGTTTGTATCAGTTCCTTTCCTTCTGCAGGCATCAATTATTAAATTGCAATGAGATTTGAAATGAAAATTATGATCTTAATACTAAGAATTATTTAATTAGAAGAGGATGACGGTAGGCATATATATTTCTTTGCGCCTTAAAAAGTCAGTGGAAAAAAAGAAGTTGCATTGCTTTCAAAATTATTCCAGTCACAACTCATACATCTCTTTTCGTCTGCTTTAATATATCTGTGCACTCAGTCCCTTTCATAAAACTTGATGAAGAGACATCAAATTAAGGTGGGGCGAGAATTCTGAGGCAGATGGAATGGCACGTTTTTAGTGCCAAAAGAACTTGGCATATTGTTATCAACAAAACTTGGCAAATTGTCGTTGACAAACGGATTTTGAAAAGGATTAGTTGAATCGAAGCCGGTCACAGGTTGCTGCTGCTCTTTCTGCATCATCAGGAAACTATTTTCTTGGCTTGTTGCTGCTGTTTGCTGATTAGTTATAGCTGCTATATTACTTGAAGCTTGATTATCATGCAAATCCTCAAAAGGATTAGATGCCATCTGTCCAGTCTGACACTCACTGTTTTGGTTCATTCCTCTAGCCATTGCATTATCGTATAGACTGTCTAGTGTTAACTTATCGAGTACTCCAGCCTGCATTCGAACGTTTAGAACTGCAGAGTATATCAACCCATTCAAATTTTAACTAGAAAATTTAGAAGCTAGGATGCTAAAAATTCTTTGTTCAAGAGTTGGAATATGAGGTTTCAATCTCGAAGCTAATTAATTAATTAATAGAAAGCAATCCTTGGTTGAGTGCAGGTGAAAATTGCAAATCTAGAATAAGTGCTGGATGGGGAATATCAACTAACAGGAAATAGGACATAGAACATCTGAGAGTTTGGCATTAAAGTTGAAACTGCTTTTCCGAAAAAACCACAATTTAGATGCTGTTGGAAAATGCAGTTTGAGAGTGTCATCCAGCTGTTTGGAAGAAAACTAACCGGTTTACTCGCCGCATCTGCAGCTCCATTAGAACTGGTAGTTCTAACAAGTGCAAGCTCCCAATCTGTGTTATTTTGAGACGTTGAAGTTGCATTGACGCTAGTTTCACAATTTAACGGATTGTCTGGGATATGGAAAGTAAGATCACTGTGTGTAAACATGCATTTAAACATGTATTAATTTAATTGAAAGAAACAATAATAGCCCCAAAAATAAGTGTTTCACCAGAAGAAACAATCGCGAGTGCGATCGAATTTTTATCATCTAACTCAGCTGTTTCCTGGGTAACCTCATCCAAACACTGACAGAATATAAGAATTCCAAAGTGAGACCATCATAGAGTTATCAAATTAAACAAGAATAAGATATCCTTAGCGTGAATAGTTTGTAAGGTGAAGCAGATTCTAACCAAAAGATCTGTAACAAGAGCTTTTGATACAGCCTCACTTTGGTTGCTTTCTGATGGGTCTGATGATGTCTCACATTGATCAGACTTTTTTTCAACTACTACTTGTTTGTAATCAACTAAAACAACATCTTGGGAAGTGGAAGTTTCTCTGGAAGCAGCACTGTCATCATCTATCTGACAATATGTGAAATGATAGTGGGTAAAAATTTCCATCCAACAACAATAACAATTAAGCGTTAGTCCTAAACTAGTTGGAGTAATATAGTCGCTCTAAATTCTTTATTTCTATTCCGCTCTGTTCATAAATGAACACAAAAAGCCAAGAATAAAAGAAAAAAGAATCAAGAAATCATACAGGTTTCCAATCAAGCGCTAAAACCAATGGCGCTTCTGCCACATATTCTTCCATGGATGTTAGAAATGATGCAGGGGGCTGCACTTGTACATCAAGCAAACTACTTAAGTGACAAAGTAACAAACAATAATTTTGGTCTCATCATAAGGTTGTTCCCACCTTGTCAATTTTCAAAAACTTCTGTTGTCGTCCCAATCCAATGCAATTGCAAATCTCAAAGAACTCAGATAATTTTTCACCCTGCAAAAAAAAAAAAAAAAAAAAAGTCTCATCATAAGGGTTGTTCCCACCTTGGTTCAATTTTCAAAAAACTTCTGTTTGTCGTCCCAATCAATGCAATTGCAAATCTCTCAAAGAACTCCAGATAATTTTTTCAACCCTGCAAAAAAAAAAAAAAAAAAAAAAAATCGAAATAACATTAATCAAAATTCAATTTTGAAATCCAAGTTTTTAAGCAAACCAAAACAAACAACATTAATATTACCTGAAAAAAAAAAAAAAAAAAAAAAATCGAATAACATTAATTCAAAATTCAATTTTGAAATCCAAAGTTTTTAGCACCACACAACATATATTACCTGATCTGTAGCCTTCTTGTATATATCTAGTGCCCTAATAGCATCGTGTCGCTCCATCTCAAAATACTGTAACAAAATATATTTTCTATCTTGACAAATTGTAGAAACTCAAATTGCATTTATGAGAATGAGGGTCTATTGCACCCAGTGCATTGAACAATTTGCCCAAAAACTAATTGATGTCAAAATCACCTTGTCTACCAAATTGAGAATTCCATCAGTAATTGCAACATATAGCTTAATACTTTCACCTGCAACCTAAAAGAAAACTCCATAAAAGATGGTAGGATTAAACAACAAAATGCCACAAGCAATAGAAGTACTTAATTTTAGACACTTTCTTACAATTGCAAGGGCAAAATGAATCAAGCTGTTGTGTAGAGCCATTCCCTCTGGCTGCACAAATAGGAAGCTTGAGTGTTCCTTCAAATTAGCTTGATTATTTTTAATTGCAACCAAAAATTAAAACTTAAATTACCCAATATAATAAGGGGTGATTACTATTTAGTCCTTATAGTATAGTAAATTTTATAAGTCAAGACCTCTGTTTTCAGTAATTCACCTTTTCTCACAGTAAAATCTGATGATGAGTTAAGCAACTACTGGTGCAAAAGAAGATAACCAAAAAGCCATTGACAAAATACATATATATACCTTGCAACCAAGAAGGCGAAAAAGTAGTTGTTGCATAGCTGGTAATTGTTCGAGCAAGTATGGTGTCTTAAGCTCTCCCGTTCTCTGTTCAAAAAGTTTTCAGGAAAAAGAAAAATCAAGAAGTGAAATGACAGGCAAAGATGCACATAAACTGCAAATTGGGATTTCATAATACATACTGCGGGACTTTTCTGAATGTCGTATTTCAAGATAGAGTAACATTCAAGATGTTCTTCAAGATATAAAGCGTATGCACGAACCCAAGCGGAATACTCCCAGGCTGCTTAACATCGAAAAATCAATTCGTAGTTATTTCCTAACAAATAATATATATACATATAGAAGAAGTAAAATACCATGTTGACTTGAATCATCCCTGAAATGAGATAAGTTCAGCATAAGTCGACAGCCTCTATATTTAATTAGCTTTTCATACAATGTTTGATCGACTTCTATAAATGCGCGGTGTATCACTAACAATGTTTTTAATGCAACCTGAACATAAATTACAGAATGACTTAAGCTGAAAGAAGCATTTATCCCAAGAAAATATTATTAGAGTAAACTTGAATCAAGAAAATACAAATCAAACTGTCGATCATCACTTCACTCTTCCTGTCAAGATCATCAGAAGATACATACCGTCCAGTTATGCGTTTTAGCAAGACGCTTGGTAAGACGTTGTATGCAGTAATTAACATCAGCTTGAGGACTTGAAGATGAAAGTGCGTTAAAAATAGCTGACGGAAACAAGAACATTTGATTTACTTATAGGCTCATAGGAGGTAATATATTACTACAAGAAAAATGCGATCAATCTACCTATTTTAGCGACCAATTTGCGACCAAAAATAAAGAACAGCGAACCAATATAATTATGAGAAATTAGACAATTCAAGGAAAAACATCGCAACCAATAAAACTATAATGCATTCACTAATTCACAAAATTTCAAGTAATCAAGAAAGAGAGGTGAGAAAAATTCCGCTCACTCTGCATATGTTTCTCTTTTGCCAGTATTTCATCATGGTTCGTGGCTTTGACAATCGCAACCTCAATCCAAAAAAAAAAAAAAAAAAAAAAGAGAGAGCTAAGTTGAAAACCCGAAAAGGGCAGCTTAGGCAAGAAATGAGCTCGCTAGGTAGAAAACCCGCAAGGGCGGCCTAGGCAAAAGTTAGAGCACGTAAAAAATGCAAAATGATGATAGTAAAATCTTGGGATTAGCGCGTGGTGCTTAGCTTAAATGCAGAATTCATGCCATGCATTCGTGACAAATTAGTGATTGGTTACTCAAGCGTCATCAACTTAACTTGAAGGAGAATAGGAAATCAAGTAGTTAAAACGAATGACCATTGTATTAGAATAAACTTTCTTTACTTCTGTATAATGTTGAAAAGTTTAAGAATAAAATTATACAATTTATTTAAAAAAATGTCAGTAGTTACTGCAACAAATAATAGATAGCGGTTGGGAAATGGTTAATTCAACTTAATCATTCCCTACTAAATTAGTATAACACATATTAATCTTAATTCCATGCCATTGAAGCAAGATATTCAAATATTAAAGAAAATTGCAAACGAGATCTTTTTAGACCATCTTTTATTTCTCTTTGCTTCTAATTTCTTGGCCTTAATCATAATTTCTTCATTATTCTTTTCATTTTTTTCAGTGAATCTTGATTGCAATTGCATGCACTCGTGGTACGTATTCAAAACTGAAATACCATTGTTATATAACAATTTTGTGTTACTAGGTTTTTTTTTTTTTTTTTTTTTTTATACAATTGTTATATAAAATTTTGTGTTACTAGGGGTTTTTTTTTTTTTTTTTCTTTTTCATTTCTAATTTCTTTATAATTACACGAATAAGAAATAAAAAGGAAAGAGAAATTCAAAAGCTACCATCCAAATTCACAAATCCAATGAAAGAAGAATTAGCGTCAACTCAGTAAAACCATATATATCTTCACAAATCCAGCTAATGCAACCAAAAAGATTAAATTTCTGTTAATAAATATACAAAATGCATATATATGGACACATTAATGTCCTCATGTATACATATATATTTGAAACAGTGCCGATAGATATGGAAGAAATGTAAGAAAAATGTACAAAAAGAAATGCATGAGGAAGCGACGAGATTACCTGAGGAGGAGTACACTTGAATTGCCGCCCGCCGGAGCTGCCGTGGAGAGCGGAGAATAAAAGGCCGGGGAATGAACGGAAAGCGTGACAGACTTATTCTCGAAGATTTGATTATATATGTATGTTATTATTAAGAGAGCTTCGCATAAGTTACCGGTGGTTTTTAGCTTTGCTCTTAATTAATTAATTGGAAATTTAGCTTTGCTAAATTTTCGTTATTTTATTACCTTAACAAGAATATTATCAGATTCTTCCAATTAATTAAGATTAATAATTTTTTCCCAAAAAAAAAATTATAATAACATATCAATGTGTTTTAATTTATTTTTTAGATTTCCATAAACAACAAATCAAAGTGACAAAGCAGAAAACGGTTTGGATTCACCCACCTAAATCTAAATTGTATATTTTCATTTATTTGCTATATATTTATAATATATAAATATCAAAAATTTTGTGATAAAAAAGTTATTTATTTTTTTACTAAAAAGTCAACCAGACTTTAGTCTAAGTAATTTTTTTTTTTTTTTTTTTTTTTTTTTTAATTTTTTTTTTTTTTTTTTTTTTTTTTTTTTTTTTGAATAAAGTCTAACTAATAGTTAAGCTCTGCGACTCATAAAACCTTATGAGCCAAAATAAGTGAATTGTATCTGTTATTCCTTTTATTTATGAATTTAAGCTATCTAGTTTGAATAAAAAATTAAAATTTATTTGACAAATAAACCAACATAAAACAAGTGACTAATAAAAGATCTAGTTCTGATAACGTTTTTAAAACATTATCAATTTTAAGTTTGAGTTTATTAACACATTCATTTTAGTCCCTTTCATATTTTATTTATATATTCAATAAAATGTTAACTTTCATTTTTTTCAAAACAAAAAATATTATCTTTTGTAAGGCTCATAATATATTTCTGGAAAAAATACGCTTTGAGTATCTAACTTATATCCTAATTTGCACCTTTTCCTTTTTGTTTTTCTTTTCCTTTTTGTTTCTAAGAAATTACTATTACATCCTTAACAAGTCACCGGTTGTCTTTTCGTCCCAAAAGTTCAGCACTTTACTAATAGTTAAATACACTTTAATACACTTTTTAGACAGATGGCATAATAATTAAATGTACACTTTTAAACGACAGTTTTTTTAGACAGATGGCATAATAAATCTCTCAAAAATATGGAGAATGAAGTGTTAATTAGGTTATAAAATTAAGGACCCACAGATTTTTTTTTATTGTGTGCTAGTAATTCTTTTCGGTATTGCAATAATTCTAGTATCGTAATTTAAACTAGTTTTTCACTTCACAATAATTCGAACTTGCCGATATAGTCAGAGAATTCGGTTCAATGATTCACTGTTATCTATAATGATATTGATAACTTCGACGAAATTAGTTTAAGAAAAAAGAACACCTGCCTTTGATGTCATCGTATAATTTTGTCTTTTCGTCCCAAAAGTTCAGCACTTTACTAATAGTTAAATACACTTTAATACACTTTTTAGACAGATGGCATAATAATCTCTCAAAAATATGGAGATGGAAGTGTTAATTAGGTTATAAATTAGGGACCCACAAGATTTTTTTTTTCTATAATTTTTGGTATTGCAATAATTTAGTATCGTATTTAAACTAGTTTTCACTTCACAATAATGGAACTTGCCGATATAGTCAGAGAATTCTGGTTCAAATGATTCACTGTTTCTAATGATATTGAAATTCGACAAAATTATTAAGAAAAAAGAACACCTGCCTGATGTCATTATAATTTTCATACAATCAAGCTGTTACAGTTTTATTTTACATATCATAAATTACATTTTATTCAGGAATGTGGCACAAAAACTGTTATCAGATTGGTGAACTTCAAATTGTATATAACCTATTTGATTTTCCCAACAACAATGGGTTACTGCAGATGATGATACTGCATCCCTTCTGCACCTACGCCACGCTGGCATTAACATCTTCCTGCGGGAGTTGCTTTTCAGCTAACGTGGCAGCATGCTGTTCCAAGTATTCTTTGCTGTTCATTTCTGTCAATCTGCATGCATTGACAATTTTCAATTAACATTTTCCATCATACACTTTAGCTCACCAATTTAACGATAAATATAAGAATCATTAAAGAAAATGCAAACAATGTAGGATGATACTTTACTGTGTCATTACTTTTTCTATCAAATAAAAAAAAAGCAAATATATATTATTTCATAAGTGATGAAAATTAGTTGAGATAAAATCTTGACATTTCCACTCGAAGAAACTAGTTTCTGATAAGTATTTGTTCATTGTGTTTCAGATTGATGAGTGGATATGCACACGTGCGTAATGAGACCAGTAGAAAAAAGAGTTAAAGCATAGCATGCCTTCATTAGAACTGTGAATGATCATTTTATAAATTGCATAGTAAAAAAATCAGATGTATCATAATATTCGGATTTACCTACTAATGGTGCGGTCTTTTGCGAATCCCAGTTCATTGTCTACACAAAGATCAGAATCATCATTTCTCCTTGATCTTGTAGAGGTCCTAGGTGCTATTTGCTGGGCATCAGAAATCGTAACTACCCTTGTAAAAAGTTCTAGAGGACTACCCTCAGCTGTACACATTAGTCTGGCCTTGTTCTCGTACATCACCTGTAATCAAAACGGGCAAAACCATTTAGGAAGAAAAATATGTAAGATTCTTGTGAAAGCATGAGGAAACAAAAAAAAGAACAGAAAACAGAATTTATGATATATAAAAAGAAAAAGGTTATACAACTGAGTTTATATCTCAGTATTAGGTTATAGCTTTCTAAGTGCACAATAATATGGGAAAATAGATTTACAATGTGAATTTCTCCACAGCTTTTAGGAAAAATCTATTCCTTCATCCTTGCATGACCTTGCTTGCAGAAAACGGCAATTATAAAACCATCATCATTGTGGTAGTAAAGTTGCAGTAACATTTTCCTAAATGGCTAAACTCTTATAAGACATCATTTTTAAAGAAACAGCAGCAATGACAATAAAAATAACGATCAATTAATATATAAATAAGAAGATAATTTATAGTCCTCAATGCCATAAATCATAGAAAGATTTAGCAAGAACAAATCAAACTGTAGTTTAGATCAATAAAAACATATAACTTGGTCCTAAATGCCATAAATCATAGAGATATCCAGAAAGAACAAACCAAAGTGTAGCTTTAGATGAACAAAAACATTTAACTTTGCTCAAATATGAAAAACCAAACTTAGCATTTTAGATTCAAGACAAATAAAACCAATTAGAGAAAAAAAAAAAAAGTGCATACGTCAACTAAAGTGACAAACCGATAAGCTGCTGTCCGATTATGAAGTCCAAAGATTGGGACACCTTCCAATGCTAGTGTATGAAAGTTCTCTGTAAAAGAAGGGTTCCTGTAAGGATTGACCCTGGAGATTTGCTTAACAATTATAAGGTATGTACCAAAGTAAGCACACTTTAGACAAGAACCACTTAGAGGATGAAAGATGCCAACCGTTTGGGAAGCCACTAATTATAACAGTTCAAAGATCAGATACTCAAAGGGGAATAAACCCCATACTTTGTGCACATGCAGGAGGAAACAAATCAATGCATATGTTCAAATGCAAAAGAAAACAAATAAATGTGATTTGTTGCTTCTCTTCTCTTTATTGAGGAATATAGTCAGCTCTGTAATCCAATTATATATTTACAATCTGCAATGTCAAACTGAACAAAATTTGACAGAGCTATGTTCTAGCGATTGATTGTCTACATGAATAATATGCATGTCAAAAATCCATTCAGCGGGGCATTACTCACTGCATAATCCAAAATAATCTGCAGCCCCAAGAGGTTTATCACACAATTCCTCAAAGGAAAAATATGCACATCCATTAGCACCCAGTGGAACCTGGCCAAATTTAGAAACCAAGGATTTTAAATTCAAATTACTAGACAGTGCATTACACTCTTAAGCAGAATGCAAAACAGCACACCTGCAATGTCCTTCCCATGACGACTTCCACCTCTTGGCGACCAGCTGTTTGCTCACCAATCAGTTCTTGAAACTTTTCCTTAAGAAGGCCTGATAAATCATTGCCAATAAAGTAGAAACCTTGTTGCGCCTGCAGGCCAAATGTATCATTTACATCTAGGAATTATCATAAATGTCATAATTAAGTGCTAGAATGCAGAAATGAACTTTTTACTAATCACAGAGAGATTGTTAACACTTTACCGAAGTCATTTTCCGATAGTCTACTGCTGAACCAATTTCATGAACCACACACCTTTCCTAGAACAATACAATCCAGACATTAATTTTATTTGCCTACGATATCATAAATGTGTAACAATTCTTAGAAAGGCTTAACCCCTGTTTAACAACTGCAGAATATATCTATATATGCACCTTCAAAGTTGCAATGAAGGGTAGAAAAAGATCTCTCTGTAATCCACGTTCGTAAAGATTATCTGGAGCACGATTTGAAGTGGCAACAAGAATCTACATTTGCCTCCATCATGCATAAGATTATGAGTTCTAAGTTCCATGTTCAATTTCAGTTTGAGACCATAGATGTGAAATCACAATGTAATGATTTTATACAGAACACAAACTTACAACGCCATTGCTGAATAGATGTCTAAATAGACGGTTGAGTATCAATGCATCAGCAACATCAGTCACCTATAAAAGACCAGTGAAGCATATAACCATATTGCCAGAACAGTATAAAATATCACATTTGACCACCAATTGCAAGCATCTAATATTTTAAGTGGCATACCATGAATTCATCTAGACATAATAAAATCGCCTCATCAGATATTTCTCCTGCAACAACTTCAAGTGGATCTGCCACACCCTTGTGCCTCTGCAGGAATTCAGTATTTAACACAACTCAATTCAGTACATGCATATTCATCTCAAAAAGCAGAGAACAGCCTATTCATAGTATAAATGCTCGATCTTTTTCCTCCTTCACGCCTGATTCATAACATATGTGCTCTGAGTGATTGAAAAGGCAAGAGACAGAAAAGCAGAAAAAGAAAAATACTAGCCATTAATCTGAAGCTTTATAGGTAAGAGAATATTTGTCTGGAAAACCTATGAACATTAACAATCTAGAGAAAAGTATATAAATACCTAACTCCACTGAAAAAAAAACTTGAATAAAAATTTGAGAATATAGTTTGAAGAAACACATAGTGAGTTAGATTCTTACTTGTAAGCGGCTATGAACATTCAACATGAAGTCATGAAAATGGATTCTCCTTTTCCTCCAATTGCTGGGCCTGAGGAAGACATACCAATACAATCATCAATGCAAGACTAAATTACTCTTTTCCTTCACCATTCTGCTTCTATTTAGATTCCCTAATAAATCAAAACTACATGATAAGCTTACAATTGATCAAAGAATAAGTCCATCAACATAGTCTTCCCAGTACCCACTCCTCCATAAAGATATAGTCCTTTGACTGGTGAATATGAAGACTGTGGCATGAAACGGGTCCACAACCACCTACTCCTGAAGATTTAAAGGAAAAAAAAAAAGAAAAAGAAAAAGAAAAAAAAAAGGTTTCCGATAACTGGCAAAATGGCATGTGAAATTAAAAAAACATTCTATAACAAAAAACCAATCAGTAAAATTTCATAAGAGAAATAAGAATTGTTTGATCCCCTTTACAAGAATTTTTTGGAAATGGAGAAGTAAAAACACAAGGAAGAAATGGAATATCTACCTTCCAGATTTGTCTGAAGCAGTATAACGATCCAACTTGCAGGCATCAGCTGACTCAACAAGCTCATCATAAAGCCTTTGAAGTTCTCGTAATGTGCCTACCTGCAGAAATCATGGCCGGTAAATGTCTCGGCAAGACAATTTAAATGCCCGTAAAACTGAAGTACATAAAAATCATGTAAATAAGATATAAATGTCAAAATATTTGTAATATTAATGTCACAAGATATACGAGTTATTTCATACTGTGTGCGGCTTAATATCAATATCCATATTACCACTTCATTAATATGCTGTTGTTTCTCACAAGTGTTTGTTTGACAAACAAAAAGGATAAGTACACAAAGAAGCTCAAGATTCAACATATCGAACAAAACTTTCTTTCACAATTTCCAGAAAACAAAAAGTAAAATAACAATCATCCAGACTAAACATACATAAATCGAGCAATGCAATTTTAACAATTTTACATCTAGAAAATTAAAGTTAATCATCACACCTGACAGTTATCACCATCTAAAAGCTCGCCCGTAGCAATTCTCCTTTCATACTCTACAAGTGGCCCTGCAACATTCACCTCTGCAATTGAACCAAAAACCGAAAACAATAAGAAATGCTTTCAAATTCTTCTTTCCCCCTATATTTCACAAACCAAAACCTACAACAAGAGAAGGAACGCAACCTCCATTAAAAAGTTTATCAGCATCCGTTGATAGAGCTCTTGAGATGATAAAATTGGGGCACAGAAATCCATCAGAATCAGCATTGTTGTTAATTCTACAAACAGAACTGCTACAATTGGTATTTATCAAAACCGTTTGTTGCCTTTTCACCAAATTAACAGCACAATTGTATTCTTGATATTGAAAAGCTGATAGAAATTGACGAGCAGATCGAACACTTCTTCTCATTTTTCAGTTCAAAAGCTAATTTTTTATCCTTTTCCACTCGCTCTCAGACTCCCCAAAAACAACAGAGAGTCCTGAAATTTCACAAAAATAAATAAATAAAGCAAATAAGAACGGATACTTCATTTAATTAAAATATAAATATCCGAATGCATAAAATACATAATTCGGATTCTCATTTTTTCACACTTTCGCTATAGCAACTTTTAGAAAAGATACATTAAGAAAAAAAAGTAGCAATAAATAGAGGTCATATCAGTGGTGACAAGTCAAACTCAGAGGTAACAAAACAAGATATACGTATCGGTAAACTCCAAATTCCATTAACAGAGCTATTAATTACTTCATTAAATTCAATACACAAAAAGTAAAATAAAATTACAGAATTCAAATCCTAATTATTCAAAAAAAAGATTAATTAATGCTATGAAATTTGTATATCGATCGTCTTAAAACATAGTATAAAATTTTTTTAAAAAAAAAAGCAGGAAACGAGTAAGTCTATACCTGAATTGCAGAGGATTGTTCGTTGAAGGAGAAGCGATCCTTTAAAAGGAAGACGACGGAGATGAGAAACGATAAGGTAGGAAAAGGTTGAGTCAAAGACAAATGTAACAATGAAGAAAATAAATAAGAAGGAAATAAATGAATTGATAAATAATTTAGGCTTGGCTGCTGCGTTGTTGTTGGGGAGGAGGACCAAAAAGAGAAAAGCTTGAAGTTCTCGAGCGAAGAGAAAAGGAGAGATTGGTCTTAAGAGACAGCTCCGATTATATTTGAGGTTGATCTCCGCGTCACTTTTCCACGTTGTTTATGCGCTATCTGCCTCGTTTCCGCAAATTAGATTATTACCGCACTCTCTATTTTTTTTAGTAAAATAATTAATTTGTTAATAATACAGTTGGATTTTCTTAATTTTTAATTTTAAAATTCTTTTTATTTTTGAAAAACTTTTCTTTTGCCCTCCTAATATTGATTCTTGGTTCTATTACTTATTGTTATACATACACTTATTAATTATCGGTAGGCTATGTCTAATGTCTTTGCGTGTCCCTCTCTCCCTACTAACTTGTACATATTTTTCTTTTTTCTTATATTTCTTAAGTATTTATATTTTTTATTCCCCTTCTTAGAAGTTCAATAAGTTTTTCTATTTATTCTATTTTACAATATTCTTGACAATCAAACAAATGAAAAATAGATTCAAAATTAGTGAAAAATATTGTTTCGTCGGTGTAGATATATTTAAGAGAAATAAATGCAAAATTGTAGAGTTTGAAATTCTTAATGAAGTTACAATAGACTAGAGAATTTAAAGAATATAAAATTAGAAGATTGTATAAAATAATTATTTATATAGTTAATATGTGTGTGGAAATTTTTAAGTTAATTTTTTTCTTTGAAATTTGAAATAGTAGAATTTTTTACCGACTAAATATCAAAAACTTAGGATACGTTCACTTGTAGAAAACTAAAGTTTGTCAAGAAAATTGAAAAAATTGAGTTTTGTATTCAAATCAGTCAATTTTTTATTTAGAAAACTAGAATATAGTTTTCTAGTTTTCCAAAATTTAACTGAGATTTGAAAAACAGCTTTAAGTTGTTTTTCAGAGATTTTCTTTATAACAAAAGACATGTTTTCCAGCTGTTTTTTTATGTTTTGAAATAATATTTTCACAATTAAAATTATAATATCTATAAATAAATTTTTCTGTAAAATATTTTGATTTAAAAAATAAAAATATTTAAGTAAAATAAAATTTTATATCATGCTTTAATATATAGTTAATTTTATTATAGGAAAGAACTAGCAATATAGTTTTCTAAGTTTTCCAAAATTTTTAACTGATGATTGAAAAAACAGCATTTAAGTGTTTCAGAGGATGTTGCTTCGTACTAACAAAGAGACATGTTTTCGCAGCCTGTTTTTTTATGGTGGTTTGAAATTCAATATTCTTCCACAATTTAAAATTTATAATATCTATAAAATAAATTGTTCCTGTTAAAAATATCTTTGATTTAAAAAGATAGAAAATATTTAAGTAAAATAAAATTGAGTATGGTGGAGGGGGTTATATCATGCTAATATTATAGTTAATATTTATTATTACAAAGGTATGGATTATATGTATTTTCTTAAAAAACATTTTACAAAATGATAAAAAGATGATATATATTATATAACATAGATCGAATGGAAAATTAAAACACTGGATTTATTACAAACAAAATTTTATATTATTTTAATATTTTATTTCTTTAATTATGAAAACGTTGGATGATATGAGATGGAATATTTTATTTCTTTTAATTATGAAAGTTATGAATAATGTTTGTGAAGTTAAATTAAAATATAATTTTTTATTATTAGCAAATGAACGCATTTCTCATTTTCTGTTTTGTAATTTTCATTTTCTAAGAAAATTGTTTTATTGAAAAACAGAAAATAGAAAAATAGAAAAATGCTTTTGTAAGCAAACGCACTCTTATCTTTCTAAATTAATTTTTCATAATATTCTGATTTCTAACAATTAAATGTCTCTTAAAAAATGTGTTCCTATATTTTCTCCGAAAAAAAAAATCTGATTCTATATTTATTTCCTTATATGTCAAATTAATAAGTAATTTTTAGTCAAAAATTATCATTACTTATTTTTCTAAATGAAAGGAAACCGGTCTGGGTCCCCACTCCAACAGATGCCGTATCATAAACCGAACGCCACACAAAATAACATGTTTTGCCGTCGTGTCGCACGTGTGGATCCCACCACCAATCCTATCGGACATCAGCAGTTGTCTAGTGACTAGTGAGTAGTGAGTGAGTAAACACTTGGCTCGTGTGGTAATGGTACATGATTCATGAATGAGAAGGGCGGATACAGGATTAAACTCTTAAATTTTCATAAAAAAAATTATTGTTGTTAATTTTTTAAAATAAGTTTGTGACGTTTTAAATTTTACTTTTTAATTTTATAATTTTAAATTTCATTTTTCCTATACTTATAGCTTGAAATTGATTCACATTTTAATTTACAATAGATGAAATTATTTAACTTACCAAAAATAAAATTCAAACAGCCATAAATTAAAAAATAAAATTTAAAAGACTAAAAAGTCATATTTATTTATTTATTTATTTTGAACAGCGTCATTTTTACAATTCAGAAGGCAACAATTTTTTATAATGGTCAATAGTTCAATTATATACAACAAAATTATTGAGAAAATTTATTTACTTTAATTTGTTTATTTTTTTATTTGTTAGATATTCAATGGGCTGTATAATCTTTCCGATCACTAAATTGGTGAAAATAAATTACTCAAATTTTAATCCTCTCACTTTTCATATCAATGAGAATAACAATCAGAATACATTATTAATATAATTTTAAATAATTAAAAATAAAATTATTATATAAAATATTAATTTGCAAAATTTATAAAATTAACCGATTGTTAATTTTAATTGCTTATTGTTGCGTTAAAAATTAAATTTTGATCAGTTTCAAAAACAATTTAATATAAGTGGAAGCCAAATTAAGAGTATAATTATGAGATAGATAGAATGATATACCGATGAAAGTGAAATCATATTTTTTCACTCTCCTTAACTAAATTCTTGATTTTATTATCGATAATTAATAATAAAATAATGCAATATAATCAAATTCAATTTTAGTATAAATATTGTATTAATTTTTTTATTATTATGAAATATAATATTTACTGTGATATTGATAAAATTTCTAATAAGTTACTCTATTTTGACCCATTCTGGGGTGGGTGGGATATAATATTCATAATTAATGAACCTGCAAAAAAATACATTCTATACACAATATGCATGAAGGACATTTGGATGTTTGCTAGCCGTCTCTTCAGAGTTAAGAGTTCGAACTATCACCAACCCCTTAGGTCATCAATTCAAAAATATAAAAATAAAATTAGGTTCTTGAAAATTATTTGGTTTTTTGTTCATATAAAAAATAAGAAAATATCATATTAAAAAAATGCATTTCAATTTTAAAAAGTTCACATATGAATCATCTATATCTATCTATCTATACTATATATAAAAGTGGGAATGAGGAGAATAATAGAATTACTTATAATAACTTCAATGTAATTTTAGAAATTCTAAAATATTCTTTTAGATAATTGATAATAATTTGAGTTTATTAAATAACTTGAATTTTTAATAATTGATAAATTAAATATTATACTTTGATTTTATTGGTTGAAAAATAAAGGTATTTTAGTTTTGATTGGTTAAGTTAATTTTCAATTTGAATCTAAATTATATTGGAAAGTTTAATTTAATTTTAAATAGAAACTTATTGTATTTAATTAAATAGTACACTTTTAATATATTTATTTTAATATTAAAGCATTTGAAATTTTTTATTATATAATATTTATTTCGTTGAACTATATACTTATATTTATAGTTCCGAAAATTTGAAACTACGTTTAAAATCTACTAAAAAAAATTATATTATGAATAACATATGAGAGGTAATTAATTACATGCAATATCTAAACAAAATCCCATTTGATTTATTAGATACAATCGAAGAGCCAAAAACAAATTCTTTGCTATTTACAATTGGAATTATTAAATTCCAATAATAAATAAATTTTATAATCAAAGATTATCTATAAACATAAAACAATACTTAAATAAATCAATTATTAGATACAATCGAAGAGCAAAAACAAATTCTTTGCTATGTTACAATTGGGAATTATTAAATTCCAGAGTAATAAATAAATTTTAATAAAGTCAAAGATTATGCTATAAACTAAAACAATGACTTAAATAAATCATATATATTTTATATTATAATTATATTAATATCTTGATAAGTCACTGTCTTTTATAGTTGGATTGTCTATCTATTCTTAGAAACATTCATGAGTATTTATATTTTTTTTTATTTTGGTATACTATCAAAGAAATCTTTTCAATGTGATGATCAAAATAATTTATGTATGTGATTTATTTTGATATATAACACATGTATTATTATTTGTTAACTATTTTTTCTAGAACAACTGTAATCCTGTGCTTGTTGAAAAAGAATGCGAGTAATATATAACTAGATGCACAATGGATATGTAGTTTATGTGTATATGTATTTATTTTGATATATAAAACACATGTATTATTATTTGTTAACTATTTTTTCTAGACAAATTAATCTTCTTTTAAAAAGATGCATACATATATACCTAGATGCACAATGATATATTTATGTGTAAGTTCATATATTATTTTATAATTTAGTGTCAACAAATATATTTTGATAATAATATATATATTGCAAATCATTCTATTAACATGAATAGATTCTTTCTATTACATGATTAAATGCATTGATAATATTTTGTTATATTTTTGTTATATTGATTAGATGAATGGATTCGTGACTAAAAGAAATATCTACTATAAAAAAAATATCTTTAGAAAGCTTTTAATTTCATTTGTTGAAAAAATAAAGTAAATTTAATTTAATCATCTATATTAGTTTCTTATGTAAATTAAATTATACTCTAACTAATAAATAAAATAAAAGTAAATAAAACAATTACAATACAAATTTCACCAAATCTTATAAATTATATAATCAATGAAGGAAAATATTATAAGAACTATGAATTTAGTTGTTAATTTCATATTTGATTAATTATTTTGCCAAATTCAACTTTAAACGGTAACTTTGAAACATGAGCTATAACTTAGCTCAAACAATTCTATAAAACTTAAAACTAATTGTGAAAAATATTGAATTAATAAGAAATTAATAGATATATAAAAATTAAAATAAAAATAAGAAAAACAAATAAAATATAATGAAAAACATATATGTACAAGTGTAAAAATTATTAAGACAATCAATTATTAAATCAAATGAATTTACTATCAAAAAAATTAAGAAAAGTAATAATAAATTGTGATAATTAAAATTATATTTTTAAAATAATAATGTTATATAATATAAAAGAGTAAAAGAATAATTTAGGAATAAAAATAACGAGTACAAACACGTGCAATGCACGTTGAGAAAAAAATTCGTATATCCAAAAGTTAACAGTAAAAATCAAATTAGCTTTATTTTCTTTTTAAAAGTTTTCTAATTATATTGACAAAATATTAAAATTGATAATTGAACGTGAAAAGTTTGACTTAATAGTAAAACTTTTATTTTACAAAAACAGAAATCAAAAACTAAATAATAACGAATAAACTCCTTAGTTTTTGAAAAATTTTTTAGATGTTTATAAAAATTTCTTACCTATATCCAGTATATTAGTGATTCCATACACCAAGCGAACAATTTTTTTTTAAAAAACATTATATTTTAATTTTTTTTAGTGTATGGTAAGAAGTACTGTAATTTGAATGAAAATATTATAATTAGCTTGATATATAGATTGATCATAAACCGCATGTAAATAAGTTTTTCTCGGTTTTTATTTATATTAAAAATTGAAAAAAAATTGTAATTTTAATTTAAAAATACACAAATAAAAAATTACGCATATGAAGGCAGCAGATACATACCCTTTCGTGATCAATTAGCCAACCCTAGAGTCGAGTTTTGTTGACGTGGACGCAATAAAAAGCTTCCGTTAAAACTTAAAAAGTTAGAAACAAAACCACATGTAATCGAATGCTGCCCTCACCGAGTCGAGAAGAATGAATGGTGTCCACATCACCATTACCTCAAAGTTTTGGGGACCATTGCACGTATGAAGTGGATAATTGGACATATGTTTTCGTTTTAGTTTGTATATATACACTTGTTTGTTTCCCTTTTTATTTTATGTGGCCAGAATAAAAGCAACGGTCTTATTTATTAGTAAGATAACATTATGGATTAAAAATATAGACAGATTGATTAATTAATAAAATAAATTGGACCTAATTTATTCGCAGAAAATTAATTTAAAAATAGGAAAACTGTCCAAATATTTTATTTTGATGAAATTTTTATAATACAGATATTAAAAGTTGAATATTTTTTTTTCTTCTGGCTTTTTAAATTCTTTCCTAGATGTGTGCGACTGTCATTCTCTGATTCTACGTAGACAACGTACATACATACGAATAACACATATATACCTAATCGCGAATATATTACTGGTTTACTACATTATCTAAATCCGTATAATGTATATTTGGTATATATTCAAGACTGAAATGGATTGAATACGAGGGAAAACGAATATATATTCAAAACTGAGGTGTTTCTGATCTAAGATTTCATATTATAAAATAATAAAAATAATATATATTTGGTATAAATATTAACATTACGTGCCAAATTGGGGAATCGTCAAACCATATTCCTCACCTACAGGCGCTGACAATGAGGCAGTAGCATGGTTCTCGACTTAATTAATCTCCAACCCAATATTAAAAACGATGCGCTAAGAACGAGATTAATAATGTTTAAGCAGTCCCCATCACACTCTGATGACTCACATGTTAGCTTTAATCCCTGAACTCAAATTGGGGGATTTAATAAATCAATTAATAATTATATATTTAATTAAAATAACCACTCCTCTTTCCCTTTATAAATATAAATCATTTAAAATTTTTATAATATCATTAAGAAAATAGATTATTTATTTACCTTTGTCTCACATCATTAATAATTAATGTATTTCTTATATGTAAAGATGAAATTAAAAAGTTATCAGTAATTACTTCTTAATATATTTTCAAAACAAATTATATTTAAGAACGATTTATATTTATTTATTGACAGAGAAATTAATAAATTATATATTATATATATTAATGATTTTATGTATATTTAATAAATAACGAAAATGAAAGATATGTCATATAAAATGTAATGTATATTTATATACAAATAATTTCACATAAATAATATGAATGAAAATAAAAATAATTTCATTAAGTAATGAATTAAGAGTAATTTAAATGCTTAAAGGAAAAATCCAAAAAAAAAAATATATATTTTTCTTAATGGATACTTGTAATATAAAAGTAAAATGAACTCACACAGGATGCTAACCAACGTCCAGTTTTTTAAATATAAGATGACATGCTAATAAGAAAAACAAAAACAACCAACGCATTCATTAACCGAGTCTAATTCTCAACAAGTTAAGCTTGGGCTTGATTAACAGGTTTCCAAAGATCTGGGCTCTATCTTATCTTCGAAGGCCCAAGTCCTAAACAGTCCATGAAGCTTGGAGGGTATATTGGGAAGTTTGCATCCCTTTAGCGGTTGCACGGTAAATTGGTCAAAATGATCGTCTGTGTTTCCTGATCTGTTACACTCTGGTTATTCCTTTTTGGCTGATTTCTATCGATTAACTCATAATTTCGTTCAAAAAACAGAAATAAACTGATTCTACTTCGCTAGGGTTTAAGACCAGACATATTGGTGTAAACAGAGAAAGAAATGGCAAATCAAGGAGCCAAAAAACGCAGGGAAGAGAACGCTCGCCATATGGCAAAGCTACGCCACCTAATTATTGCCTGCAATGTATGATTTTCTCATCTGTATCAATAAATTTGTATCATATTTTACTTGAAAATTTCTCCGGGTCTCTATTTCTTCTATTGAAATGGTTGGTTTGGTATTTGTTAATTTTTAGGTTATATATGTATTAGTGAGGATGCTGATTTTTCACGCCAGTTTCACTTGGAAACATTGGGTAGGTCTGGTTTTGACCTCGCTGGCTTATTTTCTTCCCTATCAACAACTTGCTGCAATGGCTAAACCCGCATATGGAGATGATGGGGACCTTCTTGATGGTGGATTTGATATGAGCACTGGTGGAATTTGTGGGTTGGTATTTTTCTGTTTTCATTTCTTTTTATCAGTTTCAATTTTAATGCATGATTATTGGTATTTATTTGGTTGTACTAGTAGGGCCTTGTTTATAACTTGTTTGTTAATGAATTCATTGGAATTGGGCTATTAGCCATTAGATTTGTCAATAGCAGTCGTCAGTGATGTACTCTTAAGTTTATAACACCGAGTTTATAAATCCAGATTAACTTATTATTTTCTTAGGATGTTTATAATCTGCTAGAGTTCTGCATTTTGCCTGTTTGCTGTGTTGCAAAATGGCACTGAGTTGATATGGTAATCAAATTTGATAATTAGATCGAGAATTGCACATGAAGGAGGATTTATAAAGAATATAAACAAGAGGTTGATAACAAAGGAGGATTTGCTATCCTCATCTAAGATAAGTATGTGGATAATCAATTAAGATGATGGAAATGTTCTTCTATTCCTTTATACCACCCATGTGATTAAATTTATTTTGTATTTCTTATTGTGTGTAGTAACAAATTTTTGTTGTATGGACCACCATTGGTAGCAAGTGAACAATGTATAAAGACTTGGGACTATTCTTACCTAATTATTATACGAAAGGGGAATTTCTTCACTTTGGACTATATTCCAGAATAAAATAATGAGAGTTTATCCTTATCTAATGATCTTTTTTTTGGTCTAGATTTCTAGTTTTTGGCATGTGGTATAAATAAATAATACTGTTGTGTCACTGTTGGTATTTTTTTGCAGCTATCTGCATGATGTTATCTACATTACAAGCTTCGTGCAAATCACATCCATCATCTCTGGAAAATTTTGGTACACATACCTGCTGGTAAGATCCCATAGATTAATCCTTTTGTAAAATTGTATCACATTACATTAGCTTCCGTGTCAAAATCATCCATCCATTCATCTCTTGGAAAATTTGGGTAACAACATACCCTGCTGGTAAGATCCCATAAGATTAATCCTTGTAAAATTGTATCTAGATGTATCCATTACAAGCTTCGTGCAAATCACATCCATCATCTCTGGAAAATTTTGGTACACATACCTGCTGGTAAGATCCCATAGATTAATCCTTTTGTAAAATTGTATCTAGATGTACAGGGCAACACTCATAGCTTGCTTTGGAAATTACACCTTAGAGGCTAGTAAAGGACGAAATCATGTACCAATTTGTTTTCGAAAGAGTTATGGTGCCCAGAGTATGTATAATTCTGCTAGGGAATTCAACTCTCCTTTATTCCAATTGGAAAAACGGTAGTTCTTGATTGTTAGTCTATATGCTCCTAAGATATACTAAATGAACCTGAAAATATGTTGTACTTCTTGATGTTCAGATTAGCAAGCTTTAACATATTAGTAAAGGAAGCAATCGACTCCTTTTAATGAAGTTTTGAATCTTTGCTTCCATACTGAGGGAGTGATAGAAAATGTATATGCATGTGTACTGGCACAAATGCAAGTGCAAGTTAATGACTTTTTCTGGATAAGTTTATATATGTATTTATAGAAATATTTAGATTGGCAATGTCCAAGGGTCATGCTCTATGTCTATTCAGAGAATTAGTCATACCATATATCCCTACACTTAGGAGAAAAATATCTGATAAACCTTTCCCTCTATTCCAAAATAACGGCCCAAGTCACTTATTTGGGCTGTCCCAAATTAATTGTCTAGATATTTAGTTTAGTAAATCAATAAGTCTAAAGGTTATTTTGTCAATAATACCCTTCAAATAGTTTACCTTGATTTCTGTACCACTATACACTAAAGGATAAAGTTAGTAAACTAACAAAACATAATTCATTCAAAAGAATTTTCCTAATCTCCATATTAAAGTCAAACTAGATTATAATTTTGGGAGGGAAGAATTATATTCCATGAAAAAACCAAGGTGGAGTTATTGAACTATAAAATATTTGCTTGAATCTGATGTTTATCAGCGATAACTACTTAATTGGTAGGTTAATAAAGCATTTACATAGATAGGTTTTGCTTGCTTGTACTTATTGAGACATTTTTTCTTATATTTGGATTGCCTCCTAACGAATAGCATGTATGAGATCACTTAGCATGATATTTGATACGTGGCGGAGTTACTCTTCCTTAATGCTTTTCAGATACCAGCATTTGGAGCATACAAATCTTTTGGATTCATTAGAGGATTTTTATCACAAGGCTCTGAGGTACATTTTCTTCTCCAGTTCTAATCATGTTTAAAGGTATTAAAAGCATTTTCGTAAGATCGATTATCCTCTGTTAACCAGGGAGATATGGAGGACGAAAAGACTCGCAAAAAGAGGGAGAAGCTGGAGAAGAAAGCTTCACGAGCCAAGTTTGTGAAGACAAGAAATAGATAAGTCATTGTATTGAAATGAGTATACCAACCCTTAGGAGTAGTTACTTCTTAAATGACACAATGTCCTTGCCAACTTTTGATAAGTACCGAGTAGGAGTTGAAAAAAAAAAAAAATGTATTGATCAAGGAAGACTCTGCAATGCATAATTTTTCAGTTTTGTGCCACTGATGTTTGTTGTTGTAATTCCATGACTACTAGAAGCTAGAGCAAGAGCTATTACCAAGCAATGATTTGCGAACATCACAAATAATAGAACAAAAGACTTGCAAACCAATGTATGCATTTATGTTCTATGTATGATTTGTGAAGCCTGTGATGACAGATTCAGTCAACTAGGAGTTCGCAATCAATCCTCTGGAAGAATAACTCATGCTTATCAAGATCATAACCCATATTATGGTATTGTTGAGCCATTAACCCAACTACAGAAAAATCTGTAAAATTATTGCTGTAGGTGCTGGCTTGTCTCATGGCCATGCAAAGTACATCTGGTGTGGCTTGATAGAACATGCTTTCACTGTCCAACTCTAAATCTGCTCCTCCTGCGAAGTGAAATGTTACCACAGGAAACCCAGTAAGGTCCTGGTCCACTCTTCCCTTGTAACAAAGAAATGACTCTCGCCAAAATGGTACAAGGACTCTATCCAAGAGAGACTGAACTTCATCACCAAGCGCTCTATATAAATTTTTGGCCAACCAGGTTAGTGCAGTTCCAGAATCAATTATTACAGCTTGTCCTTTCCTTTTACTTCTAAATGCAGTAGAATCTATGTTGAGCCTTTTTTCCCCAACACTAATGCCTTCCAGAGTAACATAGTAATGGCCGGCAACCACTTCTAAAGGTGTTGAAGAACCTTCAATATTTGCACCATCGCCGATGACCAACTGGTTATATTTGTAGTGAGAATCAGCAACGTTGCCTATGCAATAAGAAAACTTAGAACCCATTTGAGTTACAAAAGATGTGATTCCATTGCCTAGACCAAATATGCCAGTGAAACGCCGGTCTCTATAATTGCCATTCTCATGGCTGCATCCGAATACCACATAAGGCACGGCATTTGTGCTTCCATCTGAATTGTGAATGATGATTTGTTCAGTGGCAAGAACTCCGACTGACGGCAGACTTCCTACGTAAGTTTGGTTGTACATGCACTGATTCAACCAGTTGCATTTGCTGCCTGGGGCATCGGGGCACACAGTGTCCCTACACGACAAGGTAGCATAAGTAGAAGATTTGGAGGGGTCTAGTAATGAACCAGTCTGTTGTAAACAACGTTTGCAGGGTGCACATTGTACCCATAAGAGACTGCTGCCTGTGTCCATTATTGCTAATTGTGGAACAGGTGGTTGTCCGATGGAGAAACTCACCATGAACAAGGGTTCAAAGGCACTAGGAACGAGATTTAGCTGAAGATCATTTCTGCATTTATTTCTTGCAATCTGCGCATACAAGTAAGCCATCCAGGTAGCTGAGGCTTTCATAGTTCGTTCTGTTCGGTCTGCAATAGTGTCATTTGGGTTGTAATATGGAGAGAGAATGGAATCGTGGTGAATCAATTTAGTGACTGATCGCTTAGGTCGGAAAGTGTAGGCTTCAATGGTTTTTGCAGAGAGAGCCAAAATCAGGAGTAGCAATGAAAATAATCCACATGCAATAGCCATTAACGATAGTGAAATGAGAATCCGTTCTCGCTTTATATCATTCTCAACAAGGAACCTGAAAAAAGGTAGCAGATGCACAAGAAATATATAAGTAGGATATAGAAAAGGCCATTTGTCAATTATGTCTAGATTGAATTGTCTCGGCAGTTAGAAGGGTAAAAGCTTGTTCTAGTTATGCTTCATATGTATATGTATTTGGGTTACGAAAAGGGCTTCAAGTAGGATATAGAAAAGGCCATTTGTCAATTATGTCTAGATTGAATTGTCTCGGCAGTTAGAAGGGTAAAAGCTTGTTCTAGTTATGCTTCATATGTATATGTATTTGGGTTACGAAAAGGGCTTCATATTGCAATATATTATTAGAAGAAAGAGAGAAGGAATGAAAAGATCATGATAACTAGTAAAAATGAAATTAAGGAAAGAGTTTTAGGATTATAGGCCTAATATTCAAGGAGTAAATTAAATTCAAATCAAACTATTATTGAATGAAAATCCAATAACAATAGGTATATGAAATTTTTAATTTTCATGTGGCTCTTTACTGTCAATTATAGTTGTAATAAAATTTCATCTAATAATCATTTTCAAAAAAACAAAAATTATCTAATAATTTACCTGAACAATTTCATTAGTCACAGTATAGGAAACTCAGTCTTCTCTTAAGTCTTTCTTTATGATCAATAATTAATTGCTATAAAGATTGTCCATTATCTGCTTAAGTGGAGCACCTACGATTGTTGAAAAATACTTTCACAGTCGTGTTAGTGGAAACACAAATAAAAGCACAAGGGAACTTTTTTGCTTTTCTTCCAAATAGTTTTTGGGTTTGAAATTTCTTTTCAAATAGTTTGGGTTTTGAATTTCTTTTCAAAAGCTGTCTTTTTCATTTTTCCCTTTTTACTATTTTTTGAAAAAATTTATTTAAACCTTAAATATACAAAGCTCTTTTAAAAAAAAAAATAACTATTTTTTTAAAGGGAAAAATAACTATTATTATATCTATTTAAGAATGTTTAATTCGAGTATTTAGGAGAAAAGAAAATAATTAATCGAAGTCTAAATTAGGTCGTAATTTAGATTTATTTTGTGCACGTGAACTACAAACTTAAATTTATGCAAAAATTTATGGATAAATTTATGCAAAAATTTATGGATAAACATTTGAAATTTTAATATTTTTCAATATCTTGTCTTACTCATAAACAGTAATTCTTATATGCATTCACAGGCTACTAATCAGTCAACCCCGTGTCAAACTGATACTACTATGCATCCTCCACCCACCCATAAAGGGGGTCTAAAGACAGCCCAAAAAGTTGAAAATTAAAAAATCCTGTCTGTACCAAGCCGCTCACCTGGCAAATAAATTAAGCGTGAAATGTTGGGTCCGGTAACAAAATTATACAGAAAGTTACGTGATTCACTCTTAACTGTTTAGAGTTACGTCCATGAGATAATTCCGAATAATTCTTTCACTATTAAAAATAGTATGTATACAAAGAGAGTAATACAGAAATATAGGCACTCAAAGTGTTTTTCAAAAACAACTCAAAATAATTTTTTCATTATTTTTCTCTTCCCTAATTTTAAAACACCCTTCTTAATATTAGATATCTCTCTCTATATTTTTTTTTTCTTTCTTATTTTTGCTGTGTTTTATTGAGGAAAACATCATAGTCTTCATCTGGTTCATTTTGATAAGGAACTTCTGGAATGTTTAAGTCTGGCACTTGTTCTTGTGGAACATTTTCTTCATCTCCAATTTGTCTGCGTTCTATTGGAGGGACTCTCTGTATGTATGTTGAGTCTTCATCAGATCTATTGGCACGTATGTTGAGTATTTCATCAAAATCTATTGCACTCGCTTCAATATCTTCAATAGTGCCTGATCTTCAACAAACGCTTCAATATCTTCAATAGTCTGATCTTCAACAAATACATCATCATGATTTCTTATAATCGTCTTCTGGATTGGGTCATAAAACTTATAGCCAAATTGGTCTTCGCCATAGCCAATGAATACACATTGTCTAGTCTTGACATCAAACTTAGACCGTTCATCCTTTTGGACATGTATGAAGGCTTTGCAACTAAACACCTGCAAATGATCATGGGAAACATCTTTTCCTGAACATACTCTTTTTGGAGTATCATACTGTAGAGGAACACAGAGTGAACGATAAACTACAGTGAGTAAAGCTTCAATATCTTTTAGACAACTTTGCATGTGAGAGTAAACATCTGACTCTCTCCATCAAAGTTATATTCATCCTCTCAGCCAAACCATTCAATTACGGCGTCTTGGGAGGTGTCGTTTGATGTCGAATACCATGCTCTTTGCATAAAGCATCAAATGACCCACTGTATTCTCCACCATTATCTGTACTGATACACTTCAACTTCTTGCTTGTTTGTCTCTCAACCAGGTTTAGAAGACTTTAATGTGTATACCCAAGTCTTCCTAAAATGGTCATCAATAAATGTCATAAAATATCGATTTCCACCATATGACATCGTCAATGGTCCACACAAATCTGAATGAATAAGATCTAATACATTTTTCATTCTGGAAGGAGGGGTAAACTTGAAAGCTACTCTGTTTTGCTTTCCCGCCATACAATCAGGACACTTGTCTAGGTGAACTTTATCCAATCCAAGTAGTACGTTCTTTCTTGCCAGAGTCGTCATTCCTTTAGCTACCACAAATGAACCTTTTGTGAGCTTCTACTGACCATTTCTGAATGTGCTACAGAAACATTCATCATCAAATCTACCAATCGAGATTTGGACGCATGCTCGAAAGCCCATTTCGCATCAGTCTTGTCTTCCGGTTTAGTTGAACTTCGCATCAGTCTTGTCTTCCGGTTTAGTTGAACTAAACACGGGCAAATGCATTTTGATTTCCATAACGAGATCTCTCATTTTATTTCTCTATATATGGTAATTCGCGCCATTTAAACTGATCATTTTGCTTGTCCATTTTTACTTGTACAGAATATCATCACCAACATAAACTGTATACGTGAACAGTAGTATACATGAATAGTGACGGACTCAACAACAGTAACGCCAATAGTACGGTTCACCATCACCTTTGAGTTACCATTTTACTATTCATCATTAAGTCCATTTTGCAACGTCTTTCTGAGCGGACAACACCAATGGACTCATCTTAATTTTCTCTTCGTCATGATATATTTATTTTTTAAATATATCCACGGATCCGGTATCGCTATATGACCGGTTGGACCTATCGAAATCTTTGGCTCTGATACCACTTGTTAGGCCTAGGTACCACTTGCCTCAGCTTTGATACCACTTGTTAAGGCTCCCGCAATAAAATTACGAGAATAATTACTACAGCGGAATAAACAAAATTATGACATACAGAAATTTACGTGGTTCATCCTTAACTGTTTAGGGCTACGTCCATGGGACAAACTCCAAATAATTCTTCCACTATTAAAAATAGTAACAATCAAAGTGTTTCCCAAAAATACCCCAAAATAATTTCTCACTATTTTTCTCTCCCTTAATTTTAGAAAACCCTTCCTAAAATTAGATATCTCTCTCTACATTTTTTTTTCTTTCTTATTTCTACTATGTTTTGTTGAGGAAAAACCTTCTTCTACTTATAGGAGAAGGGGACGTGTTAATAACGTATCCACCGACTGACGCGTTATTAATGCGTCCAACTATTTCAAAGGAAACGTTTTCCTTTTTTTCTTTTTCAAAGTGTGTGGATCCCACACGTCGGAAGACTCACAACATGAAATTGGATGAAAATTCAAACTTTGAACTATTGTTTTCTCTGTACCTATTGCATTTCTCTTAATACACCAAATAAATATTCCTCAATTCCATCCATTATCTTCTCATATGATCTTCATCTTTTATTTCATAGTTCTTACTTCAATTTCTCCATGAACAACAACCTATTACACCCTTTCTCATCTCTTTGCATCTATGTTTATGTTCTTCTCTTTTTCTTTACCTCTACTACCTTTGCTTCTACCAGCAATGAGACTGACCTCAAAGCCTTACTTCAATTCAAAGCTATGTTCTTCTCTTTTTCTTTACCTCTACTACCTTTGCTTCTACCAGCAATGAGACTGACCTCAAAGCCTTACTTCAATTCAAAGCCAAAATAACTCAGAGACCCATTTCAGGTTTTAAGCTCATGGAATCATACAATCCATTTCTGTCAATGGCAAGGCATAACCTGTGGTCGGTCACACCGGCGAGTCATGGAATTAAACCTGCAGTCCTTGGCACTTGATGGCTCTATATCACCTTACATTCGCAACTTGACCTTCTTGAAGATACTGAATTTAAACAACAACAGCTTCATCTATCAAATCCCGGAGCAGATTGGTCACTTAAGAAGACTGGAAGAACTCAGACTGACTAACAATTCGATGAGTGGAAAAATGCCAAGTAATATATCAAGTTGTTCAAATCTCATTGTTATAAGTTTACGTAATAATAAGTTGAAAGGAGATATTCCTGAAAAATTGGGTTCGTTATCGAAACTTCAAGTTCTTTACTTATTTGAAAACAATCTATCAGGAACTATCCCTTATTCACTTGGAAATTTGTCACAGCTTCTGCTACTCTCCTTAGCTTTCAATGGCTTGGCAGGAACTGTACCTTACTGTTTAGGCTAGTTAACCAATCTTCAGTTCTTGAGTCTTTATTCAAATAGGCTTTCAGGTATCGTTCCTTCATCAATCTTTAATCTTTCCTCCATAACAGACTTTGAGATAGGAGAGAATCATCTCCATGGAAATCTTCCTTCAGAATTAGGCTCTTCACTTCCTAAGATTAGATTTTTTGCTATTAATTTTAATGAGTTCACTGGACAAATCCCTTCTTCTTTTTCTAATGCCACTAATTTGCAGATACTTTCTTTGCTAGAAAACAAGCTTACTGGACAAGTTCCTTCTCTGGCAAAGTTGAATAAACTTCGTGCTTTTATTGTTACTTTAAACTATCTGGGAAATGGGGATTCTGACGACTTGAGTTTCCTTTTCTCTCTTCTCAATGCCACTGTGCTAGAAAAATTGCTTATTAATGGCAATAACTTTGGAGGAACGATACCTGAAACCATTGGCAATCTTTCAACTAGTTTGGTGAGATTTTTCCTCGATAACAATCAAATAATTGGAAACATTCCATCTGACGTAGGCAATCTTGTAAGCCTGCAGGATTTTGAGGTGTGGAATAACAAACTTTCAGGTTTTATTCCTGATGGTATTGGAAAGCTTCGAAATCTAGTTGTATTTGCTTTGAACAATAACATGTTTTCAGGAGAAATTCCATCCTCCATCGGAAACTTAACGAATTTAATTCAATTCGTTGCTTTTGAAAACAACCTTTCAGGTAGTATTCCATCAAATATTGGCAAATGTGAAAACTTGCTTGGCAAATATTGGCAAATGTGAAAACTTGCTTGGATTAGATCTTTCTCAAAACAAATTAAGTGGTTCCATACCTTCACAAGTCCTAAATCTCTCTTCATTGTCTATTTATCTTGATTTATCTCAAAATAACTTTACTGGTAATTTACCTATTGAAGTTGGAAACCTGAAAAACCTTGGTGAATTTGATGTTTCCGAGAATAAATTATCTGGTGAGATTCCTAGTAGTCTTGGCAGTTGTATAAGCATGGAAACACTTGACTTGAGTGGAAACAATTTCCAAGGGCCAATACCTGCAGCTTTGAGTTCATTAGAGGCTCTTCAAGCTTTGGATTTATCTAAAAATAATTTATCAGGTGAAATTCCAGAATTTCTGTCACATTGGAGAATTTTGCAATATTTGAATCTCTCCTACAACAATTTTGAGGGCATGGTGCCTACTAAAGGCATTTTTGAGAATGCAAGTGCTACTTCAGTTGAAGGAAATAATATGCTTTGTGGAGGCATACCTAAGTTTCAGTTGCCTAACTGCAATCCTTTAAGGCATAAGAAAAATAGATTGACTCCTACATTGAAGTTAGTGGTTGCTATTATTTCTGTGATTGTAGGAGCCTTATTGGTATTATCAGTTCTGTTTCTTCTGAGGCTTAAGCAAAAGATAAGAAAGGAACCTGCTGCTTCCAATTTTTCAGATAAGAAAATTTTGGAATTATCTTATCGAACTCTGCATAAATCTACAAATGGATTCTCTTCTGATAACTTGATTGGTATGGGAAATTTTGGTTCTGTTTATAAGGGAACACTTGATGGTGGAGCAACCTTAATTGCTGTCAAGGTGTTTAACCTTATGCGCCGCGGAGCTTTCAAGAGTTTTCTTGCTGAATGTGAAGCCTTAAGAGGTATTAGACACAGGAATCTTGTTAAAGTACTAACTGCTTGTTCAAGTGTAGATCACCATGGAAATGATTTTAAGGCTTTGGTTTATGAGTTTATGGTTAATGGAAGCTTGGATGACTGGTTGCATCCAACTGTAAGCACAAATGAAGAAAGTGAGGCAACACAGAAATTGAACATTCTTCAAAGACTAAATATTGCGATTGATGTTGCTTCTGCTCTTGATTATCTCCACAATAATTGCGAAATACCAATTGTTCATCGTGATTTAAAACCGAGCAATGTTCTTCTTGACAATGAACTGACAGGACATGTTAGTGATTTCGGGCTAGCTAGATTCCTTCCTCTCGCAGCAATCTATCACAATAGTGAATCAAGTTCTACTGGAGCAAGAGGAACAGTTGGGTATGCTCCTCCAGGTAATCTTGATTTTACATAAAACTATAATGTTCTAATTGCAAGAGGAAACAGTTGGGGTATTGCTCCTCAGGTAAATCTTGATTTTTACATAAAAAACTATTAATTTCTAATAGTAGTGTAACCTCTATCATCGTTCTTATTTCAACTTTATATCTCTTAACCAATCAATTCTTCTTGAACAAATTGAGATATGGTAATGGTAATGAAAAAGTATCACAGACGGTGATGTTTACCATTATGTACAGTTATGGAATTCTCTTATTGGAAATGTTCACAGGAAAGAGGCCTACCGATGAAATCTTTAACGGATCTTTTAATCTTCATAACTTTGTCAAGGTTGCTTTGCCTAATAATGTGGTGGAGGTGGTGGATCCGGTTCTTGTTTCAGAAAAAGGTGAAGCAATTAGTAATGTATCAGTAGAGTGCTTGATTTCAATATTTCAAATTGGACTCGATTGTTCTATTGCATCACCAAGTGAAAGAATGAGCATTCCTGATGTCATACGACAGCTCGCTTCGATCAAAGACAAACTTGTTGGAAATGAAGTGCATAATGCAAGAACAAGTTACAATTTCTATTGAATCAGCAGAAAAATCATTTGAATAGTTCACTTCCTACTAAAAAAATATTTTTTTTTCTTTTATTTTAATTTAATGATTTGTCATCAGCTGGGTAGCTCTACCCATCGCATTTCTTTTACGAGTTTTTAAACATTATATCTCTGTGTATATTGCTTGTTCTTTTATGATTTCAATTTATTTATGCTTCCTTCATCATGTTTATCTCTGTGTCTGGGGAATTGCAGAATGGTTATAATGTATTGTGGCTTTCAACAGGTAAATTTTTAGAAATTCTTGTGAAATCAATGGGGAATTGCAGAATGGTTATAATGTATTGTGGCTTTCAACAGGTAAATTTTTAGAAATTCTTGTGAAATCAAATTGACATGGCTTTGCTACTAAATACGCAAATTAATTAACTTAATTAAAAATTTTGCCACTAAATATATTGATTAGCTACCAAATAAATAAATATTAAATAAAAAATTGAACCGATTAGACTAATCAGTGATAGCTTAAAATCAACATTTAAAAATTCACAAAATAAATTAGCGACGGGTTTGACGGTTTGACTGATTTTTAGCAACAATCTTTCACTTATTAACTTTTGGTCGCTAATTTAGGGAAAATAAATTCTGAAAATTAGAGAAAAAAATTAATAAAATTAAAACAACTGACCAAAATTTAAAAACTTTTAAAAGATTGTTGTTTCTTCCATGACTTGGCCTTCTTTTTTATACACTTTTCTAATCAGTCAGGATCTAGCCAATCACAGAATACATTAACGGCTCACGATCTGGCTAACCATCATCCCCCATAACGCTGTCCATTTCGATACATTCCGTTTTCTGTTCTCTTCTAGTTCAAGCCGGACCTAAAAGTATTTAAGTAAGTTAAATTTTTATCTTCTTCCCCAACAATCCCACCAACAATTCCAACAATGACTAGCCAGTCCTCTAACTCTTCCATTCTCTGCGCCTCTTTCAATCAAGATAATAGGTACAGCAGTATGCCTAAATTTCCAGATTTTTAAATCTATTCTTTTCTTTGTTTATTTAATATTATTGTGTTTATTCAGTGGCTTTGCAATAAGCACTAAGGATGGCTTCAAAATATTCGATCCTAAGTTTATTCAGTGGCTTTGCAATAAGCACTAAGGATGGCTTCAAAATATTCGATCCTAACACAGGCCGTCTCTGTTATGAACGAGGTAAGCTATCAATTTCTACTTTCCTTATTTAATTTAGGTTTTCTATTTAGTTTTTCTGTACAGTAATTTTTCAAATTGCGTTTACTTCGGTGTTTGTAGCTGTTGGAGCTTTTATTATTGTTGAAATGCTTTACAGTTCTAGTCTTCTTGCTATTATTGGAGCTGGTGAACAGGTAATGTTTTTTGTGCGTGTGTTCTTTTTTGCTTTCAAGTATTGTTACTCATCAATGGTAGATATATTGAATTGAACTGAAATCAGCCTTCTTTATCCCCACGGCGTCTCTGTTTGTTCAATACTACTACCGGAACTGCCCTTCGAGAACTGAATTTCTTAACTTCGATCCTTGCTGTTCGATTAAATAGAAAAAGGTAATACATCTATCTTGGATTTTTTTCAGCTACTGATTTATTGTTTGTTGCCCCTATTTTGCACTCTCTCCCTCTATATATATTTATAAATAAAATCTATCGTATGGTGCAGTGTTGATATTATTGTCGGTACATGGGTGTAGAGTGGTTTTGATTTTATAGATTGTTAAAACAGATGAAAGTTCAGATAAACTATATTGAATTGTTGGTACAAGTTGGCTTTTTGCCCTATATATGTATTACTATTTTAGTATAATTTCCTATGGTTTTTGATTTACTGCCTCTTAATCGTTGCAGGCTTCTTGTTGTTTTGCAAGAAAAGACATATATTTATGACTTAAATAGTCTTGCAATATTGACACTATTGATACAGTTCCAAACATAGAAGGTGAGTTTTGAATATCTTGGTTTTATATTTGAAATAGAATTTACTTGAAACATCTTCTTATGACACATTGCCACTTTGGAGTTTATATTTTCGGAGTGGCTGATTGACATTAAAATATTGTTCTTCGCTTTTCCTGTGGAACAATGAGTTTTATCTGTTTGTGAATGATAACCTTGTAAGTGTCCGTTTGATATTGGATTTTGGCTACTTTTGTAGTTTTTACAGCTTAATGAACCATGGTTTGGCAAGGGCTAGATTGTTTACCCTTTTCAAACCATGATTTAATGAAAGTAGAAAAATTTTAAAAATTTTGACACCATTTTTAAAGAAGCTTAAAACTCAACACCCCCAATCCCCCCCCCCCCCCCCGACCACCCATTTTTAAAGAAAGCTTTAAAAACCTCAAAACACCCCCAATCCCCCCCCCCCCCCCCCCCCCCCCCCCCCCCCCCCCTCCCCCCCCCCCAAAAAAAAAAAAAAAACCAAAAAAAAAAAAAAAAAAAAAAAAAATCCCAAACTTGGATTCAAGAAATACCCTTTTCTAAAGGATCTTAATCTGAACGTTACTTAGATGGGAAAGACCCTTTCATTCATTTCAACTGGAGACAGTAAAGTTCTGAAATTTTTCTCTAAATTTTGTTTTGGTATGATCTCTAAATTTTGTTTGGTATAAATATTTTCCCTTTCTCCATTACTGCTGAATTTATTTTGTCCCAAAAGTAAGGGCAACTGTTAATTGTTAATTCTACAGAATTTTAGAATTACTTCTTCATTCTTTCTTTCCTTTTTTCTTTTTTTTCCCTGGTTGACATACAGAACCATACGGTTCTTAGAATTTAAGTTCCCTGAAAATTTCCATTTTTTCCTCAGGACTTTGTGCAATCTCCCCTAGTTTGGACGGTTGCTTCTTGGCTCTTCCTGCAAGTACAACTAAAGGATCAGTTCTGGTGTACAATGTCATGGAACTCCAGTCACATTGTGAGGTGGCAAAAAAATTGGAAATGATTAATATGCATAATATCTGATATGGAGTTAGAACTCACCTGATTCTGTTTTTCTGATCATGAATCTCATTCCTGGAGGGTCCCCCCCTCTCTCTCTCTCTCTCGCTTATTTAACACTGGAAAGTTATAAAGAGTTCAAGCTCTCAGTAGGATGTTAAAATCTGACAAACTATTCTGTATGATGAATTCATCAATTACAAAATAGGGAATCATGATATAACGTACTAATGAGGTACAAGGAATCTTGCAGCCTAGCAAATGCAGGATCCTTGTTGCTAATGATTTTCTTGTTACATATTTCCTTTAAAGTTTCCTTTTGTTTGAGATTAATTTTTGCTAGCTCCTGCAACCATTGAGACTTGAACAAATTATTTGCATATTTCCTTTAAAGTTTCCTTTTGTTTGAGATTAATTTTTGCTAGCTCCTGCAACCATTGAGACTTGAACAAATTATTTGTTTACGTTTCCTTTTCTTTTCTTTTTTTTTGCAACCTTTGGTTTATTGTTTATGTATTTATTGAATATACTTGCAGATAGATGCTCATCGTGCACCACTGGCAGCAATTGCCCTTTCTTCCAATGGGATGTACATTGCTACAGCATCGGAACAGGGAACAATAATCAGAGTTCATCTAGTTCTTGATGCTACTAAGGTACTGTATTTGCTTGTTCACAGTGGCAGCCTGGGTATGTGAGTGCGATCATAGTATGTGGTTCATAGACAATGTAATAGACTTTCTGTTCTTGGAGGCTTCAATATTTTGAGGTTCCCAAGATGAATTGCCTGGTAACTGTTTAGTGGTCTTGATATACCATATAAAATGGCCATGAATTGAGAGAGAACTATATTGGAATAAGAATTATTAGATTGAAATTAAAACTCTGTTTGGTCTTGGGTCATATATGCACACTGAACATGTGAACTGAAAAATAACTACGAAAATAATTTTCATTTCTGGAGAGAGAATGAAAGAACCATGCTATTGTTGTTGCTATTTTATGTCTTTATTACAGAGTATACCAATCTAATAGCCAGGCCAAGCATTTTGCAGTTCCATGTTGTGACTTAAGCTTTATGATTCATGGTCTTCTTTTCCTTCAGTCGTTTTGCTCTCTTGATTCATTATGTAGCAGATTCTAGATGTATTTTGGTCTTGCGGATCGTAACTCATATCTTACTATACTCACTGGATTCTATATTTCCTGGGCAGTCTTATAGTTTCCGGAGAGGGACATACCCATCAACAATATTTTCCTTGTCGTTTGGTCCTTCACTTCAGCTTCCATAAATTCTTGTAGCAGCAAGTACTTCAGGTTCTATTCATGTCTTCTAACTGGGGTTTGCCATAAATCTGAGGTATGAAATGCAAAATTTTATAGATTAGGTGGAAGTATTCTGCCAAGAATTAACACTAAATTTTTGGCTCGATTGTTGATCTTTTGAAGAATTTTTAAACCATCTGACCTTTCTTGTCTAATTTCTTATTCTTCACAGAAATAGAAGATCAAGTAGTTTCCTTGGGTCGATATTACCTGAGTCTGTAAATGATGTACTGGATCCAGCTCATCATCACGTGCTTCACAATGCTGTTCCAACTGGAGTAAAGAGGTGAAGATGTTTCCAACTAACAATTTACTCAGGAAGTGATTAGGAGTTTACAAGGTTGACGCTAGCCATCGAATTATGGAGGAGCCAAATTAAATTTAGATAATTAGAATATTCCGTGATGCACTTATATAACATCATGCTGCTATTGTTTAGAATATAACATAGAATGCCAAAATACATCAACCAAGAAGTGATATAAAGAAAAAATAACTAAAGAGAAAAATCAGCATCAAAATTGATCTGTTTTTTTCTGTAGGTGATTGTCTTGAAAAGTGGGAATGGTTAAAAGAACATGAGATTATCTCAAATCTCTGACTTTGAGTTAACTTCAGCAAATTTATCACAGACGTCTAACAAAGGCAGTTTTAACCAGAAAACCAATAAATTTTATATATAATGTTCCTTAAATATCTATGGTTATTAAAACCTTAACGTGCCTAATTTTATAAACTCTGCATGATGTTATTAGTTTAACCAATTTATTCTAAGTACGGATGAGAGCCAGCAGCCAGCTTGTCTTCCTTCTTCTTTTTTTTTTTTTTTTTTTTTTTTTTTTCCAGCTTGTCTTCCTTCTTCTTTTTTTTTTTTTTTTTTTTTTTTTTGTAATTTTTTTTTTTTTTTTTTTTTTTTTTGTAAATTTTAATTTTGTTCAGAATAAATAATTTAACTAGTAATTGCTGGACAATATATCTGTTTCAAATCCGAAACTAGCAATTAATAATTTAGTTGTTTCAGATGTGGCATAGTTAGAGCTGGCTTTCGGCTGAATAAGAGATCTTCTAGTAGAGTAAATTTTCAGGAAGATTGGGGAAGTCTCCTTCCAGAGGCATTCTAAGCATGCTACTAGTTTACCTCTGTAGTGATGGATCTAGTTTTTTTCTAGGTGGGCAAGTACAAGTTCGTACATGTATCTTGAAGGTGTAGACATGCTTTAGTCTGCAGCTCTTAGTTGCATACGCCTACATTTCTTGTTGCTTTTAAATGCACTGATATACTATCACTAATCAGGCTGTGTCATACAGTTACCTGGTAGTGCGCAAGGTGGACAAGGTTGCTGACACATCATCAACTAAACTTGTTGCTTTTAGGTGAGTTTTCTGTGTTACATGTGGCAGTATACCATGTATCAAAAACAAATCTTTTATATTTTCCTATAATTTATACTGAAATTTTATTATGTTTAATTATTGTGCCATGATCAACTAAAAAATTGGCTTGATAAACTTATTTACCCAAAACGATGCTACTTGTTGCATTTGTACTCTATTTTTCTTTTTAACTTTTATGCCTCAATTCAGTAAGTTTGTTGCTATTGTATTCTATGTTCAAAATTGAACGAGAAATAATAATATCTTATTATTTGCACAAAAGAAAATTAATTTCTTTTTTCCAAACTCTCTCCCCTCTCACAAACTCGAATCTCTTCCCTGAATGCTAAAGCCACCAAAGTTTCACTCTTAGATCTCTTTCACCACCTGTGAAGCTCCCATAGTCAAAATGCCTCTACCACCACGAACCAGTTGGCAGCTGCTGTAAAATCAGTATTTGGTGTTTTCATGACTTGCTTCTTGTTGGTGATGAGTTTGTTGAACAGCTTGTCATTTGAGCTACAAATGATTTAAGGAGTCTGGTTCCATTTGAAGCGACTATGAAAGGTAACATTGTGGATGGGGATGAGAGCACTTCGAGGAGGGGAAATTTCCAGTCACGTGATTACAGGATTGTTGGTATGGGAGGGCCTAAAGGCCTGAGTTTTGAGAGGAAAGTGACATGTGGAGGTGAAGAGAAGATTTGACCAAAGAGAGGTACAGATTTCGATTGGATCTTGTTTTAGAAGAGAGTGCAGGTCTTGCCATCTTAGTACAGATTTCGATTGGATCTTGTTTTAGAAGAGAGTGCAGGTCTTGCCATCTTAATAAGTTGATTATGAGGAGAAAGAGAAAAGGATTAGGAGAGAACTTAGAGAGAAAGTAAATGTGTTTGATAATTGTTCTTCTCAATAACATTTCTTTGAATACTTAGTCAGCTTCAAAGGGTAAATAGTGTTGTTTGACAATTCTGATTTTTTGGGTTTGGCTGAGGTTGAGTGTGGAAGAGGAAGTGACATTGGCAATGGTTGTTCTCCATGACATTTCTAGGTTTGGTGGGAAGAGAGGGAAATTAGGGAATTTTTTTTTTTTTATTATTTTTTTTTGCAAATAATAAAATAGTATTCTTTTTTTGTTCTTTTTGTTTTCAATTTTGGCCAGAGGCACAATTGCAGCAACCTATTCAAGTGGGGGTTTCGATAGGTGAAAAAAAAAAAAAAAAAAGGAGGATGCAATTGCAACCAAAATTGCTTAAGTTTGGGGGGTAATAAGTTTATCAAAAAAAAAAAGAGATGCAATTGCAACAAATTGTAAAGTTTGGGGTAAATAAGTTTACTCAGAGAATATCTTCTACAATTATATAATATTTTATTTATTTTTGAAAATCTTATTCCCAATGGCCAAAATATTTTTTATTTATTTTTACAGTCTTCCTTAAATTTTAGTTCTGCATATCTCTTGATTAGTGAAGTGAATTCTGGCTCTCATAATTTCTATCCTGTAGCAATCAATTGTAGATTAGTCCAAACCTATTGATGGAATTTTGTTCCTTAATAAGAAATAAGCTTAATGTTGATGCATAAGAACATGTGTATTATTTTCTGTGGATAATTGCATGTCATTAGAACTTTCTTCTCAATGTCTTTCTATCAACTTATCATCTTCCTATCCTTGGACTTTCCAGAGCCACTATATCAGTAATAACCTTTAATGGTTACTTCCAGGAGTATATTGTAAACATTAACAATCTGAATGAATCTAAATGGAGCTTGGAGCGTGAATTTAGTCTTTTGGCATCGACTACTGGTAATTCTAAATGCTCATGATTTAATTGTTGCAATGGATCATCTTTTCTCCTTGAATGCTTGGAGTGCATTAAGATTTTAATACTTCCTGAAAATATTAGGTGAAGAACAACAATTTCAGATGGTGTGATATGATTTTACTGTTGCTGACATAATTCAACTGCTTAATGGAAAACAAAAGAAGGGAAGTTCTCTTGCAGTCTTCAGTGATCAGCCTTCACAGACGGCCAAGATTTGCAAAGTGTTGACCTGTAAGTAAAACTAGACTTTTTTTGTAAATACACAGATAAAACTCGGAATCTGCAAAATATAGCACTCAAGCTTTATCTGCTAGCCACCTTAGACTTTTATGTATCATACGGTATTTATGTATAAAATAGAAATCAAAAAGTACTAAAAAGAAATATCTGGTGCATTATTTTGTATTGTTCTCATTTTGGCTATTGTTATAGGCAAGTATATAAATATATCCCTGCACTGTTCAATCAATGTTTTATTAATTTAATTTTACAAGTTGAAGCATTTGATTAAATGATTTGCAAGTTGAAGTGTTTAATAGTTGAAATTTTATAAATTAAAGTGTTTAATATCGAATTCACCGACTAATATAGGTAGTCAAAAACCGAGGAAATTATTAATTAAAAATATCATAATTAACTCAATTAATTTCTCAAAAATTTAAATGCAAATTTCTTATATAATATCAATATTGTTTTAATCAGAGGATATGATATGTAATATCAATCGTAAATTATAAGAATATATTAATTGCAGCCGAAGTTTTAACCGACTCGGTGGCGGAAATCCATATTCGGTTCGCTCGGTTGGCTAATCAATAACATGAAAGAGTAGTAGTATATTAATATATAAGCCATTAATAAATGAACTCCTGTACATAACTATACATAATAAATTAGTGTCAAAATGTGTTTAAAGTATCTAATTATATTATTTATGCAATAAATATTATATATAAAATTATTGAATATATTATATATAACATCAGTAATTATGTCTATTCAGTTTAAAAATAATATATTGACCTGAAAATCAAAAATTAAAATATTTGAAATTCTAAATGGAAGAGAAAATAATAATTAAATTCTGTGAAAAATCCAAAACTATAATGTTCTTTGGTATCGCAGCATACCATATTAATGGAATTTTGAAAAGCAATAACAAAAGTTCAAACAAATTGTATTAGATCTATTTTACTATGAATTATTCTATTTAATGTAATTTTTTTAACTTAATAAAGATATAAATTATTAAAACTAATAAATTACTAGTAAAAACTAATTAAATTATATATTCAAATAAATTTTAAATTTATTTTCCAAAAAAAATTAAAATTAAAATTAAATTTGAAAATATATTTATGAACAATTTTTTTATAAAATTTAAATTTTCAAATAATGCGAGGAAAATTTTGAAAATTGAGAATTAAAATGAAAATCACTAGGGAAAAAAATTGTACTGAATCCCACAAATGTCTTGTGTTTACCAAGTTTTGAAAAGCAAAGAAAGCTGACAGATTTCCTGTAAAGACAATGGATTTTCTTGCTCACACGTAAGAAAGGTCAAAGTAAAATGAAGCATATCTGATACCTGAGAGTGAAAGAGAGAGAGATAATAAAGCAGTAAAATAAAAATAAAAAGAAAGAGCTGAAAGGATTGAATGAAAGACCAAACGATGAAAAAAGAGTACCAAATAAAGAGATAATTTAGTGACTGATCGTTTAGGTCGGAAAGTGTAGGCTTCAATGGTTTTTGCAGAGAGAGCCAAAATCAGGAGTAGCAATGAAAATAATCCACATGCAATAGCCATTAACGATAGTGAAATGAGAATCCGTTCTCGCTTTATATCATTCTCAACAAGGAACCTGAAAAAAGGTAGCAGATGCACAAGATTCTCCGCGTTTTATATCATTCTCAACAAGGAACCTGAAAAAAAAGGTAGCAAGTATTGCACAAGATATAGGAAAGTAGGATATTAGAAAAGGCCATAAGTAGGATATAGAAAAGGCCATTTGTCAATTATGTCTAGATTGAATTGTCTCGGCAGTTAGAAGGGTAAAAGCTTGTTCTAGTTATGCTTCATATGTATATGTATTTGGGTTACGAAAAGGGCTTCATATTGCAATATATTATTAGAAGAAAGAGAGAAGGAATGAAAAGATCATGATAACTAGTAAAAATGAAATTAAGGAAAGAGTTTTAGGATTATAGGCCTAATATTCAAGGAGTAAATTAAATTCAAATCAAACTATTATTGAATGAAATAGGTATATGACATTTTTAATTTTCATGTGGCTCTTTACTGTCAATTATAGTTGTAATAAAATTTCATCTAATAATCATTTTCAAAAAAACAAAAATTATCTAATAATTTACCTGAACAATTTCATTAGTCACAGTATAGGAAATTCAGTCTTCTCTTTAAGTCTTTCTTTATGATCAATAATTAATGCTATAAAGATTGTCCATTATCTGCTTAAGTGGATCACCTACGATTGTTGAAAAATACTTTCAAGTTCGTGTTAGTGGAAACACAAATAAAAGCAACAAGGGAACTTTTTGCTTTTCTTCAAATAGGTTTTTGGGTTTTTGAAATTTCTTTCAAAAAGCTAGCTTCCTTTCATTTTTTCCTTTTTTATATGTTTTTTGAAAATTATAAACCTAAATATTACAAAGCTCTTTTAAAAAAAAGAAATAACTATTTTTTTAAAGGGAAAAAACATAAAACTATATTATATCTATTTAAGAATGTTAAAATAACTATTATTATATCTATTTAAGAATGTTTAATTCGAGTATTTAGGAGAAAAGAAAATAATTAATCGAAGTCTAAATTAGGTTGTAATTTAGATTTATTCTGTGCACGTGAACTACAAACTCAAATTTATGCAAAAATTTATGGATAAACATTTGAAATTTTAATATTTTTCAATATCTTGTCTTTCTCATAAACAGTGATTCTTATATGCATTCACGGGCTACTAAATCAGTCAACCCCGTGTCAAACTGATACTACTATGCATCCTCCACCCACCCATAAGGAGGGTTACTACTATGCATCCTCCACCCACCCATAAGGAGGGTCTAAAGACAGCACCAAAAGTTGAAAATTAAAAAATCCTGTCTGTACCAAGCCGCTCACCTCTGGCAAATAAATTAAGTGTGAAATTGGATGAAAATTCAAACTTTTGAACTATTGTTTTCTCTGTACCTATCGCATTTCTCTTCATACACCAAATAAATATTCCTCAATTCCATCCATTATCTTCTCATTTGATCTTCATCTTTTATTTCATAGTTCTTACTTCAATTTCTCCATGAACAACAACCTATTACATCCTTTCTCATCTCTTTGCATCTATGTTCTTCTCTTTTTCTTTACCTCTACTACCTTTGCTTCTACCAGCAATGAGACTGACCTCAAAGCCTTACTTCAATTCAAAGCCAAAATAACTCGAGACCCATTTCAGGTTTTAAGCTCATGGAATCATACAATCCATTTCTGTCAATGGCAAGGCATAACCTGTGGTCGGTCACACGTCGGGTCCACACCGGGCAAGTTCACGGAATTAAACCTGCGAGTCCGTTTGGGCACTGCGAGGCTCTATATCACCTTACGATTGGCAAACTTGACCTTTGTTGAAGATACTGGAATTTTTACGCAAAGACAACAGCTTCAGCTATCAAAGTTCCGCGGAGCAGATTAGTCATTTGAGAAGACTGGGAAGAACTCAGGGACTGAATTAACAATTCGATAAGTGGGAAAAAGATTGCCCAGTAATATGATCCAAGTTGTTCAGATCTCATGTTATTCCGGTGTAGGTAATAATAAGTTAAGGCGGAGATAATAATCACATGAAAATTGGGTTCGTTAATCGAAACTTCAAGTTCTTTCCTTATTTGGAAGAACAATGCTGATCAGGAACTATCCCTTTCATTTGGGTTCGTTATCGAAACTTCAAGTTCTTTCCTTATTTGAAAACAATCTATCAGGAACTATCCCTCATTCACTTGGAAATTTGTCACAGCTTCTGCTACTCTCCTTAGCTGTCAATGGCTTGGCAGGAACTGTACCTTACTATTTAGGCCAGTTAACCAATCTTCAGTTCTTGAGTCTTCACACAAATAGGCTTTCAGGTATCTTCCCTTCATCAATCTTTAATATTTCCTCCATAACAGAATTTGACATAGGAGTGAATCATCTCCATGGAAATCTTCCTTCAGAATTAGGCTCTTCACTTCCTAAGATTTGATTTTTTTCTATTGGTGCTAATGAGTTCACTGGACAAATCCCTTCTTCTTTTTCTAATGCCACTAATTTGCAGAGACTTGCTTTGGCAAAAAACAAGCTTACTGGACAAGTTCCTTCTCTGGCAAAGTTGAATAAACTTCGTGGTTTTTCTGTTTCTTTAAACTATCTGGGAAATGGGGATTCTGATGACTTGAGTTTCCTTTACTCTCTTCTCAATGCCACTGTGCTAGAAATATTGGGCATTAATGCAAAAAACTTTGGAGGAACGATACCTGAAACCATTGGCAATCTTTCAACTAGTTTGGTGATATTTGCACTTAATAACAATCAAATAATTGGAAACGTTCCATCTGACGTAGGCAATCTTGTAAGCCTGCAGGATTTTGAGGTGTGGAATAACAAACTTTCAGGTTTTATTCCTGATAGTATTGGAAAACTTCGAAATCTAGTTGTGTTTGCTTTGCACAATAACATGTTTTCAGGAGAAATTCCATCCTCTATCGGAAACTTAACGAACATAATTCATTTCCTCGCTTCTGAAAACAACCTTTCAGGTAGTATTCCATCAAATATTGGCAAATGTGAAAACTTGCTTGCATTAGATCTTTCTCAAAACAAATTTAGTGGTTCCATACCTTCACAAGTCCTAAATCTCTCTTCATTGTCTATTTATCTTAATTTATCTCAAAATAACTTTACTGGTAATTTACCTATTGAAGTTGGAAACCTGAAAAACCTTGGTGAATTTGATGTTTCCGAGAATAAATTATCTGGTGAGATTCCTAGTAGTCTTGGTAGTTGTATAAGCATGGAAACACTTGACTTGAGTGGAAACAATTTCCAAGGGTCGATACCTGCAGCTTTGAGTTCATTAAAGGCTCTTCAAGCTTTGGATTTATCTAAAAATAATTTATCAGGTGAAATTCCATTAAAGGCCTCTTTTCAAGCTTTTGGATTTATCTTAAGAAATAATTTTATCAGCGTGAAATTCCGGAGATTTTTCTGCCACATTGGAGGAATTTTTGGCATATTTGAAATCTCTCCGTACAAACAATTTTTGAGGGCATTGGGCCTACTAAAGGCCATTTTTGAGAATGCAAGTGACTAGCTTCAGTTGAAAGGAGATAAATATGCTTTGTGGAGGCATACCTGAAGTTTCATGTTGCTAAGTGCCATTCCTTTAAGGGCATAAAAAGAAGAGATTGGACTGCGCTACATTTGAAAGTTAGTTTGGTTGCTATTATTTCTTGTGATTGTAGGAGCGCTTATTGGTATTATTCAGTTCTGGTTTTCGTTTTTAACAGGTTGAAGGGAAAGATAGGAAAGGAAACCTGTTGTTTGCAAATTTTTTCGCCAGATAAGAAAATTTTTGGAATTTGATGCTTTATCGAACTCTGGCATAAATGCTAACAAATGGATTCTCTTCTGATAAATTTGATTGGTATGGAAATTTGGCTTCTGTTTATAAGGGAACAACTGATGGTTGGAGCAACCCTTAATTTGCTTGTCAAGGTGTTTAACTTATAAGACGCGGAGCTTTTCGAAGAGTTTTCTTGCTGAATGTGAAGCACTTTTAAGAAAAGTATTAGACACAGGAATCTTGTGTAAAAGTTACTAAACTGGCGTTGATTCAAGTTTAGATTTCACCATGGAAATTGATT